AAAAGAACAGTTACAACGGAGAAATACTTGAAGGCTTGCGGCAACAAGGGTAGCTAGTCCTAGAGGCGCGCAAGCGGAAAGAGGGTAATCAGAATGAATCAGACCAGTAGAAAAAGCTTAATAGGTAAGGGCTGCTGGAGGTCGTGATCGATCAGAGATGCTACCATGTTAGATTTCAAAGTGTTCTATTAAGGAGAGGAATTCCAGCTACTCTGGAGCGGCCAAAATGGCCCTATATATATCCAAGATACTAAAGGAAAGGATACGTGGCCTTATATTGGCCACGTATGTGACAGAGTCACAAATGGGGATGGTGATCCTGAAGGATGACTATGAATGGGCTAACGTAGCCCAGAATCCAACAGCGGCCTGAACGATGACTCGAGCACCGTTTGTTCAAACGAGATAGAGTGTCGGTCAAGCCACGGTCTCGTCACTTCACTAAAAATAAAGGAAATAAATATTATCACTTTTAACAACCTAGGTATGTGGTATTTCTGTCTATCTGACCGGACGATATGAGACACACCCATACTAGTGTGGCTCCTCAACCCATTTTCCAACCACAATGACGGATGGGTCACGGACCAGGATACAAGGTACCTTGGAGCCCAACTGGTACCCGTTTGTACCTGATTTGTACCCAACTGGGATGATAGCAACTTCTGGGATGGGGACACCACCCATCCCTCTTTCAATCAAGCAACTTCCAGAATACAGACCAATAGCCACCATTCGTGACCCTGGTCCTTATTCGGGATACCGCTACCACAAGGCACACTAGTGTGAATCCAGCTGATTCCAGCTGTCAGGTGTCTTGTCGGTTGGGCCGGATTGTTGCCCAAGGGACAAGGTACCGTTTGCACTGTATCTAGTACTTAAGTGACCTTCCGGATGGGACACGCTCCCATCCTTCTAGACAGCAAGCAGAACATCCAGAATACTAGTCATCGTAACATGGTATTCTGGGCCCCTGCCAGAAGGCACACTAGCATGCATGTATATGAAAGACTGAAGACTGCCCGCAAACGTGCATATGCGCTTATCGATTTATGCACCGAAAAGGTATATGTGCCAAGCTCTTACCTCGATTCTGTCTTGGTGAGGATGATGAAACGACCCGTGATTGTTTTCCTCTTCCCGCGCTCACCAAGATCATCGCGAAACTCTCGCGTCACCTCTTCATCTGCAATGGCGCAACCACAGTCGCATAACAGAACGATTGTATCTATTCCAATCTTCTACAACAGCCTTCCACCCGCCGTAGGCTGATTGCAACGCTATGCTGCCCTGACTGCTCCTCATGCCTTTGGCACCTAGGCGGTGGCCACCACACTGTCACTGACTCAGACGCGCGAAGCGTTATACGCGCGCTTCAGGTCAGCGTCGGTACTGACTACTCCGTCATGCAAGAGAACACTATACGACGTGGGAAGAAGATAGCCCAACTTTGGATGAAGAAAAAGGCGGAACAGCGCAGGCAACTCTTGTTGCTGGCGGGGGATTTGTGGACAGATGGTCCGCCCGAGATCGGCCTGCAAGGCCTCGCAAGCTTGGGACATTGCAGTGAACACCAGAAGGTAGACTCTCTAGCAAGATCAATTTCCCGCAGAGTGTCACGTCAGCTGACCAACACTATCCAGTATCTTGACAGTTAGGTATTGCCATATCTGGACGTTGGACTTTCAACCCAATCGAGCATTCCGATGTTGCGGCTGCTTGGACAACGTTCATTCTCTGCATCATATGAGTGGGCGTCATACGATGCCGAGAACGTCTTTCTGGCCGAGTGTTATCGTATTTTCCCAGCAAGGTACAATGCGAATTACGTCGATATGGTTAACTTCAACCTTGCATTGGCCACAACAAAATCCGATTTAGCGACCAGGGGAAGGCAATTTCTTGCATTTGGAAAGGCTCATATTGTCTTCAGTGCGCAAGGGAGGCTCTTAGCCTTGCTTAAACGTTTTACCCAAATTCTCCTAAAGGAATCGTCGGGCAGCCCACCATCTCCTTCGCTTGAGCCTCCCGGCCACGGAATGACGATCGAGAAGGACTACAATCGGTTCATGTCGACTCATCTACCCCGGTATCAGAACGATCAGGACGACTTCAGCTGTAGAGTTCTGTACCCGTTCCTCTCTCCTCCGGTTATTTTCGATGCCGGGACTATCGATATCGCCGTTACCCAATATAGTTGCTTCACATGTGCTACAGAATCATGACCGTAGCGCACGAGCCACATAGGAGCCGCGAGTTCTGACCAGCGAAGGCTACGAAGAGGTCTGTTTGTTTGTTTGTTTGTTTTGTATTTAACGTAGGGGATTGCTCCTCAGTAGTGCAAACCACGCCTCCCAGAGCCCCTGCATCGCAGGGTTGTGGAGGTATCAAGATAATAAGTACAGTCTGTCCCGCTCACGAGCCCATCCCCGTTGTTGCGGCGGTATGACCTTGGGTCATCCATCTGGTCCTTCAAGAACAGCTATCTATCGAGGGCAGATTGATGAAAAGAATTTGCTCTTCTCCACGAATTTTGCCCATTCTGTGCTCCTCTCCCCTAAGTATTGTAAACAAGCTGTCCTAGGCGAGTACCTGGGCAGCAGCCGATTTTTCCCCAGCCTCTTACAAAAGAAAATGTGTTGTGGTGTTTTCTTCTCACCACAGCTGCAGTGATCATTCGAGTCTGTATGCCCAAAGCGTTCGTGGTATCTGGCAAAGTCGCCATGTCCAGATCTGGCCGCTAGAACTACGAAGAGGTCGTGAACGAGCTTCATCTAACCAGCTTCTCCTTGCGAATGTTGAATTTGACATTGACGAGGTTCCGGTCCTTGCCGCTGACGGCGCCGCCCAGTGATTAGGTTATCGCCACCCATCGCACCGTCTCGAGGTTTAGAATGGGTGGAAATACTGTCACTAAACACCAGAAAGATCAGAGGCTTCCAGATTCGAATCATAGGAGTGTTCAGTCCAGACACGACAGAACTCATGCCTCCTCCTCTCGTCCCACATTATTGGGACGACTGAATCGCGCTTCGCCGTCACCCCAGGAGTGCTTCGAGCCTGTGTGGGCGAATTTCCCCGTGGAGAAACAGTTCAGCGTTTTGCAGCGCATTTGACTACCTTTGGTCTGGTTCTAGACCCTTTCTCCTTTTTCGGCCGCTCTCATCTCTGCTAATAATACTGACCCCTTCGTGCCAAGTTGCCGGGCTGCTTCCATTGTCTGGAGAGGGACCTTCTCCATGCGAGGTATCGGACGCCGTGTCACAACTATTACACACTAATCAAGCTAGTGCTGCACTACTTGCCACCCAAGGTAACTGTAACGAGATTTCGCGTTATTGCTGTCGTCCCCGAGCACCCAAAGAGATCGCCTTCGTTCCCTGAACAGCCGCACTTCGCAGCGGCTTCTGCGGTAAGGATTTGGAGTAAACCAATCCTTACACAACGACGTATTGTCGATACGTAAAACAGAGGGACGCATTGTGAGATCATCCGCTTGTGATGTCATTCGGAAGGCCGCTGGACTCGCTGGAGAGCTGTTCTACGCTATGAGGTACTGCTTTTACCTCACCTGCTGAGTGATCCGACATTCGCAAGGGACAAAGCGTTTTCATTGGACCAAGCAGTGGCTGAAATCCCAGCACCGGTCGATCAACCGGCTCTGTTTCGCTCGTCGGCGGGTGCAGAACGGGACTGAAGAGTTTTAAAAAGGGGCGAGCACGGTTATGCAGGCCGAGTATAAGTGGACTCGGGGCCCCCTGACTCCGAGACGGGAGCTAACACAAGCCGGCGCCACGCAATATCCTAGCTCGGCGGTTTTCTGATAGGCCACACTCGATCTTGCCACGGGGTTGGGGGCGAAGAACCGCAAGGCAGTGCGCTATTAATTTCTCAGCGTGAGTGGCCAAGCCGCCGCCCAATATGATGGAGGGTCTCGAGCTGTGGAACAGAACAGCTTCGAGTAGCACTCTTCTAGCCTATTTCCTAGCTGGGAATCGAGTCAGGATAGCCAGCACTGGAACATGTGTAATGTGCTGGCTTCTTCGCTGCTTTCTCTTGATACCCAATTGACGCATGGAGTAGAGTAAAGAGTCGATGGATGATTACATAGGTACGTATCACCGACCAGCAGAACACCGCCTCGTTATCTAGACTTGATAGTCATATGATAGTACTGAGGCCGACTTCCAAATCTTTTAGCCCTTGTCCCCCTTCAAGTCCAGAAAGGGACTGCCAAGAGGGTCACCACCCCGGGGACGGCCGGCATCCCCGCTTGCGTGTTAGCCCTGGTTAGCACACGCATAGCACTAGGCGCTACAGGGCAGTTCGCTGCTTGTCCTACTGCTGCTCGATTGCGACTTGTCAGCTGTGTCCGCCCGCGCGAGTCTTCTGCACAGCACTTCACGCAGCGCAAGATGGGGGATGGGGCGTGTGGGGGACAGAGCGAGACGCAACGTGGCTAGGGTCTCGAAGACTTGTCGATAGTCGAGAGACAGTCTGGAGGCCCCAGGGGACGGGCGCACTGGTGCGGACGCCAACGCCGACACCATCACAGCACTGATAGCAGTCTGCCAGTCTCCAGAGCAAGACGGCCCGAGATGGAGGCAGGGCAGGGCAGAGCAGAGCAGTGATGTCACCCCCGCTTTTCCCATCGAGGTACGTCCAACGTCCAAGGCCGTATCATGTATGGACCCTGTCGTTGCCGCGAATACTTCCCATGCTGATTTTCTCGCTTTCTTTTCCCTGCCCTCTAATCGTCACGCATCTATTACTGTTCTCTTTCCCTTTCCCCCTCGCGCGACACCTACACTACTACCCTTCCCTCTCACCTTACCGCCGGTTGCTCGAATGGACCGACAGTACTGAATCGACGGAAGACGCTCTATCCACTCAACTGCCCAGACAGTTGAAGGTGGCACATTTGGGGTGCTTGCTGTCAGCCGAGGACGCTTATCGAAGAACATCCGCTCAAGTGATAAGACGAGACGACTGTTGCGACCATGGACGTCAAAAAGGGAGACTATGTCGTCCAGGGCGACATATTCAAGGCCGACAATGGAGGCGAAACGGACACCGGGTCAGCCGACCAGATGCTGGCATCGTTGGGTTACACCCCCGAGCTGTCACGGAACCGATCGACGCTTCAAGTCGCCTTCATGTCCTTCGTCCTGGCATCCATCCCTTACGGTCTCGCTACCACGCTCTACTACCCGCTCGTTGGCGGCGGCCCCGTCAACATCATCTGGGGCTGGGTCGCCGTGTCGTTGATTATCATCTGCGTTGCGGCGTCGTTAGGCGAGATCACCAGCGTCTACCCCACGGCCGGCGGCGTCTACTACCAGGCCTTCATGCTGGCACCCGCCAACTGGCGTCGCATCGCTGCATGGGTCTGCGGCTGGCTGTACGTCATCGGCAACATCACCATCACGTTGTCCGTCAACTTCGGTACCACCCTGTTCCTCGTCGGCTGTATCAACGTGTTCGAGACACCCGAGGGTGAGCCCGTCTTGGCTGGCGACGCTTACCAGGTGTTCCTGATCTTCCTTGGCATCACGTTACTCTGCAATGCAGTGTCATCGCTGTGTAACAAGTGGTTGCCAATTCTGGATGTACGATCTCGCCCCGTTTTGCGTCTGGACGTTGCGGTTGAATTCGACATGACACATGCTGACACTGCGATGGGATGATTAGACATTCGCTATCTTCTGGACTTTGGCTGGTGTTATCGCTATCCTGGTATGCGTCTTGGCTATTGCTAAGAACGGCCGCCGCGATGCCGAGTTCGTCTTCACGCATTTCGAGGTGAACTCGGGATGGACACCCGGTTGGTCCTTCATGGTCGGCCTCTTGCACGCTGCTTATGCCACTTCATCCACGGGCATGATCATCTCGTAAGTCACCAAGGCTACTGCGGAGGCCCCGTTCGGATGAGATGCTTACGTTTTGTACAGTATGTGTGAGGAAGTCCGAGACCCCGCCAACCAGGTGCCCAAGGCCATGGTCTTGACCATTGTCATTAACACCGTCGCCGGCCTGTTGTTCATGATTCCGCTGGTATTCGTTCTCCCCGACATCGTGTCGCTCATCGATCTTGCTCAACCCGTCCCGACCATCATCAAGAGCGCCGTTGGCAGCGCAGGTGGTGCATTTGGACTGCTCATCCCGCTGATCGTCCTTGCCATCATCTGCGGTATCGGTTGCACTACGGCTTCATCGCGATGTGTCTATGCCTTTGCTCGCGATGGCGCCATCCCCGGCTCCAATCTGTGGAAGAAGGTCAACCCCAAGCTGGATGTCCCTGTCAACGCTATGATGCTCTGCATGGTCGTCGAAATCATTCTTGGACTCATCTACTTCGGCTCGACCGCCGCGTTCAACGCTTTCTCTGGAGTCGGTGTTATTGCGCTCACGACCTCTTATGCGACGCCCATTGTCGTCAGCATGATGGAAGGTCGCAAGACCGTGCGTACCGCCAGCTTCCATCTAGGTGCACTGGGCTGGTTCTGTAACATTGTGGCTATCTGTACGTTCTCCTCTTTCCCACTGGGCGTCACGGCCCTTCCTCTCTTGTGCTAACACAAGGATAGCCTGGTCATTACTCGTCATTCCCCTCTTCTGCATGCCGTCTACCGTCCCGGTCGTCGACCCTACGACAATGAACTACGCCTCGGTCGTGTTCGTTGCTTTTACGCTCATCTCGTTAGCATGGTATGTTGCATGGGGTCGCAAGTACTACACCGGCCCGCGCGGACCTCCGACCTAAGCTGCGACAAAACTTTCGGCTTTGGCGATGCCCACGCGCGAACGCCTTCTTTCCCTTGAGCTTGTGTGAACTCTACGTGAAATCGCCTGCTCATTTCCCTGTTGTGAATCCTGGTGCGATGATACCCAAGAAGTGATGATGATGGTGAAGGATGCAAGATCATGTCATGCGTGAAGTCAAGGAGACAGGCATGTTTCCTGTCAATGTCAAGGTCCAAACAGACGCTCTGCGTTGCCGAACCTCAGTATTTTCACTAGATACCAAAAAAAAAACAAGCCGACTTGAGAAGGCCGTCAGCCAACCAACTTGCTTCAAATGGTGATTACTATATGCTTCCCCTATACCCACGAGATGAGCGAATCCTTGAACCTAGTTCATGCGCACTGTGAGTAGTAGTCATTGAGAGCACTGCATGTTCCGCTCTGTTGATGAGTCAATAAGGGCCTCCAGTAAGTACGCAGAAGGGGAGTGAGTCGAACTTACTGCGCAAGCCGTGCACCCAGTGTATCCAGTTCCGCCACATTGCGCATAAAGCGCCGCCTTGCACGCCCCCGTTGCAGTCGCCGTCGCCCCGGTCCCCGTCGCCGTCGCGCCCACTGCCGTCGTCACCGATCCTGCACTCCCACTTCCGGCCGAGCTCGACGGGCTGGTACCGGCCGTACACGTGCTCGCGCACCCAATACAGGGCGAACCCGCACTCTTCGTCGAACCCCCGGAATACACCGTCGGTCCCGGCGCGACGTACGTCGCCATTGCCGCATGGATATTCACCAGGATGCCTGGATCGCTCGCCGCGTACGCGCCCGGCAGCGCCACGCCGGCCGGCTTCGCGGACCCGGACCCCGTCACGGTGAGCTGGAAGCACGTCATGTAGAACTGCGCGCCGCCGCTGCTAGCGGCCGTGTGCAGCGCCACCGCCTCGGGCCGCAGTAGGTAGTCGCCCGGCGCCAGGTCGGCCGGGATCGTGACGTCCATGCGGCCGCAGCACGTGTTGATGTCCTTGGTGCCCCAGAAGTCGTCGTCGCCCGTGCTGCCGCTCGGGTTCTTGGCCCACGTATCGGCGAAGACCTTGAACCAGGAGCCCGCACTGCCGTCGGCCGTGCTGGCGTCCGACACGGACGACATGTACACCTGAACCGGCCCATAGTGGCTGCCGCCAATGGCCTCGTTGGAGCAGGTGCGGTCGCCCGGCTGCTGGTGGATCTCGACGGTCACGGTCGTGCCGGCGGCGACGCTGCATTTGTTGGACACGGCCGAGGTGCCGGCATTGCAGGCTATGTCCTTGGAGGTCACGACTGTGACGGGGGAGTTGGACAGCGGCAGGCGCGCGCAGGAGGCGCCGAAATCGACGCCTGAGATCCAGAGGTCTTGGAAGGTAGCGTGGGCGGCGACGTGGCTGGCGCCGAGGGCCGCGAGGGCGGCGTAGAGGGTCGACTTCATGGTGCTTGGTGGTCGAGAGTCAGTCAGCCGGGTGAAGTAAGGCGAATATTGGCGTGCTGATCTTCATCGCCAGACTTGTGCTGGGGACGGGACTCTATATAGAGAGAGACCTGCTTTGTCCCCTGGCGATCCGGCTGCCATGGCCAGACGATCCGGGGTAATATCCACGAGCCTCCTACCCCATGATCACGGAGTTCGTCAGCCGAGTTTCCTGCGTCCTGAACCACAGAGCTTCCACGAGCCTACGAGCTTCTCAACGTCGACTCGCTACGAAACCTTGAATGGGCGCAAGCAAGGGCGCGAAACCCCGGCTCGGGGCTTCCTTCGGGAATTGAATGGAGCCCACGAGGACATCCGCAGGCTTTGGCGAGGTCACACAATTGGTGGGTTCCCGGGTGGTTAATATACGTAGATTGAAGCGGCAATCCCATCTCCAGGTTGCCGAATCGGGCTCTGGGAGCTTGGCGCGGGTTCCGACGTGCAATGGGGTTAGGTTTGGGGTATAAATCATAATGGCTTCATGTGACTGGGACCAGACTGCGTTTGCACTTGAGATTTCTGGTTCATGGCACCAGGGAACATGCAAAATCATGGTAAACGCGGTGATAAGTTTTACAGGTAGCATTTCACTCTGGCCGTCTCCAACGGGGTCATCGCAATCTCTGGCAATAACAGCATTACGGCAAAGGGACATGTCGTCCTTCCGATAGACCTGGACTGAGTTGGAAACATTGCTGACCTAACAGGTCAATACCTGAACGAAGGGCTTGAGACCTTCTTGGTAAGCATGAAGCCTGTTCTCGCTGCCATCTCTCTCCTTTCATTCTTTGTGGGTTCCAGGCGGGATCAAGTCGCTCACATTCAAACCTCTAACAAAACTGTGGCAACCAACAGAAGTATGCAGCCTGCTGTCTTGTTGCCCAAGCCAGCATAACCACCAAGGGTACTAATCGAAAATACTAATCGAAAAAGAGTTCCGTCCTTAGGAGTGGACGCCACTTTGCTTGAGGTTGCGGCAGAGCCTTGTTTAAATGAAAATATTGATACCATCGCTCAACCTGCTGGGTTGGAACCATGAAGTACCTGGGAGTGGCAACGCAGTGATGCTGACTGACTCGCTGAATCACATGGTGAGAGTGATGGCGCCAGCTATCGCATTTGAGGCGCTAAACCGCTCACAAAAACTGCTTATCGGTGGTACCTTGCGAGCTGACGACCAACGAGGGAAAGAATAGCCTAGGTAACTCACAATAGCGAGATCGATAGTGACCCTCGGCGCGGATTTCGGTGCATGACTATAAGATCAAACCTTTACCTCGGTACCAGCACATTGGTCCTTTGCTCTGCTTGGAGAATGCTTGGCAGCTGAACATGCTTATTGATATCCGAAGCGTGGCGGCCACCAATGCAACGTCAAATTAGACATCGCCTCGAAGCCAGGTCTAGAATAGTGTCAGCCCATCCAGTTGACTATGGCCGTGTATGACCCGTTCCAGACCCCTGCTTCGTCTCGTCTTACATCAGCCCTGCGCCTTCACCGCACGAGTTTGCACTACGAACGACAACATGTAGATTGAGCACTATCGAAGCATGAATAAGCGAGCGCTTCTTGGAGGCTTTGTATAAATAACCATCGATGTCTCAGCTAGAAGTCCCTTTCCACGCCTCTCCAGCACGCTCACCTACCTCAAAACACCGAAGTCGAGACTTGACACTCCTTTGGACTATCCAAATTGGCAGTATTCTTTGCTGCCGACCCTTTTTTCAGCAGATCTACTTGCGTTTGTTTCCATAGCATCATGTGGCTCAAGCAGGTCCTCCCAGTCTTGGCTGCTCTTATGGGCAAGTCCATGGTTGATGCCAAAGCAGTGTTTGCACACTTCATCGTTGGCAACGTCCAAGCCTTCTCCCAAGCCGACTGGGAAACGGACATCGCAACCGCGCAAGCAGCGGGCATCGATGGTTTTGCCCTGAACATCGCAGCGGGCGACACCAGCAACGGCGTCTCTGTCCAGAAGGCCTTCGATGCGGCCGACGCCAAGGGCTTCAAGCTGTTCTTCTCGTTCGACTACGCGGCGTGGGGTGCCTGGGACAAAAACGCCATCGTCTCCTATATCAACACCTACAAGGGCCGGGCCTCTTACTACCTGCAGGGCTCGCAGCCCCTGGCTTCTACATTTGAAGGTCCGGACAACGCCACCGACTGGTTCGACATTAGAAGCTCGACCGGCGCCTTTTTCATGCCCGACTACAGCTCGAAAGGGCCTCAGTGGGCTGTCAACAGTGGTGTTGTCGACGGTCTTTTCAGCTGGGATGCCTGGCCCGACGGAGCCAGCGACATGACTACTGCCACCGACCAACTTTACAAGAACGTACTTGGTGGAAAGCCTTACATGATGCCTGTATCCCCTTGGTTTTTCGCCAACGTGTACAACAAAGCCTGGGTCTGGCGTGGAGAGGACCTCTGGTACGATCGCTGGCAGCAAGTCCTTCAGGTCCAGCCTGAGCTGGTCGAGATCATCACCTGGAACGATTATGGCGAGTCACACTACATCGGTCCTTTGTGGGATTCAGAGATGGGTCTGTTCGTCTCTGGGAACGCTCCTTTCAACTATGCCGCCGGCCATCCCCACGATGGCTGGAGGCTGTTCCTGCCTTACCTCATCCAGCAGTACAAGACCGGCTCCGCGACCATCTCTCAGGAGGGCCTTAGCACCTGGTACCGGCTCAATCCCAACACTGCCTGCACAGCAGATGTGACTGGCAACGACCCGGCTGGGCATGGCCAGCAATATGTTGATCCGGCGCTAGTCCTCCAGGACAGGGTATTCTACTCGGCACTACTGGGCTCGTCAGCTACTGTCTCCGTCTCCATCGGCGGTGTCGTGCAACAGGGTACTTGGGAGAACGTCCCGGCTGGCGGTGCCGGTATCTACCACGGAAGCGTGCCGTTCAACGGAGGCACCGGTCAGGTAGTTGTGACCATCTCCCGCAATGGCGTTACCATTTCCGAGGTTCTAGGTGCATCCATCACCACCAGCTGTGAGAGCGGAATCGAAAACTGGAACGCGTGGGTTGGTAGCGCGACCGGCGCCGCCCCTTCTCTTCCTGGCACCACCATCACGACCAGCACCACGAGCACCACCACCAGCAGTACCACCACCACCACCACGCCTCCCGGTCAGCAAGTATGCGTCAGTGGAGTTGGTAGTGGCAACTACCAGGGCCTATGCAGCTTCTCCTGCTCATACGGATACTGCCCTGCTGGTGTCTGCACCTGCACTGCTTTCGGCACTCAGAGGGCTCCTCCGCCCAGTACCGGTCAGAAGGGATACCCGCTCGCCGGTCTCCCCGACAGATGCAGCTATCTCGGCCTCTGCAGCTTTGTTTACGATCATGGTTATTACCCTGACACTGCTTGCAGTTCGGATCCTGCGGGTGCCTCTGGCTGCTAGGAGCTCAGCGATTTGGAGGAAGCCCGTGGGGCGGGATCATCTTGGAGAATATGAATCGTGTCTTCCGGGGTCTTTCGTGGTGGTGTACTTCATATCTAGGCTCCTAATTTTATATTTTATCTTCATGAGCTTGTTCTGCATTGCGTATTTGTAAAAGTGACCATCCCAGGTGAGACCAGGATGTGACTGTGGTTGACTTGGAGTTCCCCATTTGAGAGACGGCGTGGTTTACATGGGCACACACCCATAGTACGCTATTTCATGCTCTTTCACTCTCTGAACAGGGCCAATTCTAGACCCCTGCACAAGGCTAGATCACACGAAAAGAGAAAATATACAAAGGATAGCATTCACAGTAGCCCGGGAGGAACATGTCGCAGCTTTGAGAGATGCCGTCTTCTTAGCGGTAACAATACCGTATGCCGTATGCTGCAGATCGCTGAGGCTCACCCGTGCAACTCATCACTGATATGGAGGCATTGAGCGTTTGTGGGCATTTTCATATTGTACAAGACCATCCACCTAGCTCACTCCGCGGCTTCGCTGCATCTCCGGTCCCAAAAAATCATTGCTCCAAGCGAGTCTGAGGCTCTCGACTCGCACCAATATACGATCTCTACTTCTTCTTCTTCCTCTCCGCGTTCGCCTTCTTGTTCGCCTTCTCTATCGCGGCGTTGTCGGCGTCCAACTTCTTATTTTTCGCACAGGTCGGACAGTCGTGGTCCCCGAACCACCCGCCACATGCTGAACAATATCCCCCCGCCGGTTGATGTCATCTTGGCGGCTCGTCGTAGGTACCTGATTGGGTTGCCTGAGAGCTTGCGGGATCGTTAGCCTTCACCTATCGCTTCCCGAGCAGACTGGGGAACTCACTCTGGTACGTAAGATCGGGGTTGGTGGTTGCTCGATGCGTGATGGTTTCTTGAGGGCTTTTGGGATCGTTAGCCTTCATTTACTGCTTCCAGAGTAGACAGGTAAATTCACCTTGGTACGTGAGACTGGGTTGGTGTGTTACTCGGTGCTTGATGGGTTTCGCGATGGATTTGTTGATGGGCTTCTTGATTGGCTTCTTGATGGGTTTCTTGATGGTGTGGTAGGTAGCCAGTTCAGGTTCAGAAGCAGGTGCTCGAAGCAATATTTATATATGTCGAAGTCCTAACTGCCAGCGTAATCCATTGCTAAGTACACATCACGGCGTCGTACATTCGCCGTAGTGATGCTAAGATCGATGAATACTCACCGGTAGTTGTGTCACTAAGCGGGGGAGTTGACTGAATCGAGCTTGAACGTTTCAGACATGGGTCGTGACTAGGTGCTGAAGTTCCAGCCTGATCAATGAAAGCAGAGGACCTCAAGATTCATAGATTACAACCTACAAAGCTCTAAAAACAGTGGTCTAAATCTACATGAAATGGGTTCTGCTCGTCCTCTTCCCAACCTCCAGGTTGGGTAGTAGGTATGGTGAACTAGGGCACATAGCTTGGCTGCCCAACTCCAAATTCGACAATAATCCATAATCATCTGCCCATTCAGTTGATCAATGCTGAGTTAACGTAGCAGGTTCCCACTTAAAAGGTGATGAGCTGCAATCATGCCGACATTCACCATCGTGAAGGGGTTACTTCACAGCCAGTCAGACGACACCTCGGTGAATTTCTGCGGTTTCACCCATGCCAACAAGACGACATGTGACCGTAAAAACAGCGTTATGTTCCGGCCATTCACCCGCCTGGAAGTGAATGTCTGCCGGCAGGCACGGCGACTTGACCCATGCTGCATAAGGTAGTCATTAATGACGATGTTTCACCTAGTCACGTTGCAGAGTTCCTGGCACCCCAAGACCCGTACTGCTTGGAAAATTGCCTATGGCCCAAGAATGAGCTCATACGCATGCGCGCACTTGTTCACCCTGCTGGACCATGAAATGACTTCTACAATTTCCTTAAACAAATATCCTATCATATTCACCGACTTCAGATCCAGCACAACTCAGTTACGGCTTGTTGGTGAACTTAATAACGCCAAACCCTTCGCATACCATAGAGTGCGTTGACATCTTTCTAATGGCCAAGGTCAGTTCTTTCGCGGCACCTATTACTCGATGTAGTATGTGAATATTCCCACGCGGAAGCTCTTGTAGACTGCCCGTGTAGACTCGGGGGCTCCTAGTCGTCGATGTTGGATGATGCGGCTTTGGCGATGTGGCGATGCTGCGCCTCTGCATCGAAGAGGATGGATCAAAGGTCGATAAGGACCCGATGCGCCAGCGCCAGTACGATCAGGAAGATGCATGTGGCGTATGAGCCTGTCCCCGCCGGCATCCAAGCGGTCGCGTAGAGCGGCGTTGAGACGGCTCGGGAGAATATCATCGCCATTTCCGAGGAGCTCGTCGTGGTGGAAGCGATTACAATTGCATGTCCATACTGCTGGTTGGAGATGCCATGGCGCTCGAACTCGTCATCGTCATGCCCGTCATAGCGGTCGATGGTGTCGTTGTCATCGCACCCATCGTGAGACTCGTGAGGGTTTCTTTGCTTGCTAGGTACCGTGATGCGTATTTCTCTCGACGAGCAGCGACGCCGTGATTCGCACTCGGGGAAACAATCTTGCTGACCAACGTCTTGCTCTGCTACCCCTGGCCCCAGATCACTGGCCATCCACTGGTGATTGGCGCAGTCTATTGTCGACCAATCCCCGACTCGTCACTCGCTCGCTTGCGCAGATTCACCACGCCCTTCCCACTGCCATCTTCAGCCCAGCACTCCCAACTTAGCCCATTGGGATGAAGTCAAATGCCGAGGTTATGACCAGCCGACGAAGAGGAGCGCAGCACTTGTGGATCGTCGGCGTGGGTGCGACCCGCCTGCCAGGATCCCAACGGCGCGTTGTTGAAAACGGAAGTGAAACGGAAGGCGGGCTGGAACGGTGTGATTCGAAGCCTACCGTGGGACGTGCAATGCCCTTACCAAGTCACGATATCATCGGCCTCGTATCAAAAGGATGTCTACGGGTCCGATCAGAAGCTTGAATGAACCCGAATCACTGACTTGATCGTAGACTTCCTACATGTGAGACCTCAATATGCCGCTTCGAATATACTGAGCATGTGCTCTCACGGTCTCATCCCTGACTTGGCGAGCACTCCGTAAGCAAGCTGACGACCACCGGAAGCAGCAGGAATTGATCCGCTCAATCCCCGCTCAATCACAAAACCCGTCGAAGGGACGAAGCCAATGTCAACCACCTTCATCATCAAACACGCCGTAGACTCCCGACGTCCAACATGTACAGGCTATCCGACTTCACCTGCATCACCTTCGGCGCGCTCTGCATCGCATCAGCACTGCCTTTCGTCGGCATCCCCGTCCCGACGCGATCATGGGCGATCTACTACGCTGACAAGAACCGCTGGCTATCAAAACTCTCCGGCGAACGACTGACGCCCAAGCAAGCCGGGTACGCGAGCGCCCTTCTACGCCTCGCAGTAGGCTCCTGCTGCATTTATCCTCCGACCCGGATCCCGGCGCTACTGGTCAACGGTGCGGTCGTGTGTCGCGGGACCGTGGTGGCATACCGTGATGGGAGACCCATGAGGCCTCAGTGGACTATGTTGGGTGCTGTTGGCTTGTGTTTACTTACTGAGATACTATGACCTCTTTGGCTTTGGTGGACTCTCACGGCGAAGGGCAGAGATCTGCCTGATTCACAATGGTGGACCTCGAGGGCGTCTGACACCGACGATGACTGCCGACGTAGGCCGCGACCCCAGACAAACCCCTGCGCTATCAAGGAGGACGTTACATCTAGCCCTTTGGTCTGGGATATCAGTCGACATCGTGGGGCTGCTATAGGTACGGCGGGCAGGTCAATGACTGGTACAATATGTCTTCAGTATGGTCAAGCCATCAAGCCCTTCTACGTCTAGTAGAACAACCTAGCGCCACACTTTCACGCCTGGTGGAGCTTATTCGAGCTGTTTAGGATGTCAATACGGTTAGAACAAAGAAGTACAGCTCACTTAAGCCTTGATGCTACTGGGTCCACTACTTTCTTTCGTGAGTATCAGTTCTCCGGCGAGTACGAACAAAGAAGATGACGTGTCAATGTCCATGTCAATGCCTTTTGTCCGGCCGATGCTGCAGACGTGCATTTCCCCTGAATATGCAACGAACCCGTGGTCTCTTTACTTGCTATCCCATCATCAACCATGGATGACTGGACTATAGCATCAGTCGATGGATTCTTCGCTAGCCGCGAGTCTCCCACGCGGGAGGAATGCCCTGAATGCGCCTTGGCTATTGTCGACGAGTCGACTATTGAACCAGTGGAAACGCCTGGGTCTTTGAGCTACACGGTAGTCTGCACCGCAGCAAGGACGGGGACTAAGACGATCGTATCATTCAGGCAGTATGACACGTTCATTGACCCTGAACTTACAGACTTGGCAGGCCAAGTTCATGGCCATCTCGTGCCTCATGCGACCTTCCACGGCACCCTTGGCACCGAGACCGAGAGCAACGACCTTTTGAAGATATATACCATGCCATGCCTTCCGGGTACGTCAGGCATTGCCGTACTTAGAGGTGTCAACCCGGATGATACTCCTGAGGACGAGGTCATGTATACTCGCTTCATCCAAGAGCTTGCACGGTGAGTGACCATTCTCCTCCCCTCCAGTGTATCACAGAGCCTCTAACGAACTTCGGTATTTCGCCAGGGCTTATCTTCACCCTCAAACCGCCAATGCAGGAAGAGAAGCTATAGCTAAATCAGACGCGGCTCGCATGATAAGCGTACTGATGGACATCATTAAAGACCTACCTTTCCTTGCACCAACACTCAATGACTTGGAAGGCAACCTCGACATGCTTTTCGGCCCTTCGTACCCTCAACTTCTTACGCATGGCGACCTTGGCTTGCCAAACATCCTCATGGATGAGACTTCCGGCACGGTCACAGGTATTGTCGACAGGAGTCTGGCCACCATCGCGCCTTGTGGCATGGAGCTGGGCGCCTTGCGAGCCTGCTTGGGTGCCTATAGGCTCGGGAAAGGATGGACCGACTTTGCTTGTCGTGACCGGCTGATCACTGCTTTCTGGGACGAATCCTGGCGCGCCACGGATATCCAGGGGATGTTTGAGCGCCAAAGGATAAGGCATGTGGCAGAGCTGGCTGGGAAGCTGGGCATTTTGGTGCAGTACCTGTTTAAACGCAACCCCAATGGGACACCGAAGGATGGCGTCGCCAAGAGACACGCTGCGATGGTGGACCTATGGTTCCAGAGTGGTGTTTTCTAGGTCTCAGCTACAGAGGATATGTATGGGCCCTCTGAATGCAGCGACACAGCCAAGCCTGTCGATATGCACGCGATGAAGGAATTAGTCAACCGATCTTGCCGGTTCAAGACGTATGACGGCAACTATTTGAATCTCTGCTCACACGAACAGTGTCATACCACTGAGTACCTCATAAGTGGATCTACGAGCAAGCGGCCGTCGATGCCGTTTGCTTCGACCACATGACCGGCATCTCAACCGCGAAGGAAACCAGCAGTGGCGTCGCCTGCAGTCTTGTAGCAAAGCGAACAAAGAGAGCGGGGTTTGAGGCTGCTTTGATCCCAAGGAAGCTGGCGGGTGATGATTAGGAAAGACAAGATCAAGTGCTGCGTCATAGGGTAAAGTGCAGCCAGCGACGTAACACAGAACACAGTCAGCAGGGGTCGGGAAAGGACAGACGCATGGCTGATATGCAAGGATCATGCAGTGACCGAGGAGGCAAAAAGGGGGTGTTCAACTCCACACTCTGATTCCGCTTACATCGAGGCGCGTGTTCGGCACTAGGAAATGACGAAGGGTCACTCATCCAACCTCGAAAATCAATATTGCGGTGGCACTGCAGATTAAAATTCACAGCGTACAGTGCTACTCCAGGAATAGCGAAGGAGTTTGTCCCACGAGAAAATTGAGGCCTGGAGCAGCTGTCTCACCATTTCCCACGTTGCCACCGAGCACCGGTAAGTGCTTGTATCATACGGGAACGGGCCCTAGCATTGCATGAGTCTCACAGAGGACGGCAGGCGGTAGCACAATCTTCTCGAGTCGTTTTCGAACACACTCTTCGAGAACTACTCCGGCCATCTTGCCATTGGCTCCCCCTCACTCGAGTCTGCATGTCTCATGTAGGATGAGAACCAAACCCCCTCTATGCATCTTGCCCGATCACTTGACCTTGGCATGCGGAGAGACATCGCAACGACCATACTCCGCTGGCGGAGGTGACAACAGGCAAACATACACAACCTGGACGATGCCATCCCATAAGTCGGTGTGATTCACCGCTACGACCGCGAATGTAGCTGAGACATGCCTTAGTGTCTGCACATGCGGCCATCCTTCGTCATTCACTGTCGATCGACTCGGTGTCATATAGCCCGGAACGTGAGGGCATCTTATGCGGATGATTGAGAGCCAGAACTGTTTATATGGGCTTTGATTTCGAGTGGCTTGCCTAGCTACTGTTGAGGTCATTTTGAGTTTCTTAGCACCGAGTGTTCGACCGCTACTTCCTGTTTGAGAGACGGCGGCTTACGACAGGCACAAACCCCCATAGCCCGGAACGTGCAGGACGACGAGTTGTTAAGAGGAGAGAAACAAGACAAATTTTGGATATCGGTCTCACATCCAAGCCAAGCCATACTCTATTACGAATCTAATATTGGTAACAAGCAAATACCAACATGGCAGTGTCTATATCGCAAGTATCATTCGAACACCACCGCACCGCTCTAGGCATCGGCGAAACGAGTCCACGCATCTCATGGAGGTTCGAAGGCAACGCACCAAACTGGACTCAGAGTCGCTACACCCTGGAGGTTCAGCGCCATGGACAAGCCGCGGCAGACTTGTTCCACATCAACTCGTCCGGCTCAGTGCTGGTGCCATGGCCGACCGTGTCACTGACCTCGGCGGAGTCGGCCACTGTTCGGGTAAAGGCGTACGGCAAGGACAACCAGCCCGAAACCCCCTGGTCGGATGCGGTGCATGTTGAGACAGGACTGCTGACCCAAGAAGATTGGTCGGGAGCTATGATGGTTGCTTCTGTCAGGGCTACAGAGGTGGATGCGCCTCATCAGCCGATTCTCTTTCGCAAAGGATTCTCTCACGAGGAAGGTGTCGCCTCGGCACGTCTTTACATCACGTCTTACGGTATGTATGAAGCATACATCAATGGAGAGAGAGTCGGCGATGCCGTACTGGCGCCAGGATGGCAGAGTTACAACCACAGGCTGGTGTACGATACCTACGATGTCGCGAGCCTGCTCCAGGACGGCAAGAATACAATTGGGATTCATGTGGGCGAAGGGTGGTATGCAGGACGCCTTGGGTTTGCTACTGACCGCAACCTCTGGGGCGACACTCTGGGCACTATGGCTTTGCTTGTGATCACCCGGCCCGATGGAAGCAAGGAGACCATTCCCACCGACCTCACGTGGGCATCGAGCGCTGGCGCGATCATCACATCCGAGATTTACAACGGAGAAGTCTACAACTCAAGCCTCGAGCAACCTTCGTGGTCAGCGGCAGAATTTGAAGCATCAGGCAATGCGAAGTGGATGGGGGTCAAAGAGCTCCAAGGACCCTACGGTCGACTGGCTTCTCCTGATGGTCCGCCAATCCGTCGTATAAAAGAGGTCCAACTGCAGCAAGTCCTGACCAGTCCTACGGGAAAGACCATTCTTGACTTTGGGCAGAACTTGGTAGGATGGCTTCAGCTCAAAGTGGCAGGTCCTGCGGGTCATCAGATCAAGATGGTGCATACAGAAGGTAACAGACCTGAACAATCTAGCCACCATACACACAACTCCTTCCCTTTGTTGCTTGCCATGGTCAATAGTACCTCCCGTTTGCTAACCGACACCAGTCCTAGAGCATGGCGAGGTTGCCACACGTCCTCTACGAACCGCCACCCAGACGGACACACTCGTTCTCTCTGGGGAAGGCTTCCAAACCTGGGAGCCGACTTTCACGTACCATGGCTTCAGATACGTCATGGTTGAGAACTGGCCTACTGACCAAACACCCCTGGACAAGGATTTCGTCAAGGCGATTGTGGTGCACTCGGACATGGAGGAAACGGGGCAGTTTCTGTCTTCCAACGGGCTCCTGAACAAACTAGTAGAGAACGTGAAATGGAGTAGTAAGTGATTCCCTTGCATCAAGTGTGCTCTAATCAGATACATCTTGCTCCTCAATCTGCCTGGGCACTGGCCATTCAAATTGGGGACGTTTGACGTTACTGACCTATCGCTTAGTGGACGGCAACTTCATGTCGATACCAACTGACTGCCCGCAAAGGGACGAGAGACTCGGTTGGACTGGAGATGCACATGCTTTCGCACCGACTGCACACTTCCTATATGACACCTCGGGGTTCTACAGGGGCTGGTTAAGAGTGGGTGGCTTGTTCTCCTTCTTCTGTTGGTGTGGTTTGAGTGACCCGACGCAAGATCGTTAACACGTATCAGGACGCCCAATCCGAGCAACTATCTTATGGGGGTGAGTGCAGTCCGATACACTGTCGCTGCCATCGGCTCACACAATCTTGATCTCTAGGTATCACTCCAGTCGTCATCCCCTGGGTCCCCGCCGTAGGATACCCAACACCATCCGCAGTCTGGGGCGACGCCATAGTGGTCAACCCCTGGAACAACTACGTCTCGTTCGGCGATATCAATGCGCTGAAAGATCAATACATAGGAGCCAAGACATGGCTGGACAGCGGCATCCCAAGGAACGAGGCTGGCCTATGGAACCGCACGACCTACCAATTTGGGGACTGGCTTGATCCTCTTGCGCCCTCTGATGACCCCGGTGCGGCTACGACAGACTCGAGGTACGTGGCTGATGCATATCTGGTCTATGTCACTGGCCTGGTTGCAAAGATGGCTGCGGTACTTGACTATGAGGCCGACGCTGAACACTATGGAGATTGGGCTGGGACCCTGAAGACCGCTTTCCAAGATGCTTGGATTGATCCTGACGGAAAAGTTGCCAACGAGACCCAGACGGGCCTAACCCTGCCACTTTACTTCGACCTTTTTGCCAAAGAAAGTCAGGCTGTTGCAGCTGCCGTCCGTCTCCAGAAGATCATTGCAAACAATGACTACCTAGTCGGCACAGGATTTGCCGGCACCCATCTCCTTGGTCTTACACTGTCTAAGTACAACCTGACCGACACATTCTACCAGATGCTCCTCCAGACGACTGTGCCTAGCTGGCTATACCAGGTCGTCATGGGCGGAACCACGACATGGGAGCGCTGGGACAGTCTCCTCCCAAATGGGGACTTGAACCCTGGCTCGATGACCTCCTTCAACCACTACGCATTCGGATCCGTGGCCAACTGGATATTCCAGACCATAGGCGGCCTGGCGCCAGCTGAACCGGGGTGGAAGACGATCAAGGTGGGCGTTGTTCCCGGCAGCAATGTCACTGAGGCGCAGGCCAGCTACCTCAGTCCCTATGGCATAGTCTCAACAGATTGGCACGTTGATGAGGATGGTTTCCACTTGAGCTTGGTCGTGCCTCCGAATGCGAGGGCGGAGGTGGTGTTGCCCAAGACCAATGGGGAGATTCTGGCGGTTGGCAGTGGTACTCACGGGTTTGTGGTTTCGGGCTATCGATTGTAGTCGCAGTGAAAGGCAGATATCTTGGGCTGGGGTGAACAATCAGTTTCTCAGCGACTCGCCTCTTGCCTACACCCCTATCTACTGTGCCTGTGGACCTACCTAGGTAGGCACAACCGCCTATGCTTCTGCTTATCTGACCAAGGGCAGCAGCTCACTCGACCTCTCACACGGGTCAAACATCATAGATGCCCTCCGCGTCGGATGATCCACGGTTAAAAGGGTCAATCCCCCGTACTGTCAACCCATCCATAGATGCACTGCAGGGGGGTTCCCCGCATTCCCCCTTTTCCTGGGGATTTTACCCCTCAACAGTTCCATCCACGTTCAAGCTCATACGCAGAATATGTTAACAACCCTTTGAGACGGAAATGGGTCACTTGAAAATTTACGGTTGCTCTAGAAGCTTAGTAGCTTAGCCGCACGTATCACCGTATGACGACACCGTCGCCACTGGGTTGTTGCCGGCTGGTGATCGTCCGGTCCGGCCTACCACGATGTCACTGCTGTGCCATATCTGACCTGCCAGCAACTTTCCATTCGGATTACTTGCCGAAGGACCTAGGTCGAGGTAGGATGTCCCAACATTTCCACCAATGAGACCGACAAGGCATAATTCGCAGACAGCACGGGGCATCGTCCGCCAATGATACCCTATAAATTCAATGATGTCACAGTATTCGATCCACCATACCTGCTCTCGTCCCCAATACTTGTCTCGCTTCGATGGGCCGGGTTTATAGTCCCGCGTCGCAGCCGATGGAAGGCTACAAATAGGCACGGAGGTCAGCAGTGATATATCCTTGGTAGCTTGGTCTCGTCACTCAGACCTCGGGATGCAGTTTCTCCTACTACTCGGTGTCGGCCAGCTCGCCGCGGCGGGTGCCCTCTGGGCTACCACACCTGCTGATGCTTCCGACATCATACGGCAAGCCTACCCCTTAGGTAACGGCCGACTTGGCGTTATGCCATTCGGTGAAGCTGGCTCGGAGAAGCTCAATTTGAACATCGATACGCTCTGGTCAGGTGGTCCCTTTGAGCTTGAGGTGAGTTGATCCTGTACCAGCAGAGACACGTTATTCTGACGGCGACTCCAGGGCTACAATGGTGGGAATCCTAACGGTAGCATGGTGGATACCTTGAACGACATCCGGAGTAGTATCTGGTTCAACGGCACTGGAAGTAAGTGCGGTATGAGTATGAGGTAGTCCGATCTCTCCTCGCTCACAGGTACTAGATGACACGCAGCTTTTCGGTGACATCTCCGGCTATGGTAGCTTCAAAGCGGCGGGAAACCTGTCCGTGTTCATTGACGGTATTGATGCGACGAGTGGTTCATACAACAGATCGCTGGACCTATTTTCTGGCTTGCATACGACGACCTATGAATTCAATGACACGACGATCACGACTACCGTGTATTGCAGCTACCCAGACCAGGTCTGTGTCTACAGCGTCGCCTCTTCACAAACGCTGCCTCAAGTGTCCATATTACTCGAAAACCAGGTTACCAGTAACCCAGACGGTCTTAATCTGACCTGTGGTTCCGACTACGCGCGTCTGACCGGCTTGACGCAGAACAGCGATCCAGTGGGAATGAAATTGGACATCATTGCTCGGAGCAGTACCAGCGGCGTCTGTGATAGCTCAAGTGGAACTCTTGTTGTCTCTGCGAGCAATAGCACAAGCCTAACAATAGTCATTGGAGCAGGAACAGACTACGACCAAACGAAAGGTACGAGTGTCGAGAACTACTCGTTCAGGGGCGATGATCCATCGTCCTATGTGGAAGAGGTCACAGCAGCAGCTATCAAGATACCCGAGCCAGACCTTCGAAGCGCCCACATCTCCGACTACAGCAGCCTGAGCGGGGCGTTTACCTTGAACCTACCAGATACCCAGGGGTCTACTAGGACCGAGCTTGCTAAGGTCATGGACGGCTATAACTCCAGTCTTACCGAGGGTAATCCTTTTCTGGAGAAACTGATGTTTGATTATGGCCGTCATCTGCTCATCTCCTCATCTCGAGCCAACAGTCTTCCGCCTAATCTGCAGGGTGTATGGTCAGAGCAAGACAGTGCCGCCTGGTCGGGCGACTACCACGCCAACATCAACCTGCAGATGAACATGTGGCCAGCTGAACAGACGGGTCTGGGCGACGTGCTTGTCTCGGTATGGAATATGATGTCGAATACATGGGTTCCTCGTGGCACCGAGACGGCTGAGCTTCTTTACGGCGCTGATGGGTGGGTGACTCACAACGAGATGAATATCTTCGGACATACCGGGTAGTTGATGAAACAGTCTTGAGCTCGGTACGATGCTGATTTTGGATAGAATGAAAGACTGGCCTACCTCCTCCGACTACGCCATCGCTCCGGCCTGGATGATGCAGCATGTATGGGACCACTTCGACTATTCGCAAGACGTCGACTGGTGGCAGCAACAGGGATGGCCGCTCCTCAAAGGAACAGCCGAGTTCTGGTTATCCCAACTCCAAGCCGATGCATACTACAACGACAGCTCACTTGTTGTGAATCCTTGCACGTCCCCAGAGCACGGCCCTGTGACATTTGCTTGCGCTCACTGGCAGCAGCTCATCTACCAGGTCTTTGAGAGTACACTCGCTGGCGGCGACGCAGCAGGCGAGACCGATGAAGCGTTCTTGGCCGACGTAACCACGAAGCTGGCCGCTTTGGACAAGGGGCTGCACATCGGGACCCACGGAGAAATCAAAGAATGGAAAGCGCCCGAGTCCGTTTACGAAGACTCCGAGATATACCAGCATCGCCATCTCAGCCACCTGGTCGGTTGGTACCCCGGATGGTCCATCCCCTCGTTCCAGGGGGGTTACACAAACGAGACGATCCAGCGAGCAGTGAACATCACGCTCACTGACCGCGGGACCGGCCACGCGGATGGGGATGCGGGCTGGTCCAAGGCGTGGCGATCCGCCTGCTGGGCTCGTCTGAATAACAGCGACGAGGCTTATTACGAGTTCAGGTACACGATCGATGAGAACTTTGGCAGCAACGGCCTTTCGATGTATACCGGCGACGGCACCACTGAGCCGAGCCCGCCATTCCAGATTGATGCGAACTTTGGAATTGTTGGCGCTGTGCTCAGTATGCTTGTGGTGGACATGCCGCTTGCGAGCGGTAGCCAGGAAGAGCGTACTGTGGTGCTTGGCCCTGCTATACCTGCAGCTTGGGCGGGTGGCAGTGTTCAGGGGCTCCGGATCCGTGGTGGAGGTAGTGTGGGCTTCTCTTGGGACGAGCGGGGCGTTGTTAATAATGTGTCTGCGAAGGGTCTCAGTGAGAATGTTCGGCTCGTCAACGTGGAGGGGCTGATGTTTGATTAAAGGTCAGCAGCTCAAGCAACGAATGTCAAATGACGCGGGTTATAGGTAACCTTAGTTCCGTCGTTGAAGTATGTATGCAAAAATCCAGCGTCACCTTTTTTCGAGCCGTTTAGATCAAATGAGTATACTCTGTGGTCAACGGTCGTACCCTACCTAACCTAAGGTATATGTCGGTGGTATGTTGCTATTCCATGCTGGGAGAAAAGGGGGAAGCACGCCAAGCTCTGACGGCTGCCAAGTAGCCGCCGGACCGCTGACACTTCGTTGATTCATGCAACATGAGACAGGACAATTCCGGCGACAGACCAGAAAGCCAAGACTTTCTTCTCAGAGAACACCTGAAACTCCAAGTCCTTGACGGGCGCAACTCTCGACCCTGAGCGACAAAACGGCCACCCAATTGGTCCCGCGAACCTTGATGCCACAATAGCGAGCGAAGAAACCGATCCTCCAACACCGCCCGAACCCCTCACAACCCCTCCACTACCCTCCCTCCCTCGACTCCCACCCCGCCAAAGCGACAAAAGCCACCGAAAATGTCAGGCTGCGACTCCCCCGAAATTCTCGCGGCATACGACGCCGTGCGCTCCGACAAAGACGAGACGAACTGGCTATTAATATCCTACGCCAGCGCCGTCGGCGACAAGCTCGTCCTCACGGGCACGGGCACAGGCGGGCTCCCAGAGCTGGCGGCGCGCCTCGACCACGGGCAGGCGCAGTACGCCTACGTGCGCGTCGAGTACGCCAACGACACGGAGAGCAAGCGCGTCAAGTTCGCGCTGGTGATCTGGATCGGCGAGAACACTAAGGTCATGCGCAAGGCGCGCGTGTCGATCGAGAGCGGCGCCGTCAAGAGGGTGTGTGCGCACCACAGCATCCAGGTCGATGCGCGTGATAGGGGGGACCTGGAGGAGAGGGATGTTGTTACGCGGTTACGGAAGGCGGGCGGTGCGGATTACAATGGTGGTCGGGGTTGATATGGGTATGAGGGAAGTGGAAGGATAGACGGTTGCTTGAGGCGTTGAGGGGGTGCTGAGGCCGGATAGACGGTGTGCTTCTTGGTTATTATACACACATATACACGGGATACACACAGGTGCAATAGACGCGGTATGAACTTCTTGCTGGAGAGGCTCCCCCTTCCAGGCAGAGCTCCTCGTATCAGTTCTTCAAGAAAGGAGGCTCCCAGGGTGTACCATGCCTAGCCCTGAACAGGCTCTCTGCCCCATCCACTGAGATTGACAACTTCGGGAACCCTCCCACTCCTGACGATAGTCCAGACCACGTCCTCGTCGCTGTCGTTGACCTCCTGGTGCTCCATGTAGGCCGGTATCAGCGCATAGTCGCCAGCTTCCAGGTCGACCCTTTTCTTGCCCCCTTCGCTGACAACAGTGCCGCGACCGCCGACTGCGTAGACGACCGTGTCCTGTGGGCCGTGGTGATGGACGGCCGAGGCGGAGTGTGGCTTGGCTAGCATGCTCGATGCGCAGATGCCGTCGCACTTGTCGACGATGGCGTTCTTCCGGATCATGCCCTCGGTCTGGCCGCCGGATGTGGTGAGCGAGGTGCCCTTGGCGAGGTACACCGGCTGCGTGGGCTCAGGGTGCGACATGACGAATAATGTGGTGTAGAACCTGATGAACAGGCAGTTGTGTAATTGCCACTTTTGTACTTCAACGCATCCTGTCTATCACGTCAGTGTCGCGTATCCTCCAGGTATATCTGAAGGGGTTTTGTTTATTCATCGTACGGGATTATCGCTGTATCGCAGTCAATGGCGGGGTTGCACATTGCATTCGACTTGACTGCCCTTCCATGATCAACGCATCTGAGGAGCTATCAACAACACAAAGCTGCAATGGAGGTCACAAACAGTCGTCGTATACTGGCCGTCTCGCTGACAGACTCGGTTCAGCATCTCGCAAGAGTCATCAAAGGTATGTTTGCTCATCTCATCGGAGACTGTTTCACGTGATCCTCCACGAAGCTCACACATGCGCCAGACCTTACGGGAACGATACCCGAGCAAACATCGACATCCCTGGCTGGCTCATCACACAATCTGTCGATAAAGACAGCATACTACACAGCCGACGTACCCATATGGATAGACCTGATCTCATCGCCTTCAGAATGGGCCGGCTCATTCCTCTCACCGGAGGCGAAGGAGGTTCTCCAGGTACTTGGGGGCGTCATGGTCGTATTTTCACTGCCAGTCAAATCAGATTCGGAGGAAGGCAAAGCGGCCCGTGAGCTCATACAGCACGTTGGCAAGGTAGTGAAGGACGGTCTTGGCGGCTGGGGATGGGACGGCGTAGGTCTATGCCTTGGTGTGGGAGAGATCGACGATGTGGATGAGTGGGATGATTGCTGCGCGGAATGGGGTCTGGAGCTCGTACAAGTGCGAACTCAGTCGGTTGCGACACGGAACGATTTGGGTGGTGAGTTCAGACTATGATCGCAAACTTGCATCATACACGTCTGGGTATGGCTTACAAGATGTGTAGAGAAAACCGGCATACCTCGAGCTCTCGAGGCTTTCCAGTCAAACGACTGGTCAAACGCCTCTATGGATGACCTCGGATCTGACTTTGGGGACTTTGAGGCTGAGATAGAAGCGGAAAGAGAGTCGCATTCCACCAAGGAGGCAGGTGGTAGCAAAGAAGATGTAGATCTCAACCCCGAGAATCTCGACTTCGGCTTCGACCGTGAGGACTTTGAGGGTCTGAAGCGAGCGATATGGAGTTCTGGTCAGGACGACAATGAGTCGTCCATGGACGGAAAACCTAGCACATCGACATCTGGGAAGGAAGTGGTAGGGGAGGCTGAGGAAAGCATAGATGACGATGAGATCCAGAAGATCGAGCGTATGATGGTGAAGCTACAGGCGGTGCGGGATACCAGCGCAGGTCTACCGGAAGATCAGCGGAAACGGGTAGCTGCTAAGGCGGTCGCGGAGGTGATGAAGGAGCTTTGATATACAATAGCTCATGTATCATCTCTGCTTCATCTTTCTGCCTACTTGTCTGCTTGGCGCAATCCATTGGGCCAGCCTCATGCTAATGACATGCAAGACACCGTGGTTCTCTGCCGCCCACCCAGCTCTCATATCTCGTTGGTCTCGTCAGACATGCAACTGAGCGCAAAGCCTTCGCCATACTCCGGCCCTGTTGTAGCTCGTTTATCTCTCCAGCTGCCACCCTCCATTACTCCACGGCACGAGGGTAAACCTTGAATATCAAGATGGAGGTGGCTCACGACCCCATGCTGTCTGTCTGGTGTTCAAGAGTAAGCAAGCACAGGGCTGGTTGGGAGCTTTCGATTGACGAGACTATCAATGCGTCAATAGGTCAGTCCTGTCTGTGTATTGTCTCGGCACATTTGTCACTATTGACACTTGAGCACGGAGACACCACTCAGGCGCGTTACTCTCACATGAGTGCGGTCCCTTATGGAGGACATATTTTACCAAGAGGACTATTGCGAGGAATGGCCATCCAGTATATCAGCACCTTGCCGAATAAGGCCGGATTCGTACACTTTTCGTATCAAGCAATGAAGCTTTTCTGAACGATTGTCTGGGGAATGTAGGCACAGGTCACACAGGGGATTCGTGCGGAAGCTCTCTGGGGTATATGTGAGCTTGGAGCTGTGAGAGCGAAACCGTTGGATAAGCGCGATGCCCTGACCGAACAATCGTCAGCCAGAGACGCATCTCGGACTTCACAGATGGAGTACGTGAGCTACCCGTGCCCCGCACCACTTTCCACCTAGCTAGGGCTCACCACATAAAGTGGTGCTCAGCACAGTAGCACACCAACCACAATAACACACCAATATGAGGTTATTCAGCATTAAAATTTATGTAGCAACCGCATCTTCTTGCCAGATTCATAGATATCAGCAGTAGGCAGTCTCTTAGTCATCCTCCAATGCCTGGCCAACTTTGCTGCCTCCTTAGTGAGGTTCTTTCGTGATTAGAGCTCCTTCTTTGTTAAGATATCTGTCTTTTTTTAGAGGTCTGTTGTGGTCTTTTGCTCCTTTTTCTTTACTATCTGATGCCTGATTTTAACTGTGAGTACTCCTCCTGATTGGAGAGGAGTGTTCTTTGCAGACTTGCGCTGGTTGTTAACTCGAGAAGCTAATTCGGTCCTTCCAAGCTCCCTTTTGGTCTGGACTAGCTGGGAGGCGTGGAAGCGCACCCCCTTGGATAGGGGCCTGATCTTCTCAATATCTTCAGGAGTAAGATCCCCGCCATCGTCCAGGTTATTCAAGGCCTCGTCTACTTGATAAGCGACCTTGTGAATCTGCAGCATTGTAGCTGGGGTGGCAACTGGAGAGGAACCAGGCTGGTTAGGGGGGGTTGATGGGGTCCTTACGCGAGCTTCGCAATTGTGACGGCGAGCATACTGGGGAGCTGGGACATGGCCTGCAGCAAGCAGCTATTACTCTATTGACGAGAATATCAAGACTAGAGAGGAAAGGAAGAGAGAGAGAGAGATAGGTACAGTGGGAGGTTGCCCCTTTAAGGGGATCCTCTGGTCAGATCCTTCCCCTATTGGGAAGTATCCGCTTGTCATGTGGGAAGGTCTGTGCAGGCCGTCACAGTGCTCCTTTAAGTAGTTAATCACAACTGACAGTTTAAAGGGATAGATCTCTGTTTTCTTGAAGGCAGAGAGGATAGTGGTCTTCTTAAAAGCTTGTTGGCAAACCCCTTCAATACACGACAAGAACTCGATCTTCCCGATATGCGTGAGACCATCACGCACCATAATATCTAGGGCTTTAACATAATAGTGCTTCAAGGGCTGAAAACCACCACATCAAGCGATTATAGTAAATGCGTCATATTCAGAGGGAGACCAAAAGGGATAATGCCGTTGTCGTCACAATATCTAATGAACTGTGTCGTGTGATGGCTACTGTGACTGTCGATAATTAGGAGCCTCTTTATACCAACTTGAGAGGTCTTAGAGTGCTTGTTAAAGTGCTTAATCCACTCTAGGCTGATCTTGTCGTTCAAATAACCACTCTCCGCGGTTGTAATCACCATCCTGGGGTCTAATTCGGGTACCTTGTATCATGAAGACATATGGAGGGTGCCAGAGAGAATAAGGAAGCCTGGGACAACCTCGCTGGCGGCAGAGATAGCTTCTATGCCAGTAGCAGACTCCCTATTCTCTGGTATTCCGAAATAATGGGCTCTTTTTTGCTTGATGACAACCATCTGGTCCTTTCTAACCCCTAATTGAAAGCCAATCTCGTCCATATTCCACAGGTTGTCAGGAAGGATGCCCTCTTCCTTAATAACCCTCCCCAGCTTCTGAAAGTACTCTTCAGTGTGTTTTGAGTCTTAAACAGCTTACCGATCTTGTGAAAGGACCTTCTGAGGCTGCTTGAAGTATCCGTGGCGCTTGATGAAGCGGGAGGCCTAATTCTTGGCAACTGTGGGTAGTTCCGTGACCGCGGCACTCGCCGACTCCTTGAACAGCAAGTTGGCAGCCTCTGTGATAAATTCTGGCCTCACAGAGATTAATGGCATCTAGGCGGTCGATATAAGCACAGACAGCCTTTTTATGTATCGCATTCAGCTTGGTGGGTGGTTCTCGTGGTTCTTTTTTGGAAGGGATGCCCTGCAGGCGGTTGCGGAAGCGCTCCCTTAGAACCCTGAATTAGCGGCAGATACCGCGTTTGGAGGCATCCGGATGCTCGTCGGCATATTCTAAGGCTTCGTGAATACTGGATTCCATCATGAAAAGGTCGTCTGTCCAAAGAGACAATGACTTTGGTGTGGTTTTGGCTGGAGGGTGGTTATTTTAGAAGACTGGTGTGTTATTGTCGTTGGTGTGCTACTGTGGTGAGCACCACTTTATGTGGTGAGCCCTAGCGAGGTGGAAAGTGGTGCGGGGCACGGGTAGGAGGTCGAATCACATTCGTACCACAGATATCGGTCCGCGCTTGGTTCCTTACTCGGAAGATGGAATGGAGGCAGGGATGAAACTTGATCCTGACAGGAACAGGCCCTCGAATTTTGCTCCGGTCCCGGTCTATCGGTGATAATCACGCGCCAACCTTAACGCCGACGTCCATTTCGTGCGCCTGACGTGCCAGTCTAGTCCCGGTTCCGTGTCTACCACGCCGCAAGGGAGTCGTCTAAATTGCCTCCGTATCCGCCGCATCAAGTACCGTTCATATGCAGTAGGAAGCACATGCGACCGCAACATCAAAAACTGAAGGCCTTGTGCAATGACGCAGCCGGCATCCATTGACCTGCTTAACCCGGCGCCGGGTCCGTCTTCGTCGCCAGGCGGGAGAGCTTGTACGAACTGCGCGCGCGTCAAGTGCAAGTGTATCCCTCGTCCTGATGGCATAGGTTGTGAAAGGTTCGATGCCTATCTCCCAATGTTTCAACAGAAGCGTCCCCTGCATACACTCGATTCGGACTATGTGCCCCTCATGTGCCGAAGCCTGGCCAGTATATACCTGCCCACCTGTGTGGTATTCGAAGAACCGGCAGGTTTGCTAATATTCTTGCCATAGGTGCCACCGTCTGAAGAAGGAATGCACGCCGACTGGCGTGGTCAGACGTCGAATACCCAAGCGTAAAGATGCATCTCGGGTGGCCAGAGTCGAGGAGAAGCTCGATCAGCTTGTGTCGTACCTGAAAACACACGAAGAGCCCGATGATTCAAATCCAGGAGACGTCGACGATGCGAAGGCGCAAGATGAGCCGGGTTTCAGAACGGACACGCCTGCAGATTCTGTCATGAGTTCAGCGTCCACAACCAGTCACCACGATGTCACGTCATCGAGCCTGGCCGTGACTCCGGCTTCGAGTATCTGCTATGCAGACGAGCCGTCAGATTCAGAAGCCGAGGAATCACTGAAGAAATTCAGGGAAGAACGAATAGTCAGTTCCGATAGTCCAACTCATTTTATGAAACCTCGAGATACACTAACCCAAGTTGAAGCCATATTTCCCGTGTGTCTACATACCGCCACATGTGACCTCCGAACAGCTTCGGCAGGCTTACCCGTTTCTATGGCTGAACGTTATGATGACGACAGCGGCAACACCAAGGAGGGGGGAGGTGCTGGCGGAACAGGCAAGAGCCATTATCTTCCAGAAAGTCGTGATAGATCGAGAGAAGAGCATCGATCTTCTCATGGGGATGCTCACCTTCCTCGGCTGGTATGTGTCACGCCTAGATGCCGTGGATTCATTTCACTACGTACTAACTCGGTTCTTCCAAGGTGTCCATCTCATAAGAAGAGCAACAAATACGTTACGTTGTTCTCCCAGCTCATTGTCACCCTCGTCTTCGACATGGGTCTTCACATACCGCCACCCGAACATGCATTTATTCCTTGTGGTCCTTCCAAGGGGTGCAATTGCTCCTTGCATCCCTACACTCGGAGACGACGCACCGACGAAGAGCGGCGAACTGTTCTAGGAGCCTTCGTCATTACATCCATGTTAGTCGATATCCAAGCCCGTTGGCGCTTGCAATGTTGGGTATCTAATGAAACTTGCAGGTTGTCGTACGCTTTCAACCGCAGTGATGGACTGCGTTGGTCTTCGCATCTCGATGAATATGTTGCAAGTCTATCACACGATAGCACTGTGTTGCAGGACAAACATCTCATCGCTCAGGTGAAGATGCAACTAATCATAAATCAAATCCACCACGCCTCATGGCCCACCACCGGCGCAGAACTTCCCGCGTTGTACCTGTCTGCCCTTCGATCGCAGCTTCAGCAGATAACCAAGGGAATGAACGTCAGTCCAGATGTTGGAAATCCCCGTGAGCATAATAAGCAGTAGTTTGTTCCGAGTTGCCACTAACAGTCTTTGCTGCAGCCATGCTCTCGAAGCTCTTTCATTTCACCGACCTTCTGATCTACCAATCCGCAATCAGCACACCAACATCTCCATGGAGCAATCCGGACTTCCGGCGATTCGAGGTGTATCAGGGCTGTCTAGACGCAATCAAGGGCTGGCTCGACGCATTCTTCGCTATTCCAGTTGCTCAGTATGGCTCCATGCCGATCATCGTCTACCCTCCTCTCGTCCTCACGCTGTGCAGCCTCTACAACTTGACAATCCTTCAAGACCCAGCCTGGGACCGGGCCGCGGTTCGCGGAATCGTTGACTTGATCCCGACATGCGACAGGATCATCGCAGCTTTCGACTCCTTGGGACCTGGTGCAAGCTCGACGTCACCTGATAATGTCGGCTATGAGGGCTACACCTGGTGCCTAGGGGTGATGAATGCGAAAAGGATGAAGTGGCAGAAGGACCTGGAAACCATCGACGCGGCAGGCAGTGCAACTCAGGAAGCAAGTTTCGTGGGCGGCACCGATAGTATAGCATCCAATGCGCCTATGGAGTTCTGTGTTGATATGTGGCTATCTGAGTTCTTGAATACTTCATGGGAATGAAACCACCGGTATATAATAATGAATACGGGCTGCGAACAGACAAACCAAATCCGCCCCTTGGATTCGCACTCCAAACACACCACCCTTCAAAGCCCAGGCGGACCCCCTTTCAGCATACTTCAACGCCTAGGAACGCCCATCTCCCAAAGCGGAAATGTTCCCCTTTATGGACTCAGCCCTACGATGCTCCCGAATGGAGGTCTCGAGATTTGCGGAGCCGGATACGACCAGTTCCTGACATTTCGTGCCGAACCACAATAATAAGGATATCAGAGCTTCAATTATCAAGCATGCCACTCGTATCCAAAGCCGTATCGCCGGAACGTTCCAGTCGTTCCGTCCGTAGACATCGCTCTCGATTCCATAGTCGGCCTTGGAAGACGTTACTGCAAAAAAGATGCCAGAGGCTTGCTTGACTACGTAGAAAGTGCTATCATGCTCTTCGCGAGGCATGTCAACCTCAGCATAGCCCTGGCATAAATGAGGGAGAGTACAAGCAACCATCCTCAAGCCAGGGCAGGTATGGTATCACTATATCCGAATTACTCATGATGGTCCTTTCCGCGTACTGCAATCTATATTCACGACTCTTCGCTTTGGATTGGCTTCCTAACGGTGTGATTTCTGCGCTGAGAGAAAGCACAGCCAAAACGACCAGGAGCCCGAGACGCACGCAGTCAATTGACTATCCCTTGTGCTGCCCAAAACAGTGTCGCATGGCAAACAAGACATGGGCTGGAAAAAAGTGCTGATAGGAGCATTCAACGAAAAGAGGCTACAATGGACCTCCGTTTATTATCAGGCATCGCCCGAGAACATGGCAGGAGATCGCAAGCATGAATATCACCAGTGGAAAAAGTCACTCTTTGATACGTGTTTTTTATTCCGTGGTATTATGACCCTCGCCATCATGTTCGTAACAAGGAAAACACAGCGAACAGAGACCTTCTTCATCATCCAATCATGGGGTAGTCGAGCAATCGATCTCGACCAGCGCAATCAAACAGAGTTGAGAAGCAAGCTTCAGGGCTTCCGCCGCAGTTATGTCGCCGCCTCCCATCAATAGGACTGCTCTCCCAGATTGTTGTGCAACAACTATCTTCTTCCACCTGAGGTATCAATCATCAATGTCCCTCGAAACGGGCACGTATTCCAACCGCCAACTATTTCCGTGGCCAGCTGTGATGGCTGATATCCCCAGTACATCTTTTAAAAATTAGTATCCGGAAACCGTAGCCTCCTGGGCCTTCCCCATATTCATCTGATTTTCCCGCCTGACAGCTTGAAACGACATCGCTTATTCCATAATGCGACAAGAACAAAAAGGGAGGGCTGAGATCCGCAACTAAAACAACGCGTTGATTAGATCCGGCGGGTCGCAATATTAGTCCAGAAGACGAAGACGAGGTGGTCGTATTCGTCCTCAGCAGAGTTTAGGAGGTATAATCAAAGGTTTAATCGCTGTACCAGACACGCAGTAGTGTATGTCGAGGTGAGGTATCGGCATGCAGAACTTCGTAGGTGGGTGGGTTCGATGAATTGGGACAAGAAACGAATTCAGTCTTGTATGACCAAGACCGCACGAGAGGGGGGTGTATGGAGAGATCGCGACTAGGAAGAGCCACCAAAACGACAAGAGGTATATATGCCTACAACGCCAGATCGACACCAGCAAAGGAAAGCCTGGAGAGCGGAATATCCAGACCGGTATGTACGTCGCAGCGACAAGGTGACTAGTGGTGTGCCGCTGTCCATCGGGAACACCATGTCAACTTCATTGGTGATGCGACATGCTCTCCGGGGAGAGACTGGAAGGGTCAACTGTGTCAAATTGAACCAGTTGGTTCATGTCCAAGTCCGCCTGGCTAGAGTCACCGTAGGCAGGGGAGTGTGGGTGCATGGGGAGATTAAGGGTGTGCTTGGAGTACATCTCGTTCAAGCTGTGTCCATCATCTGAAATCGCCGAGTCGCCCATAGGGTAGATGTCTGCAGAAGCTGGTCTTTGCATCATCGACATCGGTGGCGATTGCTCGACAATAGCAGGGTCACCGTGGTGGTGGTGAGCGTAGGGCAATGGCGATGCAGGGTGCGGGATCTGGGGCATAGGCGAAAGGAACGAGCCGCTGTAGGGGGTATGTACAGGCAGCGGCGTGTGTTCGGGAGCTTGCGAGAAGAAACTGGGGCTTGCGTATTCCGAAGGGGCTGTTGTAGCAGCCGACATAGGGTATTGCCGCAGGTCCATACCATAGCTAGCCTGCGTGTCGATTCGCAGGTTGGGGCCCACGTTGTTGAGATGGGGCTGTTGGGGCACCGGCGAGTATATATGGGTGCTGTGAGCCTGAGGTAAGTTCTCGCCTGGGTGTTGGATATAGAATGAAGGCATCGGATTCTGGAACATTGAGAAATCAACAGCAGTGGGCACAGATCTGCTACGCTGTCGCTTGTGACCAGGACCACCGCGCATGCCGTGGTGCATGGGACTGATTCCCCATTGCGATTCTTGGAACATACCCACATGGGGCTGGGCGAAGTTGGGCTGCGAGGACGGCCGGTTCGTGGGAGACACAGGTGCAGAGACGGACAATGCGTGGCTACCCATGTCGAAGGGGTGAGGGTGGTGTCGGTTCATGAAGGTCTCAAGCGAGACCAGTTTCGCAAGCTGGCCGGCCAAAACCTTTGGGTTACCGCCAAGATGGTGCACAAAACAGTGAGTTGCCTGCTGGTCTTCCGTAAAGTCTCCACACTGGAAGAAGCCGTTCGAGTTCGGGGATGAGTCCATGAAGAAGTTGGGAGGACGATTGAGCTCAATGACGAGGCCGCCAAGCTTGCTGGCGTCCCCTTCGGCGTTTTCCAGGTATATGTTCTTGATCGCACTGAAGTGGTACTCGATCTTGTAGCCAGCTTGGTCGTTGTTGATGTAGTAGGTCATGGTGCATTTCTCAGGCGAGTAGAAGATGATGAGGTCCATCGTGTTCTGTCCGACGCGTGTCCATTTTCCAATGCTCAAAGATCGACATGTCAAGTGGTGGATGACTGTAGTTGTCAGTACCCTGTAGCCAGAGGACTATGGGGTGTTTGGACGCGACTTACGGACTTTGCCCTGGCCGCCCTGCTCACCACCCAGCATCATTGAACCATAGGCCATCAAGCCAGTACGTCCCATGTATGGGCCGCCGAGCCCCTTGCCTGATTCCATCGCCTGCATAGCGAGATACGCGCGCATGGACTCGGGAATCGAATCGATATCCTCGCCGGTCTCCAGACTCTTCTTAGCCAAGAGCTTAATCTTGGCGCGTCTGGAAGTGGCAGGTTGCTATTAGTATGAGGCGTTAAGAATTAGAAGACAGCAGTTGCAACGTACCGGTTCTGAAACCAAATCTGAACAGACCTTTCGGTCATGTTGATTTCATCGGCTATCCTCTCGCGGACATTGGCAGTAGGTGTCGGGTTCTTGTTGAACTCTACCTCCAGCGTCGTCAGTTGATCCTGGGTGGCGCGCTGTCGCTTCTGGTTCTTTTGCTGTTGCGTCAAGGTGCTCTTCCGCGGCGGGCGCCTTGACGAGTTCGAGTGTGAGTTTGATGTGGCCGATTTGGGGGAAGGAGATTGGCTGTTCTTCGTTCCGATAGACGCATCGGGTGTTGAGATGGGCTCGGGGGTAGATTGAGCCAGGCTCGCAGCAGTTAGAGGCGCGGAGCCCGGCTGCTCCATCTTGATGGGTGTTTCCATTGCTGATTCGGTACTGAAAGGAGTGTGTGCCGGTATCGCGAATGGGTAATTGTAAATAGAAGTCGTCGGCTGTGGTATGCCTCGAAATCGGGTCTCGTACGCGCGAAGTATGGTACTACTACAGCTCAATCGCGGTCGGGAAGAGAAATATAGAGTCGGGTTAGACTGCAAAGTTGAGAAGTTCTGTCAAGGAGTGTCGTTCCAAATCCGCGACTGTCGTCGGAATAGGAGAGTGTGTGGTAGTTCGGTCTGTCGGCGCAGAATTCTGCTACAATGCTACAACTACTTGGGTAGTAGACAGATGGTGACCGCGACGGTGGTTCAAGCCTAAGGAATGAAATGGACCCGGAAGGAGTGACGGTGTCCGTACTGGCTACAATGTGAAAAAGAGAGTGTGGTGAAAAAAAGAAACAAAATGACGGGAATGGGAGAAGAATTGCCGAAATGGTCGACGATGTTGACGATACGGAGAAGAAGATGAAGATGGGGGGGAGGGGATAGGGGAGGTAGAAAAGGGAACAGGAAAGGAGGAGAGGAAAAAAGAACGGGGCGCGACGGTGCTAGCGCCGGTGGCCGACTGCAGCGACCTCGACATCTCACTCAGCGATAGCCTGTCCAGGCTGCCAGGGCGGCACATGATTGACTGGGTCTGGAACTGAGAGAAAGCTTCCGAGTGGGTACACAGTACACAAAATTTACACCGTCTGTACCAGCACCAAGAGCTGATCTATGCAGTGTACTAAGCTTTGGCCCACCAATCATCAATCGCTGCCAGCTGCCCCAGCAGCCCAGGCCGGGTGTCGGACCCCGATGACACGGTGGCACGCTATCAATAATAGGCCGGGCCTGTCCCTTATCTGCAATCCTGCGCACTGTACCTTCCCTGATCTTTGCCGACGGCTGCAGTCGTCAACAGCACTTGTAAACACACCGTCTATTCTGCTTTCAAGTTTCTGCAGCCCATTAAAGATCTATAAATTGCATCTGACGGTCATATTACCAGCACCTACTGGTCGTCATTGATCACTGCTCCGAAAACAGTTTGCCGCGCCTGAATTGTCTTTTATGAGTAACAACACTGCCACCTACGGGATGGGATACAATGGCCGCCAGGACAAGTGCCACTGCCAACGGTCTCGGCTTCTGAAGGACTGTCGACTGTCTTTCCGGGTTTATCGGGCCATCGACCTTTCCTCAATCCACAAATCCCAGCCACGAGCTCAGAGCACGCAGGCAACGACGGGAGAATGTTTGGGGACTGGAGACAGTGTCGAGGTGAGACGGGATCCCTGGCAATCAAGGACATGGTCTTTACCACCTTACGCCTGCACTAGCCAGCCGGGGCTGCCAATCCTCTGCGGGCAACGGACATGTTCCGTAGGTACTGTAGGTCTCTTTCAGGTACAGTCTGTACAGTGGGTGTGGTGCGGTACGTTGTACACGGAGCCAACGATCGAGTACGGTGCATGACGCGATGACGCGACAGGTAAGGAAGGTACTGTACCAGCTCGCCGGGTAAAGACTACTGGTTTCTGTTCATCTCATGGTCGACTGCCACCCAGTACTTCGTGAGCTCTTCGACGGCGGATAGACTGGTATATGTAGGGCTATCTAGGGGTCTCGACTCCCGAGCTCGGCCAACGTTTGGTCTCATCATAACCTCACCTTCTTCCATAACAGTCGTCAGACTTGGCCTTGAAGCAGGAATATGCCAGTCACCTTCCAGCTTCATTATCACTTACCAGACACAAGCAGGCTCATAACTCCAATCGCTCCGACAAACGACATGTCGCTGAAGAGCCTTCCTGCTTTTTGTTTCCTTATGTGAGGACTGGGTTTGACCCCAAAAAAGAGCATGAGTTCGACAAAAGCCAGTACAGAGCAACTTCATCGAGCAAGCCGAATCGAGGGCGCACACCAGTGGCATGGATAACAGGCCCTTCAGCCGCTGTGAGATGTCGACTTTCCAAACTCTTACCTGGTTGTCTTTTCCCTCATCCTCTTCAATCTTTCCTCCTACAGTAGTAGGGCTGCTGGACCGGGACCAGCCGTGCTCTGCTAAATTGGTCAACGTGCTGGTTCGTCTTTACCACGGCGCGAGGAAGAATATCGTCGCCGTCATGCAGCTTGTATGGGAGAGTGCGAGGGTTTGGCTTCGTTGGGCGAGACAGAGACTAACATACGACATGTTGCAAGATGTATCAGATTGTCACTGGTGATCCGACCTGTCGAATCGAACGGTGGGATGTTGGGTGGCGCGTGCTCTGGAACCAATGACAGTCACTCCCCGTTCCACCTCTTCGCGGATATGCCAATGCAGGAAAAGGGGGCTTTGAAGCCAAGCAGCCAAGATACCCTGCCCAGCGAGCCGTTTATGTGTCCGACAACCCGGACCTGGCACCGATACACGCGCGAGATTTCTCCCTTGTGACAGTCTTGACAGCACAACTACCGGTATCAACTCATCATCACGGCAGGCTTTTGCCTGCTGCATCCAAGTCGCCGGATGACCAAGCAGCCAGGGGAGACTTTTCACTTCCAGGTATCTGTCAAAAGTTGAACAGCCTCCGGATGTACCACCCACCTTTTCATCCCTGCATGCTTTCCCATAACGGTCAAGAGTCACGAAACCCTACCACAGTACTTGAATTACAGTACATACAGTAATAGGTCAAGGCCTTGCGATGAACCAATCACATTCTTGTGGCATCCTCCCGCTTCTCCCCCAGGATGACGGATGGTTTGGCCCCTTTGCCCTCGTCTACCAGGTGCGAAAGCACGCGGTGCTACTCAAAATAGGGAGCGAATGTTGAGAACTGAGCTTACGAGATACTGAAGCTCGAAGATAAGCGCAATGCCACAATCTTTACGCAGTACCTGCATTGGCGTCGCCGTACCAAGAGGACGGCATTGCTAAGTTCTGCGTACCCTGCAGTAGCACGCAACCAGGTTCATGCGCCATTTTTGCTACACATTTCCCACCCACACTGTGCATCACATCCTCCGACTCACCTGTCGAGCCTCGTCTTCATTTTCTTCTACTTCTACGAAGTCTCTTGTCGGATGTGTGGTTTCCAAGTGCGATACAAAGGGTTGCAGGAGGTAGAACCATCCACAACCTCGATCAGTCAAACACGATTGGTCGCAACCGGCCACTGGTGAGGCTCAGCTAAAAGCCCGAGTAAACTGGCAAATGGTGCAGGCTGTGTGGTTTTACTGCTTCTGCGTTTGGTGGCATTTGACTAAATGCGGTGGACCGTTGGACAGCATGATACATGATGTTGTAGGTATGCGTGTGACTGGCACGCATTCACCGACAGTGAGCGCTACGGTCCCTGGTGATGTGTTACTCGAAAGATGGCAGAGAGACATCGACTGGTTTCTGTCGCATCGTGGTCTTCCTGACAGCAGTGTCCCCTCGCCTAAGACCGAGGAGCTGTCCTGAACAACGATGTTGCAGACCACTCCGGACTTCGATACGCTTTCAACGCCAGAAAATATAGCCAACTAGCGGGATCGCAGGAAACGAAGCCTCGCGCCCTTTAGCGCCGCCTTGGCCCGCTTCAAAGACCTCATGCGGCCCGCTGAGGTTAGCCTTCGAGTCGCTTGAAGCCACACAGCTCACGAGGAGACGCGGGCGAGGAAACGCAGTCTTGAAAGCGACTGGTCGACAGGCTCTCTACCGGATGCCCACCGTCTGAGCAGTGGATGTTATCGAGGTCGTGGGTAGTTCACCATCGCGATAGAGACCAAACTCAGGGCACACAGGAGGGGAGGAGACACGCTAGCTGGCCAGCCCATTCCTCATCGTTGACACAGTGCATGCGACGACCGACAAGCTTGGCAGCTGGCCTTGGCCAAGTTGGAACAACAGGCACCCCTGAGCCCTGGCCTAAAAAGGCGTCACGCGTGCCATTTCCCGTGGGTCACCTTCACCATAGGGGCATAGTGCAGCTCGTACCTCGCAGCAAGCCTACCCTGCACCAACGTCTATCTAACTTGATTGAGCGACCTGAGACGGGATACATGTCATTGGTCTCGAGGGGGGAAACCTCTTCCATGACTCCCTGACTCCCATGCTGGGCGATGCATCTCGTCTGATCTTTTCTGGCACAGAAATCCTCCGAAGGATAGCCTCGAGGTACAGTGCCACGTTTTTACTATAAGTTATACTATCGCATATTCGAGATAGTGGCTTCTATTGTTTATGTTCGGGTCCGGCGAGGATTTTCAGGACGATTCCGTGCGCCGTGCCGCCGGAACTACCTACCGGTATCTTTTTATCAGCAAGCACTGCCCTCGCGGCTGACTTGAGCTTGGGCTGGCCGCACACCATCAGGTCTTCCTACCCTCCGTCAGCTGTAACGAAGGGACCGTACAATTGGTTTGCTTGAATTCAGCAGACTGGTCTGTGCCTCGTGCAGAACCCAACAGCGTGGGAGGCTAACAATGTTCCACACTGGCTCCCCTTGCGTGCCTCTTCTCAGGTTGCCTAGAAGCACCAACATCTGGAGGCTCGCGCTCCCTTGCATTCCGTCTGTCAGCATTCAGCAAGCTGACCGTCGTTGGATTTCAAAGCGGTATTCCGACACTTCCGGTAGGCACCTGGGCAGGTTGTCTGGCCTGTCAAGTGCGCATGAATATCAGCATGAACCCGGCCAATAACCAACGACTTGTGCTGCACGAACCCCGTATACCCGCATGCATGAATGATCGACATGGAAGCTAAGCGCGTCGAAGGACGGCCAGCGACGCGCTCGCCTTCATCCCACGCCTCTGCGTGTGGCTTCGCGACTGCAACCTCATCGCCGAGATCGTAACCGACAGCCGTCTGAAGTAAGGCTTCTATGCAGCTTCGATCTCGGCACGGGTACTATAATGCCACGGCCGAGATATCTGGCCACCATCTGCTGACATTATGGCCGTTTCCCCATCCGGGCTTTTGACCATCGCGTGATCTTCACCATCGACCGACGAAACCGACATGGGATGTTTCTATTTTGGAAGTCTACGACACATCGGTTGCATGATCCTGGCTTCTTAATTGACTGGTTATAATGCAGATGTCTGTGGTGGTTCCGGCCCATGCGCTCCGTCGGAAGGCCAATTCCGTCAAAACACTCCCTCCACATTGGTGATTCAAGTCTGCTTCGAGATCGTTCTCTACGACGTTACCCTGACTATATCACCGTCCATATACGGCTTCCTGCGTTGGAGCTGAAGCCTCACATCTCAACAATATGCTATTTCCTGTGCCCCATACTGGTCTGCGTGAGGAGCAGGCCATGATGACTTATTTACAGAACAACCATCGTTGATCCAAGCGCTCCCCTATCTATATCACTAGCCACAGTCCGGCGCGCCATGATCTTTCGTTCCAAGTGGGACTCTTTCATGCTGCCGTGCGGCCGTCCAGGCGCTCGTGACTATTTTGGACGTCTCCACGATAGATCGAACACACGAAGAAGCCGTCGAAAACTTCGAAACTTGTACCAAGGGCACCGAGCCCCATCGGTATCAATCCAGGTCGCGGATCGCACGTCACAGATCTACGAGCCCACCGGACCTCGCTTGACTCGTGCACCAGACTCGCACTTCTTCTGGCCGCCCCTCCCCTTATTTGTCGTTTTCTATGCAGTATCCGCCGTTCGGTCTTTCGTCCGATGGTTTCCTGAGTCCTGACGCTTGCCTACGTAATCAAGCCCCTACTAACCCAAGTAGCCGGCAGCTTGGTCCACCCCAAGACAACTTAGGCACGAGCTTCAACCGCCTCACCAGCACTAATCGGGCTACGCTACACTATTATCCTCTGGGCGGCCGCACTCAAGATGTCCGCTTCAGCCTTCAGTTGCATTGACTGCCCATCCGTTCCAGTCATTCGGTGCAGACTAGTGCGGGGCCTTCACTTGTCGTCAGACACGCGAGGTGGCTGTGCGAGACGGGGACTTCGCTTCGGCAGGCCGACCCGACAAAACGACCCGTCGTGAACGCAGCACGAGTCTCGGATGGATTTTTAAATCGCGATTCCAGGTGGGGGTGCATAATGATGTGCGAAGCACCTGTGAAACGGATCTGGGGATACGCGCAGGGGCTTGACTCCATTGGCCGTGGGGTTATGCAGTGCTGTGTTGAATACTGAGCACATTTGCCGAGTTCCATGTCAAGTTGATCTCTCCGATCACATGGGGGACGCCGATGGCTCTGAGGCGGTCATCTAAGGATCAAGCCATTCGATGGGATACTTCAAGCGGATCATAGTGAGCTCTGAGTTGACATCGCCCGGGGACTTCGCGAGGTTGAGGTCCTGGGAAAGAAGTGATCAAGTGATCAAATTAATGGTGAAGGAAATACAGTGATACAAGAATATTTGTACAACGAGAGCTGACTATATAGCATCCTAGTTCACGCTGAGGATTGACTCATATAGGCCTTCGGGCGAAGTCGTTCGCCATATTAGGAGACAAGAAGCTTCAGCGGAGCAACTGGCGTGGTATGCGAAGTACTCAGCTCTCCAGCGTATGTGTCATTACTGACGAACTATACATTAAGTGATGACGCATCCCACGTCGCTATGCCTTTCCATCTGTCTCAAACATGCCAGCGGCAAGATAGAATCGATGGGGGGTTTGGTGTTCCAACAGTGCCGAACAATGCCATACATGCGGACGCGTAAAGACGAAGTATCGGATCTCTCAAGCCTTCGTCTGTTGGGAAAAGGAAATAGTCGACTAGGCAATCGGTGGTGACATGTGGACTGGGATTCACCCAATCCTACGCCCGGAAATCTGGCAGCCAGTCTGCGCAGAGGATATGGTCAGCATAAAAACGTAAGATAGGCTACGGGATACTGGGAACATACAGAAGGGGAATCTCGGGCCCAGTCGGTGCTGTTGTTCGGAATTGGAACCGTAATCGGAGTCGGAATCGGGCCTGATTTGTTAGCATCTCTTCTACGTTGAGTGGCAGCTGAACGTAGCATTTACATACCGTAAAGGTATCCGCAAGTAAAGTCCGGGTCGACGGCGTCCAAGATCTCATGATTGGCTATCATGTGGTCAGCACCCGCTCGACGTAGGCTGAAGTCTCACTTTACTGTAGGAGGCGTCCCTGATGTCACAGTGGCGTGAGAGGTCGGTCTGAGGCATCGTCAGAAATTTCAGCAACGTCCAGATTGCTCGCGAGAGTTTGCATGAAGCTTCACACCGTACACCGAAGAAATTGTGACCGAAGATACCGCTCTGTTCTGGAATTGGAACATTGCGGTTTACAACGTCTCCGGGCGCACGCGAGGGATATCAGCCCGAGGTCATTCTCGGGTTGCCTCACGCCAATTCAACGAACCGTTGTACCGTGGCTTCATGCGATTTCGAAGCTCCATACGAATCTCTGGACGGGCGCGTAGGCATGGTGAGCACTGGTCTAGCCTCGGTGAGAGGTCTCGCCCCTAGAGGACGATTGACGCGGACCATGGTATACTCTGCACCAACGTTCGCCTGAATCTGAGGAAGGTCTTCGCCGCGCGTGAGGAGATCCGTCTGATGACTTGACAGAAAGCAAAGCGAAACCAGCAGGTGAATGATCAAAGCGGTCTCGTTCGCCGCATTCCGAGTTATACTGATTCCGCTGGTGATGTAGGGAATTCCAAGAGCGCGAAATTGGTCATCTAGGGTCGCACCGTGGTTGTTTCCAAAGCGTTCGCGCAAGATCTGATGATGACCGAGGTTCCAGTGAGTCAGACACAGCCCATTCTTGTACCAAGCGGTCGACTTCAGTGCCTCGTAATCGTTGGTTCCACGTCTTCCAATCAGCACTACCTGCCGACGGGCTCCGGACTTGATCTGGTGGTGTGACAAAGCCCATTTGGAGGCAATATCATACATCTCTTCAAGGATCGATGATGTTTCGGAACGGCGAATGAACAGGGATTCGGAGAAGCCGTTGTAGTAGGCGGTGGTCGTATGGGCTGGATTGGCGCAAGTACTCAAATCATGACTCATACCGTCAGAAATGATGTAGTGAAAAGTCCGATTGAACTTCCAAACGTTGCTGCCGCGATCGCCGGAGGGCGAGCAACGTTGGACCCAGACCTTTTTGCGGCCGATCTCCGTTCCGTTCAGTCTCTCGAACGTGTCATAGACAGAATAAGCTATCTCTGTCACGGCGTTGCTGTCATTGCACTTCGTTCGAATAATCGGTGCCAGCAAAACCGGGTGGTGCTTTGTACGCGTGCGCGGGCTGGGCCACGAGTTGCTTCTGAAGGGCGAAAGCTGGCGAGCAGGATCATTGTCTGTGGTGAATTTTGGAGCCCCAATGGGATCAATCACTGGAAACCCGTCATTGACGACGAATGACCCATGACCCAACAAGACCTGCATCCAATTCGGCGGCGCTGCGGGTGTCATGGTTAGTGGCTCCAGGCAGGCCAGACTATACCGGTCAGTAGGGACAACAGCATATGATGATATATGCGAGGGGTTACCGAGACTTACGTGACGTTGCTGACAGCCATGATTAACGCCTGCTGACTACCAGATCAAACGGAGATTGGAAAGACGTTTGGGAGTGCATGCGAGGTGGATGTTTTGTCTGAAAGAATTTGCACAGCCGTCTGAAAGGATAAGAAGTGGAGGGGAAGAGGAGCATGGAATACAGAGGGTCTGCTGATTTGGTGTTGACCTGGTGATTTCTCAGCGAATACACGGCAACGCCTGCTGGGGCGAAGGGGCTCATCTTATTTGCTGGCCGCGTCTAGGCCAACAGTTGACCTGGTGATCCTGCAGTGGACAAACAGCAAATCACACTGAGCGAAGCGACTGATCTTTAACAGTTGCCTGCCATGCATAGGGGTTGGAAATGAACGCATTCGTCATTCATCATTGCCCCACGGAGTTATCAAGTACGAATCTATAGTCGTGGGCGCTATTAAGCATGGTTTTATTATCACTTGACAAGGCGAGGCAACATATTACAGTTGGGCAAAGGGCAAAGGGGGCCAGTAAAATATAGTTTCAATATGACTGCAACTAACACAGCAGAGCATAACACAGCACAAACTATAAGGGGTAAAACAATGTTAAAGAAGTCTGAAGAAGATGCCCTATTGATTTTCAGATTGAAGAGTATCAGCGCATCATGATATATCCCCAATGACCACCAACACTAACTCCCTTGACTCAAAGTCTGACTCCGCAACCAAAGACATCATTCGATTCGAGTAACCGCGCTATTGTCTCTCCAGTCAGGTCAAAGAGGCTGACAGTTGTCATGACATGATCTCAATAACCATAACACGCCTATAGTGTCCGATCAGTATTTGTCAGTTACATCGCTCTTACGGTGCGAAGGGGGCATCATCAATGCCTTTCAAAGTCCCCTTCAAGGGCATCACGGGCTCCAATTCTCATAATAAATTCCCTTGTACCACTATTGAATATGTATAAGGTGTAGACAGACCTGCTGCTGTCTACTAGGAGTGTGGAAGTGTTGCCAATTCACCTCACAAGAACTCGCTAAGGACGGCTGCACTGCAAGCTTCTCTACCTATCAGCTGCTCATCTCAGTAGAACGTGACTACTGTTGGATAACTCTCAGTAGTCGGGTACCAGGCCTACAAACGTCGGCTAGCCAATGCTCAAAGTTCCTGGGTGCTATGGTTGCATTGATAGGTGACACATATGTTGGTAGTATAACAACGCAAACCTACATAGTCACACAGATGTAGGATGGTTGCTAGAAACTGCACAGTGTTGTTAGACTGCAAAGCAGCATTCGTACGAAACAGACGCTGGTCAATACATGGAGACTCAAGTTCTGCGATACCGAAGAGAAACTGGAGCCAACGTAACAGCGTACGTGTTAACCAGCTACCCTCCTGATTTGAGGCTACTTGATCTCTGGGTCGAACCTCTAGCGTCTAGGTAGCTTTGCTCGTAAGTGCGGAGAGAGGCCTTGTTGTCACTAGACATTACCCTTCATGTCGGCGTGTGCCTGACTGAGACACCGCGTCATGATACCGCCAGCTCTCGTAGCAAGCTGCGATCAACTGCAGAACGGCACGAAAGAGTTCATTCACCAAGGGCGCCAACACAAGTAAAACAACCCAAAAAAATTCGTGTCCAATCTGTAATAGTAAATTGGAAACCTATGGCTGGGTCTCTCGATCGGGGAATCGAACCCCGGCCATCCGCGCTTTGAACTTGTCTATGACAAGCGGATATCCTCACCACTAGACCAATCGAGATGTGAGAGCAATGTTTTGATGTTACGATATCACAACACATCAGATAATCTCCTTGAACCGTACCTGAATGTCTGTGTTATGACCAATCCTCCAGCTCCGCCTTCTTCCAAATGGAACCCAAAAGGAGCTCCCCATCTGATCATATCATTAATGGGGGCAGGGATAAGAAGGGCAACAAGAAAACAGGGGCAAAAAATGAAAACATACGACACCGGGTATTCGCTGGTCGTCACCGACCCAACTACTAATCCGGCGGTATCAGGCTTATTTAAGGCAGAGCGGACGGGATGCCAAGTTCTCCTGATCCTATGGTCGTATGTAGCGTTTTTGGTCTCAGTCAAGGATTATGTAGTCTACCGTCCGTTACTGCCCCTTCTCAGCGCACGATCCATTACTCCTTGAGGTGCCCTCTCTGGAGTATTTCCGACCCATAAGCCCCAGAACACCACTCGTTGACAGCAAGACAGACATGCACGTCACTTCATGAGGACTGGCGGGTTGCGTTGTCATGTAGATGAGTATCTCCTCTAGACATGTATTTATGATGCCGAGAAACGATGTGGCAGTAGCCCGATCATGATGGAGCAACCGGTCAAGAAATCATATGACTGCTTCGCTTATTCATCGCCATCAGAATCGTAGTCATTTCCACCTTCGCCCCCTAAGAGGCTGACCACTTCACGCTTTCCGCCCAGGCCTTCGTTCGCGGTGTCGAGTACCTGCCGGAGAACATTGAGGCCACAACGATCGTCTCCGTCGTCGGCACGCAGAGACAGAAGCCCATGGTCGTCAATCCACCACTGCGTCTGGCCGGCGTCCATGTCATCCCCCCGGCCTTCGTAGACCGGACCCGTGGGGTGATACATAGAGCTCGGCTCCTCATCCTCTTCGGGCTCATCATCATCTTCGCCCAGGCTCCAACTATCCGTCAGATGCTTGTACTTTCTCTCGAAAACGTCCATCACGACGTTATTGGCGACCTCGGCACTGGAGTACGTGCCGATGATGTCGAATTCAGGGTCGGAATATTGGCGGTCTTGTTGTAGACCACGGTGTAGACGCAGGCGGGGGTTTCCGCGTTTGTATCAACAGCGGCCGAGGTGCCTCCTGCTGCTGTTTTGCGGCCTCGAGGTTGCGGTTTCGGTTCCTTTCGCCAGGATATGATTTCCTTCATCATCATCGAAGGGAATAGGGCCTCGAGCTTCTTGAGTCGCGCAGCATTCTTGTCCTATGCCTTCTCTGTAAAGGTCGCGGGGGCCAACTTGGCGCGCTTTGCGACCGGGTCTGGCCACGCCGACTCGCTTGCTTTGCGCTTTGTTCCTCCTAGCTTCGGCATGGTCGATCTGGGTGTTGCGTCGATGAGCTGGGTAGCAAGTTGGTAGATTTGATGATTGCGTCAGTGTCGTCTACCCTTCCAAGATCATCTGTTGCGGTGGCGGTGCATCTGTTGTGGTGATGGTGTATCACGGTTTGACCTGAGTTTGCGGCGACTTGGACGTTTCTATGGCGAGGAGGGATGCTGCCTAGTACCGAAAGCTTTGGAAATTTCGGCAGTTTGGCAAGCCCACCTTTCTTAAGCGGCCGCGTCTCATTCGCTTCCCCAGACTTTCTGTGAGATCTGTCCGGCTCATCAAAACACCTTGGGACGCTAGTGGCTAGCGGTGAAGGTCAGAAAGAGTGGTGCTGCCAAACTGTTAGCATATCCAAAGCTTTCGGTAAAGCGCAAGTCTATCTGCGACAATTAGCTCGAAACTGCGACGGCCTTTTGAACAACGTGCCTTCGATACCGCCGTTCCAAAACCTCGTTTGACAGTCACTATGAATTTGATAAGTACACAGCTGCGACGACAGGCCCTCGGTAGCCTTTGGCTCGCTTCAGCTCATAAGCCTTTCGCATATAGCGACGACGTTCCCGTACTACATGGGCGATGCTGAGCGAATTGGCATTTGGTTTCCTGCTACGAGTCTCTCAGTTCAGATTCTATGGCAGCCTCCAGAAGACGACCTTCAGTGAGAGTTTGATGGGATAATTTCAACTGATTAGTTGTAGCGACCTCTCCCACATATTGCCGGTCAATGGGGGACTCGTCATACTGTAAATAAGCTGTTTAGAGGCGACTCGGGACATTTACCAAGCCCGGTTGTTGAGAAGACTACTCCCCTCGTCAACCTGCTTTCAAAATCCATCGAAACAACACTACTGGCGTCGATAGATGGGAGGAAGCGCGGGCGGCCATCGAACCTTGTAGCCGTCGAGACTGATCCAATGATGGTCTATGGTATTGAGGAGCAGCCGGCACTCGCTGTTATGATCTTTCATTGTCACATCCAGAACCGGCAGAACAGCGTCTACCGTGGTGCTGTGAAACCGAGGCTTGTCGAAGGCCGCTGAATCCAGGGCGATGCTGTCAGGTGTCATTGTGGACATTTCTCAATTCAACAAGCGGAGCCTTACAGCATGTGAAAGCGCTCATGCTGTTCTTGAATACCTGCTGCCACAGTGTGACCGAGTCCCGCAGTTTGGCAGACTGGCAGACTGGCAGACTGGCAAACTCGGATGGAACTCGTTTTGGATTGCCGGATGATGTGTTGAACTCCGATGGAGGTGTGCCTGCGTCTTTCCGACCCTTTATTTGGCATCGTGTCGCGTTCAACGTGGCGCAGGGTGCCCGACACGACGTCGACGGGACTGCGCCTGTGGAGAGCCGAAGTTCGTCTCGCCGCGGGCTTCAAGTTGAACCATCAGTCCCCGGGCAGGCTTTGATGCTGATAAGGTATCCAGAGAACTTATCAGAGAATCGTCAACCTGGCAGCCTGGCGGAGGATCGCCCCGGGGTTAACCCGCCGGCCCGTCAGGTCAGCTCCCCAGCTCCCGGCAGCTGGGCCAACAATTCAACGAATTCATATGTAAGTACCTACTTATGTAAGTGAGAACACTCTTCAAGGATACGGCGGAGGGTCGCGACATGCATGCGCCCATTCAGCCAGCTCTTCCTTCTCGATTGCCCGCAGCCTCTGACGCCGATCTGTCGAGAACTGTCATTGCCCTCGGATCCAATGCAATGCAATGGTGCTTCGTCAGACTTGGGCTGGCTGGAGGCTGTGCTTTACCTGCTGACTGTCGTGTTGACTGCAGCTGAAGGCTACATAAGGTATGTAGGTTAGGTACCTTAATATGGCACAGTCCCATTTCGCTTCCCACATTACCTCTTACTCTTGGTACGTGTTACCAGTTGGACGCTGCCTCGTCTCATCCCGTCTCGCTTGCACTTGTTGTTATGTTTGCACTTCACCTGCGACTAAGTTAGAACTTGCCTTCTGTTGCGCCGACCGTTGCCTTCGCGGCCTCGATTTCTCTTTCTCGGGCACCTCATAAATCCCGCGTGCAAAGACCCCATTCCCCATCTGACTCGACGCACTTGGCACCCGCAGCTTTACTGCAGTAGAACGCGCCACCAAATCTAGTATTTGTCAGTCGGTTCACCAGCTCTGCTAGCCGTCCTCCTAGACTACAGAACTACCCGGAACGAGTCGACATCCAGACCGCGGCCCAATCACAACCTGTCGATGCGTCTACCATCAGTGAGGTAGGTAGATTACCTGGAGGAACCCCGCTCGCTACCGTGACCGACACCTCTGGGGAGCTGGGCGAGCTGAGCGATAGACCAGCAGACCAGCCCCAGCATTCGGGTTATGACGAGTCGAGATGGCGACGCCGCGCCCGCTGCATCTCCCCAACAGCGTCGCTTTCCCTTGAACCCTCCAGGTCGTCTTGCGACTCCAACGACAGTATCGCGCGAGGAGCGACGACGCACCAACTTTTCGCGGCCGAGGCGTGCGAACCCCGACCACCCCAATCACCGCGCGCGAGCTCCCAACGAGCTGCCTTCCGATGCGCGCCAAAACGAAGGCCTATATCGCTCTACGACACCAGACACGTTCGACGTGAACCACCAGTGGGATTCCCCGGCACAATTCATGCCCTCGCACTCGCACGATGCGACGCGCGCCGAAGCTTCGACATCAAACCCGACCGACCAACCTAGTGGCGATAGGAAGGGCGTCGAGGCCGGCGCGCCGCCAAACTATGCTAACAGACTATCATGGCCGTTCAGAAACAGTGACAGGAGACATGGAGATCCGAAGGGCGACGGCAAATCAAGCTTTCGGCTTGACAACTATCGGGCATGGGTCAACCGGCAGAGAAAGAGGGCCAAAGGGCCAGGGGTCAGGTTGAACGAGGCCTGGAACAGTTACTATCAGAAATGGATCATTGAGGGCTTGTTGCGACAGAGGCCACTACCTCCGACCAGAAATGGTAGACACATACCCTTGAGTAGTGGAGCGGTCCGTACGTCGCCGCTTAGCGATGAACGGAGCGAGAAGCACTACGTCTCAAATTTCATTCGGTCCAGCCGATATACTCTCTGGTCCTTCCTGCCGAAACAGCTTTACTTCCAGTTCAGCAAGCTGGCCAACTTTTACTTTCTGATTATTGGTATACTGCAGCAGATTCCGGGCTTCAGTACAACGGGCAGGGTACGTTGGGCTCTCTGATCTATCCTGTCTGGTAGATCATCTGTGATTGCTTGGTCGAAAGGCTTACATTGCTGCAGTACACTACCATCGTGCCGGTTGCCATTTTTGTAGCTATAAGTATGACGAAAGAAGGTTTTGACGACTTCAGAAGATTTCAACTGGACAAGGCAGAGAACAGAGCCCCGGTTTTCGTGCTAGACCCCGAGAGGACTGTCGACGAAGCATCGAAGAAGAAATCAACAGGCAAGACTGAGAAACACAGTAAGAAAAGGAAAGATCCACTTACGGAGCCTGACATGACCGAGTTGCAAGACGTTGGACGACAACAAATAGACTCCGAGCAATGGTCCCAGATTCAATGGCAGAATCTCAGGGTTGGCGACATTATCCAACTACGAAGAGACGGCAATGTGCCGGCTGACGTTGTGCTTCTGCACGCAACAGGCCCCAACGGAGTTGCCTATATCGACACCATGGCGCTCGATGGCGAGACAAACTTGAAGAGCAAACAAGCCTGCCCTCTGCTGGCGAAGCGATGCGACACAATGGCGAAGCTGAAGAACTGCAAAGCCGAGGTTGTGTCCGAGGACCCCAACCCTGACCTCTACAACTACGAGGGGAGAGTTGCTGTGGACGGAGAGACGATGCCCCTGACGTTGAACAATGTGTGTTTCCGTGGCTCTACCCTGCGAAACACTGACCAGGCACTCGGACTGGTCATAAACACGGGCGAGGAATGCAAAATACGCATGAACGCAAACAAGCATGTGCATACGAAAGCACCCAAGATTCAGGAACTTCTCAACCGCATCGTCATACTCCTCGTGTTCTGCGTGCTCGCGTTGACCTTTGGTTGCTTTGGCGGCTATCTATTGTGGCGAGACTCTTACGAGAGGAGAGCACCATATCTCGATGGCGCTGCAGTACCGCTCGCCGAGATCTGGTTTGGTAATATCATTCTCTTCAATACGCTCATCCCACTATCTTTATACGTCAGTCTGGAGATCATTAAGGTGGGTCAATTCTTCATGTTGGATGATATCGAAATGTACGATCCGGAGACAGACACGCCCATGGTGGCCAACACGACGACGATCCTTGAGAATCTTGGCCAGGTCAGCTATATATTCTCTGACAAAACCGGCACATTGACCGAGAACAAGATGCAGTTCAGGAAGCTCAGTGTTGCTGGCACAGCGTGGCTACACGATATGGACATCACGCGTGATGAGGAGGAAAAGAGGTTGCGCACCCTCAACGGAGACATCAGAGGCAAGAACGAGCGGCAACAGAACGCCGGCGTTAATACGATCCCAGAGGATCGCGAGACCATCAACGTTCCGTTGATCGAAACCCGGCGTCCGGTCAAGGCGGTGTCGAGGTCGAATTCGACCTGGACCTCCACAGCGCGAACGATGCATGGCCAGCCGGAGTTGAAAACGGAAGAGCTGCTCAAGTATATACGACAGAGACCCAACAGTGCCTTCTCAAAGAAGGCTCGGCAGTTTCTTCTTTGCATGGCCTTGTGTCACACGTGTTTGCCAGAGATACAGGACAGTGGGAAAATCACATTTCAGGCTGCCTCGCCGGACGAACTGGCTCTGGTACAAGCTGCCCAAGACTTAGGCTACCTCTTGGTTGACCGCCCGGCACAATCAATCAAGCTCCAACTCCCAAATTTGGATGGCGAGATCATCACAGAGACGTACGAAGTGCTCGACGTTATCGAGTTCAGCAGCAAGCGGAAGCGCATGTCAATCATCATTCGCATGCCAGATGGCCGCATATGCGTATTCTGCAAAGGCGCCGATGATGTTATTCTTGCCCGACTGAGGCTGTCGCACCTTGCCTCACAGAAGGCAGCCGATGTTGAACGCAGAGCCAGCCATCGCAGGAGCATGGAGGCCGAGAGAGCTTGGCACCGTCGCAGCTTAACACCAGAACCTCGGAACAGTATGACAAAACGCAACAGTTACTTCCGCAGAACCAGCGCCCGAAACTCTCAGGACTTACACCGGCGCTCACTCATGCCTAACGACATGGACACTTGGCTCACGACGCGTGATACCGAGGCTCCTGACTATACGACACCCAATGGCGAGATGCATGCCACGCCTCGGGAGTCAGCGGCCTTGTCGCCTCCTTGGGCCGTTGGTACCGACGATGCCTACGGCGGCATCGTAGACGAATCGATCGCTGCGAGCGACGGCGCAATCTTTGAGCGATGCTCTCAACATATTGGTGAATTTGCATCGGAAGGGCTCCGTACGCTCCTCTTTGCGTACCGTTACATCAGCGACGAGGAGTATGACTCGTGGAAGACTGTATATCGAGCCGCGACCACAAGTCTTGTTGACAGGCAGAATCGCATCGAAGAAGCAGCCGAGTCCATCGAGCAAGGCTTTGACCTCGCCGGCGCCTCCGCCATCGAGGATAAGCTCCAAGCGGGAGTCCCCGAGACAATCGACAAGCTTCGCCGGGCCAACATCAAGGTATGGATGCTCACTGGCGATAAGCGGGAGACCGCGATCAACATTGCCCATTCTGCGAGGTTGGCGAAGCCCTTCTCCGAGGTGTTCATTCTTGACTCTACTGTTGATGATATTCAGGAGAAGATAAAATCGACCCTCATCGAAGTTGGGCATGGCATGATCGCGCATTCGGTTCTTGTCGTTGACGGTCAAACCCTTGGCGTCATCGAAGCGGACGAATCACTCAACGTCATGTTTTCCGACCTTGCCGTTCGGATGGACTCCGTCATCTGCTGCCGAGCCTCTCCTTCCCAAAAAGCCAGTCTGGTCAAGTCCATCCGCGACACGGTCCCATCGTCGCTCACACTCGCGATAGGCGATGGCGCAAACGATATAGCCATGATTCAGGCGTCCCACGTCGGCATTGGAATCTCTGGCCACGAGGGCCTGCAGGCGGCGCGAGTGGCGGACTATTCGATTGCTCAGTTTCGATTCCTGCAGCGCCTTCTGCTGGTTCATGGACGATGGATGTACGTGCGGACGTCTAAATACATCCTAGCGACCTTCTGGAGTAAGTCCTGATTCATATCCTTCCGCCTTGCGACTCTGAACCTTCGGCTGGACGGCTGGATCCAACTGGCCGTGTTTATTGAGTCGTCATCAGAGTTCTGGTTGGTCTTCCGAGAGTATCTACTGACTTTCGTTTGTGTGTAGAGGAAATGCTGTTCTACTTGGTACAAGCACAGTACCAGCATTGGAATGGCTACACCGGCACGTCCTTGTACGAGTCTTGGTCGTTGACGGTATTCAATGTCCTCTTCACATCTTTGCCGGTGATCTTACTCGGCATGTTCGAGAAGGATTTGAAAGCACAGACCTTACTCGCCGTACCAGAGCTGTATACTTACGGCCAACGAAGCGAAGGCTTCAACTTCAAGAAGTACCTTGGATGGGCTTTCATGGGGGCCGTTGATACCGTCGTTATCTATATGATACTCTGGGGTGCCTTCAAAGATGTGCTCTTCACCGAGGACAACTCTCTGTTCCCATTTGGAGATATGGCTTTCACCGTGTGCGTCGTTATCATCAACGTCAAGATTCTGTAAGTTATACACCGCTCGTGTTGCCTTCGTCGCTCCCCTTTTCTAACGTGCTTCGATACAGCGTCTTGGAGATGCACGACAAGTCCATCGTCCCTTTCATCGGCTTCGTTCTGTCAATAGCTCTCTGGTTCTTCTGGAATATGCTACTCGGCGCTATAAAGACAGCGAATATCGGGCCATACATCGTCCACCGCTCCTTCCTCCACGAATTCGGCAACAAACTGAGCTGGTGGGCATCAGTTGGTGCCGCGCTGGGGGCCGTCGTGGCAATCGAGCTCGGCGTCACAGCGCTGCAACGCATATACTTCCCCACGGATCAGGACCTATGGCAGGAAATTGAGAAGAAAGGAGGTGTCGAGGACGCTATGCGAGAACAAGCTGCGGAAGAGGGACGAGCTTCTGCGCTGGAGGCACCCGCGGGCAAGGCGCCGGATGAGGAGTCTGAACCACGACTCAGCGCTCGTCTTAGCGAGGACTCGCTTGGCAAGCCGTATGATCCCTATTTATCTCCTGGTGCTTCACAGCAAAGGGGTCAGCAGCCTGCGGCGCATAATCGTGCGGATGGACCCGCTTCTGGGGATGGAGGTTGGATATAGATGACCTGGATATGAGAGCGGCATCTGATGAGAGAGATGACGATTTGCAGGGGCGGTGGATATTAGGGACTTCGTTGGCTGCCCACAGTGAGGAGCAGGGTCGAGGCCAACGGGTCCTTTGCTCCTGCCATCTACTCGCACATTCGGATCTCGCAGGATAATTGGCGTTATGGATTGACATAAATTGGCATGTGTTGGGCTTGACCAATACGTTTCTGGGAAGCAAGGGGTTGGTCAGGGTTGGAATCATTCAGCGAGCGCGGCTATGCGGGAGTTATTGTATTGGATACCCTCGGATACTCACGAAGCATGACTGCGTATATAGATACTTGGTGCATATATTATGGAAGCTTTATAAATTAAACGCACCGGTCACTTTCGTAGGTTATTGCTACGTCGTCGCCGAATGTTCCTCGCGGTCTTAACACCAAACAATAGTGCTGGCACAGGCTTGTTTAAGTTTGTGTGTACAGATATATATATGTGCTTAAGAGAGTATACGCAGAAAGCAATACGATATAATGACGGCCTTAGGTAATCTATATTGGGGCATAGAAGTCGAAGCGTCCGGCAGGGTCGTACTTCGATTTCAATGCCTTGAGCTTGGTCACTCTCCAAGGCGCATACCCGTATAGCTCCTGAAGTGTCTCATCTCCGTGAGCGTAGTTCACATATGTGTGTAATTCTGAGCTACCGTCGGCCTTGTGTAGTGCTGCACGGAAGTTGTCACCCCAGGCGATTGCGTTCTTGTCCAGGGTGCTGTTGACCGGGTAGCTGATAACATGAGTGCTATTGTAACATTAGCACTGACGCGAAGGGGTACTAGGAGGCACAACATTGAAGGCAACTCACATAACAATATTATCGGCACGGTGGGGAAACGCGGTGCTCGCATCTGCAACAGCCTTCACAGCTTGCGTTCCACAAGACTCGAACAAGACTGCCGAGTTCAAGAATCTGGAGTCAGAAGTCAAGTTGTTGAATGCGGCCGTAGACGATACAAGAGCTGGGACATTGTAGGTCTTGAGACCGATGGGGAACATCATGTTGCGGCATCGGTCTGTGTACACACAGGATCTGTGAGTCCGGTGCTATCAATGGTGGTGAGCTCTGGGTAGGCCGTCGTGTTTATACTTGTCACTGCCGGGCCAAGAGCAATTAGTGGCGCTGTGTAGTTGTTGGGGACAGCAGCAACGCCATGGTAGAAGATCTTGAAAACTATCACTCCCTAAATACTTATCAGGAATCTTTTTGGAGCGTTTCCCTATCTCGAACTTACATTGTTGGCGTCAACAGGTGGGATGCGTACCCAGACATTCTTGTTGATATATCCGATAGGCTGCTCCTTGGTTCCATTGGCGGTCCAGGTATTGAGCAGAGTGTACAGGGCTGCAACCTTATCATGGGTGAAGATAAATTGTGAATAAGCCCAGTTCATCGCGGGAGCATCGTAATATCTTGCTCGTGACAGAAGTGACCATTCCGAAGTTGTGTCCTGCTCCTTGAAGTGCCCGGAAGAGGCCTGGGAAAGTAGGATCAGCATGTATCCAACTATATCCAAATGGAGCTCAAGGTCACGAACCAGAGTTTTCTGTAGCAGAAACAGTGACAGCAGTTCCACTCGCAAGTGCAACCCGAGCAGAGACAAGGTTGTCTGAGACCAGTCCATAGAAGCCTTGGAGGTATCCGTGGCCACCCCCAAGGAGCGGACCAACTAAACTAACGCAGTCGCATGCTCCGGTAGCTAGAGATATTAGTTGTGCTCTACACTCGAGGTCTGAGTGTCCAAGGCTTACTCGTTATCTTGCCAGCTGCCCACAGGCTGCTCTTGACCTCCTCTGAAATTATACCAACCCCGAAAGTGGCAGTGTTGCCATTCTCTGCAATGGTGGTCGAGTTGAGTTTTCTCATCCGGATATTGATACCCTGCTTGACCGCGCCAAGCGTAGTGGTACCACCATGCAGACCTGTAGTAGCCAGGAAAGAAATGTTCTTGTTGTTGGCATATGGAACCTATCTTGGATCAGCTCACGTGCACGCCGGAGACTCGAACGAAGTACTTGCTGTCTTTACAACATCGGTCTCAGTAGCTACCTCTACGACCACGGAGAAAGTTGGCGGGTCTTGCTCATTGTCACGATCGGTTGCGACAGCAAACTCAGCAGAGCCAGGAAAAACGATCCTTGCTCCGACCGAAAGAGAAGGACCAAGCTCTGCCGTGATGTTTGGGGACGTTGCTGCTGAAGACAAGTTGCTGAGAAGCAGGAAGGCAAAGGCTGCCGATCGAACGAAGGAGCTGGTAAAGAGAGGCATTTTCGCGATGGTTAAGGAACAGAAACTAGAGTGGGTGCGCACTTTGAGAGATAAAAACACAGATTGTCACGGTTGCGAAGAAATACTGGCTGGATCATGTCAGGGGTCGTATGGCAATAAGGTGTTATAGACGAAATGCGGGGTAAGTGTGTATACAAGGGGGTCACGATCCCTCCTTCAGGGCTTTGAAGTCCAGGTTTCAACTGTATATTATGGTCTTTTTTTGGAATGGATGCCCTGTCATGCTGCCAGCCTTGTTTTTGTTTGACAGATTGTGGTGTTTCGATGACAGCCTTATCTTTGTATCTGGGCCTACGAATTCCTATCCGTCTAGGTCTGTCTCCTCGTCTCGTCTGGGTTCTGATGGGGATGGTGACCTGTGCGTATGAGATCCGCACGTGCGTCATGGTATGTTTGCATATGCTGTGTGAGTTCACCTGCTTGTCATTATGGTTCAGAATGAGATAGGGATATAGCCGAGCTATCGTCAGTCTTATGGTGAGCTTGGGGTTGACGCTTGAGGCGCTAAGCCGCAAATGAGCCGAAGGTTTTTGTCTCATATATTGAAACATCGAACCCCTCTAACTTCTCGCCAAAACGGGGCAGTGTCTCGGTCTACGAGCAAGGCGTAATGTTTGTTTTCCGTCTGTCGGAAGCTGGCTTTGACTTGCACGAGGTACTGTTGCAGCTGTAACTTGTTTGGGCAACTCGGCGTTGCGGTGTGAAGTCCGTATGGCCCAGCGCTCCGTGGTAGTAGAGCATCGAGCCGTCGGTGATCTTCATCAGCCGTCGGTTCTATCCAGGGTAATGTTTTATAGGGCTGACTAGGTACAGTGGTGAACTTGTCAGGGAACTTGCCGATGTGAACGTAGCAGTCTCGCAAAAGGCGTTTCATAAAGTCGATTTGATATCACCTCGAGAACCCGGGAACTTTCTACTATCCCGACGAAGAAGGCTACTAAAATAATGAATTGAAATATGAAAGTAAACGAGTGGACCATTTACAGGCAGAGAAGAGTATTTAATAGCCATCATTGCCAGAAGGGGTATATCCAAGCGTGATTACCGATCTGTGCCCCCACCCCATGAAACACGATGACCCCATCATTTCTATCAATCTGTGTGTTCCATTGCTTCTCCATGATACTGGAATACCTATGCATCCAGTACACCCGGTCTGGCGAAAGGCATTGATTTTACGTGAAAAAAAGTTCTGGCCTGGGCTGGCGTTTAGCGTCACAATCGGCGAACTGGGCCTTGCAAACCGTGATAAAGTCTCGATGGTGCGGTTGTGGTCAATCTGACGGGAAACCTCGGTGTCTGCAAGATGGTCGGCCGATGTCGTAACCTTCCATTCATGTGCCATGCTCTTCTTTATCAATGAATGAAGAGAACCGGAAGGCAGGGCAAGCCTCAAAAGTAAAGAGACAAGACTTTAGGAAATGGGTAGATTTGTAGTGATCTAATGCCGCAACGAGTCGTGTCCGTGTCTCTTCGCTGCATCTCAGCTTGTAACCGGGCCATATTCTCTTGCATCGGCTTCATCATGGTCCTGAGCTCGTCGTTCGAGCATTCGTCTTCCGCCTCTTTCTTAATGTGCCTTGATCTGATAGTGCTTCCTTGCGAGGCGGTTCGAGGCTTGACGAGGCTTGACGAGGAAGAAAAAAGGAGGAAGTTGAGAGTCGAAAGACGAAAAGGGAAAGTTGAAAGTGGAAAGGCGGAAGCAGTAGTTAAAGCTACCTCAGGCACGAAAATGAGTTGTCGAAGCTTCCTCCACTGATCAGTGCACGACCGAAAACTGCTTGAGCACCATTAGCTTTTGTCAATGCCTACCTCCTCGTGGAAGGGACGCATATCTTACCATCACTCTCTATCCTGTAGAATGTCATGAAAGATACCGGGTGATTCTCATGAAGCTCACGAGGGAGTCCCTTAAGGATTATTGCCTAGGCGCACGGATCCTCCTGGTAGCTGACATCCACGATGTCGCCGAAAGTCTCGTGCAAAACCTTGGTTGCATTTTCGGCCTGAAAATAGTAGCTCGCGAAGTAGTACCAGATGACTGATACACCCTCGTCAAGCTCGTCGATCTCGTATTTGGTGTCGGTGTTCCACCAGAAGGTCACAGACCAGAGGATCTTTAGCACCGAGGTATGGACAATATCCGAGGGCCCTTCAATGCGTATGACGCGGCTGCGACCCTCAGGGGCTTCTTCAGGGGTTCGATACCGGTTCCAGGTGACGTTGGGCTGGACTCCGTTGATCTTGATGCTTCCGGCTTGTATTGACTCGAAGGCTATCTCCGCTGCAAGGCGAGTAAAGAATACCACCTTGGCAGCGCAGGTTTCAGGGTGGCGGTCGTATGGTTCGTTCATATGACAGTGCCTGATGCTTCCGATGTTGCGAAACCCCAGGAAAAAGTCCTGGTAGTCGGTTTCGATGGGAATTCCCGTCAAAAAGAACGAGGTGCTCCGTTCCGGTGATACTTTGTTTTCAGCAGAGGTTGCTGTGCCCCGGTAGGCGAGAGGCTCCTGATGTGCCATCTCTGGTTTCGGGTACACGGCAGAGATCAGGAAGAGAAAGGCGAAATTCGAGCAAGTTTGATGGTTTGGTGAGAGCGGAAAGAGGGTATATGGAAGGTGGGAGAAGGTACGTAGGTATGGGTGGATATAAAGGTTCGTGCCTCGTTACTCTCGTTTGATGAAAAGTACCTAAGGTAAGATGGGAGTGAATGGCGGTGCCAGGTACAATGGTTTATCTATTGTGTGGCCCATTCATCATTCTGGGCAAGGCATCAATGACACGTCTATAAGCAACATTCCCATTCATTGTTTGATTTCAACGTGAGTCTGCCTCTGGTCCCAGAGGCTAGCTCATCCATACATGACATTCTACGCGGCCAGTGCCAAATCCGCTTCAGAATTGCATTCCTAACAAGCAAATCGACTAGAGATCTGTTACCAGCTCTCGAGCTCCGCATCGTTTCTGATTTGACAGCCAACAGTCTCCCGTGATGGTTCCATACATCAGGTTTTGTGCATTCCCTCTTGTAAAGCTTGCAACTCATGTACTCAAACTCAGCTCAACACCATGGCAAGTCGACTTTGTTGTTACTGTCGAGGCAATCCTAACTAAGGTGCCACATTAAAAGTCTCTTAAATAAATCAACACTACGCAATAATCAAACATTCGTGAAAATACGCTTAAAAATCTCAGTAAACGTCCGCGAACTAGTTAACTTAACATTATATAGTGATGTTGTAAATAGCGCGATTATGTTATAAATTAATAATAATAGCACTTATAAAAGTAATAATTTCGACTTCTATCTTAAGTTTAATTTACGACTAAGCGCTAATAGTCCTGCTTTTTTATTTAATATAAATAATCAAACCTTTATATTAAGTGTGACGAGCCGTCTAACCTATAAGGCTAAAGGGTTCTATAGGGTTTATGTTCTGAGGTAAGTCAACACAAAGGACGATAGAGGCTTCTGTCAACTAGAAGACACTCAGATGCTGGGGCTTGGTCTGAATCGGGGTTCACTGAATAGTCGAGTCGTCAGGAGATTTCTCCCACCTTAGGGTTGGCTAAGATGCTTGGATTGATCACTGAGGTAGAGACTGTCTATCTGTCTAGTTAGGAAATGTCCATCCTTATATATCCAATCTTTCCCTCACTGATGAGGTGGATATGTCGGATATGTATGATCCAGCATATCCGGATACGTTGGATATGTATGATCTAACATATTCATCACGTGATACCTAGATCACGTCATCTGTGTTCTCGGTCGTGGTCGGTGTGTCCTCCTGGTTTCTTCCGCTCCTGTCTCTTTCTGTTGGGCCTGCCATCGGGCCTCTTCCCCTGTACGTCTCGTTGGTTCGTAACAGGACGTACCCTCCGGACTTGGAATGAGGGTGGAACAAAGAGGAGGACCTGCCATCCGGCGTGACAGAGTCCATGGCGGTGACTGAAGCGACTGCAACGATTTCGTTGTCTTCAGTGACTACGGTGAGTTTTTTCAGAGCGAGGTGGGATATCTGCAAAGACGGTGAAAAGAGTGGCATCTGCAGAACTTGATTCCATCAAGTGTGACAATAGGGCATAGGATGTAGAAGTGAAGGAATTGTTCGTTAACGCCAGTTATTTCTTGTTAGAGATAAGCAGTGTGTTGCTGCCTTGTACTATCTTAGGCTAATATTCCTTATCGCCGTGGGGCTTTGTGAATGGTTGTGAGATTAGGGCGAGGGCTTCGATGCGATATGATCCAGCAGAGCCCTGGCCGCCGTGTGGCATCGAGTAGCCGTTGGTGATGGTTGTGCTTGAATGGCGAGGGATCATCAGGGATGCTTCCGAGAGTGTGAAAGAGTGCTTCAAAACAGGATCGAGTGCTTTGGGGGCGTGACCGGATGATTGAATAAATGCTTGAGTGCGTATGGTTGAGTAAGATGCTTGAGATGGTCACATGGTCGGGTTGTCGACACAAGCTGCTGTGAGTTGAATATAAATTATCAAACGGCTGAGGTACGTGCTGGTTGCGTGATCTGGAAATGCAGAGATGCTTGATCAAATGCCAGACAGCGTAATTTTGAGATGGTCGCGTCTTCAGATCGTCGACACCAATTGGTGTAATATCCACCACGAATTGTGGTGGGTCCGAGGTGCAAACTGGTTGCAAATTGGCTGAGTGACGAGGCCGGTAATGCAACCAACGGCCTTGGTTCAGCCGGCCAAAAGAAGGGCCCAAATCAATAAAAGAATATGAATAGTCTTAAATGCGCGAAGCACGAGGGCGCATAACCTGTTGCAGGGCAAAACTGCTGCATTCGGTTTATGTATCTGCGTGGAGAGGCAGTGGCACTGGAGGTGCCCTGAACCCTTATATGTGCCAAGGCGGTCACCCTAGGCAGCAACAGGTACATGGTGTAGATATGTTATGGTAAAATCCTGTTAATATTACCCCTGTCTCGTACACCTGCTAGATACTGCTTGTCAGGGGAAGTAAGGGAAATGTCCAAGTGACAAGGCCACAGGACTGCTTTCAAGGCGATAAAAGGTATCATCAGCAACTCGATTGTTTATTATTACAATTATTGTTATCATTAAGCTCTTTGATATGAAAACATTCTAAAGTTGGCAGGCGGTAGGTTTCTTAACCTAGAGGCTACATGACTGCATGTTGGAGCAACACATGAACAAATCTAAGGACTGACGGTACGATTAAATTTATCATTAAGCTCTCGACTGCAAGGGAAGATTCAAACCTAAATGCCCTAAAATACAACCAGAAGCAAAGCCCCCGTGCTGTACGCAAGGTCAAGGGGAACAACCCAAACGAATCATGTTGTAACATAGGGCATCAAAGGAGGCTCAGATGCTACCTTGGGTAGGTACAAAACCAGTGATAAGCCAGAAACCAGGATGGCATTTTCCGTCAGCAGGAAGTCGTCCAGCCCCAACCCAGGGGCGAGATATGTACTGCAGACCGTTCCCAAGTCCAGCCTCGACGGCAACCCAGGCCCGTCGTGGGTGAGTGCATCCTTGGCAAGGGCAAAGGTCAATGGGCTAGCCAGCAGCGACTCGTGCGTGTAGAATGACCCGGCCACCTGACCATTGCAAACGACCTGGGCCTCCGAGTTCGTGACGCCAACGCCCCGCGCATCCAGGAGGAATGCCGAGGCTCCGGTGCCCTGCTGGGGCTCGACGATCTCGTCGAAGAAGCCGCTGTAGATGCTGGTAGTGGGGACGTATCCAGAGTCGCCCCCGTTGGACCTGAGGGCCCTGATGAAGTTACTGCCGGCCTCCTGCTGCAGTACCGCCGGATCATTGGTCACACCCGTAACGTCAGCGAAATCAGCGAATATAGTGCCCTTGTAGTCGGCGCTGACGGCGACGTGATCCGAGGTTACGTTGCGGGTCGAAGGCCAGTACTTGAACGCCCACTGCGTATCGATGTTGCCCTGGGACCATGCGATAATGGATACATTCCGGCACGTGAGCGCAGCGATGTAGTTGAGCGCGTATGCTGCGTACTCGGCATTCACCTGCGCGTCGTCTAGAAGATTTCCTGGCACGTTCACCCAGACTGGGTCCGCGTAATCGACGTTCGAGAGAAGAGGGATGAAGTTGCCAATGAAGGTCACGTAGCCGGTGCTTCCGGTACCAGGGAATAGAATGACGGGCGGCTTCCGCCCGTAAGTGAAGCTGTTCGGAATGTAGATAGCAGCACGGAGACTGGCTTCGGAGACAGAGTAAGGCGCATCACAGGCCTCGACCTTGGGATACACAGGGGTCGGTGGATTGGGATTGCTTATGAGATGTCAGTGTGAGTGCTCGAGTGAAACGGTCTAGAACACTTTGGCTTACCTGTTAGTCTTGCTGTTTTCTGCGGTGACGGTACCCTGGGCGAAATTGAATAATTCGCCAACGGAGCCGGAGATGATGCCATTGGTGATCATTCGCGCATTGAACTCTGGAAGCGTAGTAGGGCTCGATGTCGTGATGGCTTCCAAGACTGCGGAAGCCTGCGCCACGCTTGTTGGGGACGTCTTCGGCGCGAATCCCTCCAGCGCGCGTAGGACGCCGTTTCTGTTACCCGATCCGAGAGCCGTTCTCAGGTTCAACAACCCGAGAACATCGCTGAGGAGGCCTCCAACAAGCTGGCGCTTCTCGGTCACCGATGACTGGCTCTTCGAACCAGGCACAGCTGCGCCGGAAGCGACACAGCACAAGCCCGAGAGCGAAATGAGGATATCCGAGGGTTTCATGGTGAAAGATCTGCTAGGAATGCTTCATGGGATGGCTGTTTGGATGTCGAACACAGGTTCCGCGGTTGCATTTATACACATGAGAGCCTCCGCAATGTCACTTCAAGCAATCATCGCAGCCTCGGTAGTCACGGACCTCCGTATTAATGAACTACACGGAGGACGTCATGGTCTGGAATTCTAGGGGCTATTTTTTTTCATTCTGCGCCAGCTACAGTACTGTGTATAGATATCCGGCATGATCATGCTTAGCGTCCTCCACCGCCCCAGTCCTCTCCGCAGGTATCGAGTCACCTGGATTGCCACGGGATATACCTGTCTTGATCAATTTGTGTCATCGCTCGCTGCTGTCGCCACCTCCAGAAGGATGTATATTTCACTAAGACTGAGTCGTGTAGATACCTCCACGCCCCCATGGAGGGCGCTAATCATTACCGTGCCGGACATTTGTAGTACTCGCTAACCCTCTTGTGGTGTTGAGGCGGGACTAAAAAACTAGCACTCCCCGCGCCCTCGGAAGCCTCGTCGTCGGATATCCGAGGAGCCTGCTAGTAAGCCCATAGTTGTCAGATACCAGCGCACCATTTGGGCCATGCACTGACTATCACAGCGAGCATACTGGGGAGCTGGGACATGGCCGGCAGCAAGCAGCTATTACTCTATTGACGAGAATATCAAGACTAGAGAGGAAAGGAAGAGAGAGAGAGATAGGTACAGCGGAAGGTTGCCCCTTTAAGGGGATCCTCTGGTCAGATCCTTCCCTTATTGGGAAGTATCGGGTTGTCATGTGGGAAGGTCTGTGCAGGCCGTCACAAGTGGATCTATGACTGGACTGTCTACCACCACGGCGCTGGAACCCCTATGACCGACGTGGCCGGCGAGCTGTGGCTCTTGCTTATCCAGCTCTCTGGCAAGGTTGATGCTGAGAAGTCTGCTCTCTCAGACTCTCGAAGGGTTGAAAGGACAGGCATCTTAGATATGCAGGATGAATGGGTTTAGTCAAAGGGATCGGCGATGAGACTCTTAATTGTCAGATTTGAGCCAATCGCGAGGTTGAAGTGTGTGTGTGGGTTACTTCCGTAAACCCTGTGTCTCTACTGCCATTGCGACGACGTGGAACACTGAGCGGAAATGGTCAGGCAATCTTGGAGCGGCAGCATGCTGAACATGAAGAGGCAGAATGACACAGGCGACCCGCATCTGCCGAATAGCAAATTCCAAATGCCATAACGCGTGGTGAACGCGCGGAGGGAGGTCAGCCAAAGGGTCACCCAGTAGGACCAGGAGTCAGGTCAGCTGCCGAAGAATTGTGTACATAAAAGCGCATATAATACTGATTCTTGGGTGGTTTCATGGATGACTCATAAACAGACCACAAGCCAAGAAGGAATGTCGGCCTGTCATCTCGGATCCCACTGCGACGTACAGGGCTGGTGGTTGGATGCAGTATGACAGGGCAACAGCGGGAGCAGACTAGTGAGTGGGATTTGCTCGTTTGCCTCGTTTGTCTGGTGCGCATGGTAGCCTAGACGTTGCTAGAATGCGAACCACCAATGCCCAATGCTTATAATAATATTACCAACCTATTCACGGATGACGTTTAGCATTGGCTCCCATGCTCAATGCGCTCTGCCAGCCCAACATGAGAGCGACAACAAGCACCCGAAACAGTCTGGCATAGGTTGAATATTGTTTCGACAGGATGACGCACACCTCGGCTAGAGCCTGGTCCTTGGCGGCTTCGAGGGAGTCGAGAGCGATGTTTGAGGCCCTGTATCCGCTCTTCTAGCTCTTGAATTTCGGCCTCTTGCCGCAAGGCTGTAGCGATCACCCTTTGAAACTTCCAAAATATAGCCGCTGTGACGACGGATACGTCCCGTCCAACGTCTTGAAATGGCTGGTGTCCGTTAGACATGCTTGGGTAAGAGGTTCGGCTTTCAGGAACGCTTGCGTCTTTTATCTAGTTATTACACGTGGGAAAATGAGATCAGAATCATGATCTTAATCAACCACCCGAGATACTGTACTGAGATGTGTTCGCGCGCGGGCGCGGATATCTAGGTACTTAGGTAGGTGATCCCTTCAAGATTGCGATGATCTCTAACCAAGTCTAATACACTAGACTGTCAATATGACAACCAGGGCCCAAATCAATTACATTACATCCACGAAGCCACGGATTCGCGTGGATGTAAGGATTTACACCAAATCCACGAAATAGTGGTCCACTGAAGCCCCAAATGGATGTAATTGATGGTGGATGTACATATTTTTGGTGATAAAGCTGAATTCCTCATCTGGGATGGCCCTGACACCCCCATATTCGTGCTAAAGCCGTAATATTTATCCCTTTGCCCGAAAGGGTGTAATAGCCTCTCGTTCAACTGCTAGCAGTATTCTTCGTCGTCTGCTTCACGTGTCCTTTCGCTAACTGCTATCCACGCAGTTGCCCACTTTGCGAGCTCGTCAGAGGACATCCTTTCGACGTAATCAACTTCATCCTTCTCGTCGGGTGACAGCAATACGGGGTCTAACTCGTGTATAACACCAGCTCGTAGCCACGAACGCAGTACCTGGCAGAGACTGATGATCATAGCATCTAGGGCGCCGCGAAGGCTAGTCGTCATCCGCCCTGCTGCCGAAAAAACCCTCTCACATTCGGCAGACATCGGTTGAACTGTGAGGATGTCAAGCGCCATTTGTGAGAGACGAGGGTATTGGTGACGTCGTTCATGCCAGTAGGCTAAAGGATCGAATATTGCGTTATTCACAGTCTCGTGAGACTGCCAGATCTCGTATTCGTCTCCCAGAGTGGATGAAATCGGGGCCGAGCTTGCTTGTTGATGGATAAATTCCTCGAGAGGGTTCAGATCGATTTTACGGCGCTTTTGGGCAGGCTCGTCGTCATTAAGGGTGTTCTGTATCTCGAGATCACGGTATTCGGTATCCCACAGCTCTTGGACCAAATCTTTTGCCTTCTGAATCCATTCGGGCCGATCATTTCATTTCTGTTCGAACCAGTGCCATCGGAATCGGGGGTGAAGGGCTATAGCCGCATAATAGAGGGGGGTCTCGTCGAGCTTCTGATAATATTCGTCTAGTTTCATCCAACCAAGGTTGATGTTAGCTACGAAGTGTTCACTGTCAGGAAGCTTGTTAGTAGTAATTTTATAACCCTCAAGCTTGCCGAGAAGGAATTCAAATCCAAAGATAACATCCCAGATGTTACCATACGAACCGGTCCATCCTTTCCGCTTGCGTTGCATGCCATCCCCTTCGAGTAATTTCACGGTGTGTTCATAGTCAGTAAGGATAGCGGCAGTGTGCTCAAGAACGGTCCAATCGTGATCATTTAGATGATTCTCTTCTTTGAGGATTTGGGGCCGCCTTGCCATGGCCCTGCCACTAACGAGGCCAGTCCTCTTGGATCTGTGTTGGTCTTCCCATTCCTGATTAAATTGGGCTATCATTGGAGGGAGATACGGGCGAAGCTTGATGAGACGGCGGATCATATATAACTGTGAAAGCCATCTAGTGTCGTTATCGAGGATGACACACAGTGCCCTGGTGTGAGGAACTGTGAAATCGAGGACATCTTGCCGTTAGACGTCAAGAAGGATGTAATGCAAGCGGTCAGATCGCCAGATATCAACGACAAGGTTGTGAGCCTTGCCAACAGGGCCTAATCGGTGATACAACGCGTGTTCAGCAACCGAAAGAGATTCGACCTTGCTGATCTCTGGTTCGAATGCTTCAACATCAGTACCAAACAATAAGGATTTGGCAGAGAGATTCAACTGATGCCCGAAGCACCGGCCACGCCGTTTCTTGCCCTCGAAGCCTAGGGCTAGCCCTATCTCGGTTGATGCCGTATCCATATTGGCAGCGTTATCGAGAATAAGAAAGCCGATCTTATGGTCAATACCAAACATCTTCAAGACTTCGACGATTTGCGTGGCAATATTTTGACCTGTGTGACGAATGGAGACCTCGGGGATGCCGAGAACTAGCTTGCAAGGCTTGTTGTATTCATCTCTGAAAAAGACGACTACGCCATACAAAGCGCGATGATTACCTGACCGCCAGCCATCAAAGGATACGTGTATCTTGCCAGGTGAAGCCCTCAACGCCTCGATGATGGCTCCCTTGTGCCGTTGGAATTCGCGTATGATTTTTTTGCGTAGCCCGGTCGAGGAGATGTGCCCGCTTTGGTCTGTGATACACGGGTTGAGGTATTCGTGTACAAGGCGTAATTTGGGATGATTCACAGTAGCAAAAGGAAGGTTCTCTTCGACGATCCATTTCATAAGGAGGCGGTGAAAGGTATCTCGATCGAAGTTCTTCAGCATGCTATTGGTTATTGCTTGGTCTCGAGGGTTCTCTGGGTTGACGGAGAGATATCGGTGAAGCCGTTGTTGGCTCGTATCGTTGATTGTTTCAGCTCGTAATTATGCCTTGGATCTGGTCTTTTCACCCCCAGGGGCAGAGATCGATTCGACTAGATACAGGTGCTGTATGGCGTTCTGAAGGCCTGCAGATGTGAAAGAATCGGGTACGGGATTGCGGCGAGTGATACAGTATCGGCACACCCATTTGAAGGTCCTACCCTTCTGGATGTCATATCCGTGATCCCAGGCCCAGGAGTTGAGACCTCGCTTCCACTGAGCCCACGTGTAGCCACGAAAACACGCAAAAAGGAAGGCTTCGTCGCCCTGAGAGATGCCGTGGCGGAGGGATTCTCGTTGAGATGATTGGGGTGCTGGCGAGGGGGTTGCGGACAAAGGGACGTCGTTGGGAGGCTCGGAGCCACCGTGTATCGAGGATTTGGGTGTACCGGCCATGGTGAAGCGTGCTGAGGGTACTGCTTGCAATTTGAGGCGAAAAAATTGAATGAACAGGTGAGTTCGAGTGGTTGGGTCGTATTCGAGTGAATCTGAATGATTTGCCTGCTTTGGAGTGGTTTGCGTGGTCTGAATGTTGTTTGTGCCATTTGGTAGCTGCATTCAGAATTTGCATACTAGCTAGCTAGGTGGTTGAAATCATATGTCAATGTTTCTACCAGTGATATAATGCCCAACTCTTGATTAAATGCGCATCATCTTGGTATAGTGGTATGGTAGCGCAAAGTTTGCCTTGCAGAAAAGGCTACGTTCAGATCCTATAGGAAGCTCGGGATTTTTTTTTTGTAAAAAACGGGGCTCTTAGATTTTTGGACCAATCAGAGCCCATATTTCATCCACTGTCATACACTCGTCCATTACGTCAATTACACTAAGCCTTGAATGTAATAGATGACCCCTTCAGCTCCAGTGGATGTACGCCAAAGTGCTCCACTAGCGTGTACACCAGTGGACTAGCGTGTAATTGATTTGACCCTTGATGACAACAATGGTACTTGTAGTAACGAACGCCGGAAATGTTTCCAGAACTGTGGTAACTGCCGGCGCCTTGCTATTGGTATCCGAATTCGACAGTTGGCTGGAAATACTATGTGAAGATAAATGTGGCTTTCAAGTATTTGTTATGGATGCGGGAGTACTAGAGTTTGGTGTGACGCCAGAGTTCGTACACGGCAGTCTGGATGATGTGGTGTTCCATAGACCGGTAGTGGCGATTGAACGGGTAGAATTGACAGTGAAAGGCGATTTGCTCGATGTTCCTATAACTAAAGGAGTGGATGGCTTTGAACTGCAATTCATTTGATGTGTCGTCGTGTGGTCCGTCGCTAGTGAGTTCGTGTCCAAGGGAAATCGTAACTGATGCTTACCGCTCACTTCGGCTATTAGTACTAATGTGAAGACGATCTTGGTAATTAAAGATGAAGACATAATTCTTAACAGAATATGACGTTCTTATGACTTGAATATGTAATCATTCAATGCAGATAACAGGACAATAAGTGTGGTGGTTCCCTGTTATTTCTTAAAGACAGGCTCACACCAAATAGGGTAACAGTTATAAGCAAGACACTACCACGGAAAAAAACAACTACTTTTCTTGGCGCCCCACTGTTAGAGCGCAACCTCCATATCTGCACTAAAACAGGCATCTGTCTCAGTAACTGACTATCTTTGTCAAGACACAACAAAAATTTTCTCACAAGCCGGATGGCACCCTTTCACGACGGGCCCCAAATACGCCGGTGGCCGTTCTAAAGACGACTACTGGCGGCGTGTTCAAATCCCCGGTCCCTAAAAAGACATACGGCCCGGCAACTCCGAGCAGGCTCTGCCAGGCGCTGCTTGACGACATGCAGCCCGTCACAGGTCTCTGAGGCTGACGTCACCATTGTTTCCCCTCTGAAAGGAAAACCCTGAAATATTAATAATAGCAGCACTACTGATATGAAAGGACCTTGATCAAACGAAATCTCTATAGACCAAGCCATCGGATGTGATACAGGGAATAAAGCCTCCTCCTCAGAGTGCCAGGACCAAGTTGCAAAGATACTGGATAAAGACAGGCACCTTTACGAAGCCAAGATGACAATGTTTCAAGAGTGTGCTGCAGCAGTTGACAAGACACTTAAGAAAGCCGGAACCGAATTATACTCACATGCCAAGGAATTCAGCGCCTTCTTCTCTAAATGCCTGAGCAAGTGGCTGGAAACCGAGATTCAACCATAAGGAAGGTCACTTCCGGGGGGATGGTGATGGGGAAGCCCACCACGACTTTCGCCCAAGCTGTTTCTTTTAACTACTGATAGCGTCCACTGATAGTCAACACCACCATGAAGAAAACACAGCCTGGCGCCTTTATTGCTGCCAACCAACTGAAGAAGAAGCAGAATGATCTCCGGGTCTTTGTCCGCATGGACAATAGCCACTTAGAGCCTTATGGGATAAAGTCTACACTCAACAGAAGACTTGGAAGAAGCCCCCAGTCCGCAAGGACAAAGACAAAGAAATAGAGCTCTTCAAGCAATGGCTACGGGAGAGAAACGTGAACACTGACCTTGTCATCTACTCGGATGGATCACAGTTGGACGACCAAGGCACAACCCGCACTGGATGGTGTTATACCATCAGGAAAGGCGGCACCATACAAGAAGTATACCGGGAAAAAGGCAGACTTCTTCAAGCAGAAGTAGTAGATGCTGAAGTCCATGGCGCTCTCCAAGGTCTCGCAGCAGCCAGGGCGATTGGACGCAGAAAACGGCTATATGTCTGCCTGGACAACACGTCAGTGGTAGATGGGCTCAATAGGACTCCACCCGAGACATCACAGAACATTTTTCTACGATTCCAAGAACTGTTGGATTCTGGGCTACGTTAGCCCATCCATAGTCATCCTTCAGGATCACCATCCCCATCTGTGACTCTGTCACATACGTGGCCACATAAGGCCACGTATCCTTTTCCTTTAGTATCTTGGATATATAGGGCCACTCTGGCCGCTCCAGAGTAGCTGGAATTCCTCTTCTTGATAGAACACTTTGAAATCTCACAAGAACTTGCCACGGCACACACTCCTGGAGTGACCGTCAAGTGGATTCCTGGACACAGAGATATTGATAGCAACGAAGCTGCTGACACACTAACAAAAGAGGGTGCTATACTAAAAACGGACACAATAAACCTTCCTATAATCTCTTAGGTAAAGAGAGATCTCAAAAAGAAGAGCAAGAAAGAATTTAATCAATAATAAAAAGACCAATCAGAACCTAGGTATCAAGAAGTATACTCACATACAGTAATTAAAAGAGACCTTATATCTTTTGAAAGGAGCATTCTACACAGACTTCTAGTGGCCAGATTTGGACATAGCGACTTTACTAGATATCACGAACATTTTGGACATACAGACTTAAATAATCACTGCAGTTACGGTAAGAAGAAAACACCACAACACATTTCTTTTATAAGAGGTTTAGGAAAACCGACTGCTGCCAAGGTACTCGCCTAGGACAGCCTGTTTACAATACTTAGGGGAGAGGAGCACGGAATAGGCAAGATTTGTTAAGAAGAGCGAGTTCTTTTCATCAATCTGCCCCTAATAGATAGCTGTTCTTGAAAGACCAGATAGATGAACCCAAAGTCATATAGCCGCAACAACGGGGATGGGCTCATGAGCGGGACTGACTGTACTTATTATCCTGATACCTTCACAACCCTGCGATGCAGAGGCTCTCGGAGGCGTGGTTTGCACTACTGAGGAGCGATCCCCCACGTTAAATACAATCATCATCATCATCATCATCATCATCATCATCATCATCATCATCATCATGTGCCTAGACAATACAGCAGTGATCTCCGGACTGCAGGGGGAACCAGCTCCGAGCTCCCAAGAAGCTTTCCTCCAATTTCACGAAATTTCGGACACGTACGCCGACGTACAGGTCCGGTGGGTGCCAGGGCATATGGACATCCAAGGCAACGAAGAGGCCGACATAAAAGCAAAAAAAGGTACTACCTTGCTAATCCCTACCAGGGCCAAACCTATGCTTACAGGCGTCTTAGGTCTTCTCAACAAAAAGATTCAAAAAGAATACCAGCGATAGTGGGACGAGAACATCACGGACAAATACAAAAGTCTCAGCCTTCAGAAAACTACACTCAAATGCCCAGAAGAGCTCAAGCTTGACAGGCCAACGCTCCACAGGCTTATCGCATCCAGAACTGGCCACGGAGACTTTAGCTGGTACTATAGGAGGTTCAAGCACAAAGAACACTACAACTGCTCTTGCGAGAGAATCAAAACGCGAGCCCACTTTGCTTTCTACAACAGAGCCCTCGCAAAACGGTCTAAGTGGCCATAACGGAACCGCGGACACAACATAGAACCCGAACCAGAAGAGAGGGCCTATTGGAAATAGCTGGTAACACACCCAAAGGAATTCAGAGACTTCTGCAAGTGGACAAAATTCTACACGAAAGTCTGTCCTAGAGTCACAGGACATCAGTTCATCGATAATCAGGCATAACTGCGCCTATTACCACATCTTTTTATTACTTTTATCATCTTTTTTTATGTTTTTATTTTCTTTTAGCTTACAGCCTTTTAGATGTAAGGTATTACCATGTTGAAGCGAGAGGAGCTCCTCGACGCTATTCGGACCACCGACTACGAGCCAGATATCACAGAGCACGAGCCCAAATGGAGGGGCCAACGGAAACTGACGGAATAACATGTGTGCCCTCGAGGTTCGATTTGCAGGTTATCGTGGGAAATAGGGAGTCATGCCCTCCTTCCCGTACAGTAAGGCTTGTATATTAGCCCCTGAGATAGTCACCTGCACGCCAAATGTCCATAAGGATCTGGGGCCTAGAGCCCCTACAGCGTTAAATAAACTAAACCAGACTAAACTATTACGCATAAACACCGATGCAAGTACCCAAGCGCTGATCCCTCAACGGTAACCTTGGCGAGAGCCCGTACTCCCAGTGCGGCAGTACCACAATGACGCCATTGTGCTTGCCTATCCGACCGAGAGTATAGTCATTGTTGTCGTTTGCCGGCTGCGAGTCTAGTTCGCCATGATCTTCGTCAGGGAACGCTTGAGCAGCGATGAGCTCTTTCTTAACGGCGCAGACGCAGCCGATCGTGTAGTCTCTGGGATCTGGCATCGTGGGACAGCGCGGCACCTGTCCTCGGAGTCTTCATTAGAGAAAATGCCAAGGGCATCGTAGCAGAAACCGCTTGGAAGACCCATTTGATTTTGGTGATATGGTAACACGCGACAATGGGAACAGCCGGTATCAGTATGTAGTTCTCTCGTCATCTGGACTTCTTAAGATCATCTCGCTTGCTGCATACATCAAGCACCACCAAAGACAAGAAGACTCTGAACATTGACTCCGCCAAAGCCCTTCTGGCGCAACAGTTCCCGGCCGCGATGAGCCGGAAACTCAGCCACAATAAGGACACTGACATTATCGACCCCGACACCGGCCTTACCCAGCAGCTGCAGAACCGCACAGAGTGTCTCTCCCGTGGCAAGCACATCGTCTATAACCACGACTGTCGCGCCCCTAGGGACCACATCCCGGCCGATCTCAATGCTCTCCTCACGTGAATCCGGCGTGCCGCACGCCACAGACGGCGACGAGATGTGCGACAGGGATTTGATAACGGAGATCATAGGAGGAGGCAGCTTGCCGCGTTTGCGTATCAGCGCTAACGGTACGTCTATCCGTGCCGCGAGAGCTGCCGCGTAGACGAAGCCGCCGGCCTCGCAGCAGGCCACCGCGTCGACTTTGGCCCAGTCGCCGGTGAAGTGTGTCTGAAGCAGCGACGCGCACAGGGCCAGCCCGCCCGGCTGCTGCGCGACGTCTAGGATGTGGCGGAACTCGATGCCTGGCCGTGGAAAGTTGGGGACCGGGCGCACCATGGCGGCTAGTCGCTGCAGGTCCTTGTGGACGAATGGCAGCAGGTGCTGCTCAGCAAACGTTGTTGCCGCCTCGTGTCCTGGAGTGTCGTTGACAAAGGTGAGATTGGGACGGCAGTCCAGCCCCGTTGAGTTCGTCTTGCTATCCTCGTTATTTTTCTCAGTGTTGTCACCCTCGCCATGGCAGCCTCGACGCAATCGGCGCGTCTCTCTGTCAGCTTGAACGCGAACCTCGAGCAGTCTGCTGTCCGGCACCAAGTGCGACAGGGCCGCGACCGGCGCCTCGTCTCTCATGCCAGTAATTAGCAGCGCGTCCACGTCTACGGCGCCGTGCACCACAGCCAGAAAGTGCTCCTCTGGCAGGCGAGGTCGTTGCCGCACCTGGTCGTGGAAGAATGTGGTGAGCGCGGACCGGTGCTGCTCCTTATAGGCACGGTCCGAAAACAGGCGCTTCACATCGACGCCGGTAGCGGCCGCATATTCGTGCTTGGCAGCTTCGCTGATGCTGACTGCGCGTGTCCTGAAACCTTTATCGTTACCTGATGTAAACACCGAGACCCAGACGTCGGCACAGTAGTCCTTACCGGCGCCGCTTTCGCCAGTGACAAGGATAATGAGTTTCGGTCCCATCCGCGCTTTTGGCAGCGGGCATGCATAAGCTAGCAAATTGCGCGGGTCTGAACAATGCCTCAACCGGGCCAAGCGTGATAGGTTGGGTCCAAAAGCGTTCGCAGCCAGTGCGGCGTCCCTGGGGTCCGGCCCAAGGTCTGCGCCGTAAGCTCCGCTGCTCAAGGGCAACAAGTCCATGGCGACTTTGTAGACCCATCGCACGGCAGTTCTAGCGGTGTCGTGCCCATCTTGGTCACGCGGCCAGACACCAGTGATCACGCAGGCAAAGTCCCAGTCTCGGCAGCCAAAGGCAGTGGCACCAGCCGACACGTCGCTAACGGCTTCGCCACCTTGCAGTAGGTGAAGATAGCAGAGCGGCGAGGGGCGATTCGCAATGGAGGCCAGCAGGATATTGGCCACGTTGTCTGCTCCGATGTGTTTCAAGAATAAACACCGTTTGAAAGAGGATGTCTTTCCGCCGCCGTGCCCACCATGCATACCGGACAAGTACATCTCGGTATCGAACAAGCCCACGCTGTCCACTGTCTTGGAATGGTCTTCCGGCCCAAGAATGGTGTCCAGGGGCAAGGACGCAGGTGCGGGCGTGGACGTCTCCAGAATAAGCCCGCTCGTAGAAGATTCGAACATGGTCACGCCGAGATGCAGCTGATTGTTGTCGCAGTATAGATACGCATCTGCAGAGCAGTTTCGGGGGAGATTATTGGCGATGAGTTCATCAAAAGCACGGAGCTTGAGCCGCGCCTCGATGTCGTCGCTCAGTGGGAGGACCCAATTTCGAACCGAATAGGTTCGAGCTGAAAATGCCTTGAAGGTAACGCTGACCACGATGCCAAAGTTCGTGCCAGCCCCTTTCATCGCCCATAACAGATCAGATTCATTTGCCGGGCGTATGGCACCGTCTGGGCAGTGACGATCTGGTACACGGCCAACACAGAGAACTTGACCAGAGTCAACATTGACGATCACAGCACCTATGATGGCATCACACGCGAGCCCGTGAAGCCTAGCCAGGTGCCCGATGCCGCCTTGTAGCCACAGGCCCGCGCCTACACTTGGGCGGGCCCCCAGGGGCACTGTCAATCCCGCCGCCATGGCCTTGTATATGATGTCACCCGTCTTGCAACCAGCCTCGGCGACAATCAAGGGCCCAATATCCGAACCATTTTCGCCTCCATCTTCCTCGGCCGTGTAGATATGCACTTGATCAAAGGCGCCCATATTGACTGACACGACGTTTGGCCAGAGACAGTGGCCACTGTGCCCCCCGCCGATGACGGTCAAGCCACATCCATGCTTTAGAGCCCATCGTACACACGTTTGGATGTGTTCGACCGTTGTCGGTGTAACAACGGACGCGGGGCGGTGGAAGCGAGCCTCCCGATTTTTGACAGCCTTATCCCCGTCCACCAGTGGCACCTGGCCTATCAACTCTGGCAACGCGGTGGCATGTCGGGTAAAGGCTACCATGATCTCAGGCGAGCTGAACACGAGGTGGCCTGGGTGAGCTTCCTCGCGACGGCCCAAGGCGCGACACACCTTACGCCACTCGACCCGGATAGCGTTGTCGATGTCAATATCCTGCCCGACAAAACCCGCCACGAAAGGGGCAAAGCGGTCCAGTGCGCCGTCGGAGTCTTCCACGCGAATGGTGCCGGCTGGAAAAGAGGCCGTTCGATGACATACTAAGCCGTTGAGATGCAAATTGTCGCGGTGGAAAATCACCACCATCCCGCCATCGGGATGCTCGACTAGCATGTCCAGCGCCCGTTCGACGAAGCTGTGCTTGGGCTTCATGCCGTACATGCTGTGACAGAACAGAATGATGTCGAACTTGCCGTCGCCATCATCCATACAGGAGCCAGCACCGTCCCCTGCCTCGTCGTCCACGACGAATGGGGTTCGACTAATGCCGGGCGGGCACTCCAGACAAGGCAGTGGGCGTTCCCCGGTCTCTGCGGTAGAGCAAAGCCATTCTTCCAAGTTCGTAGCAAACAAGTCGTGAGGCTCAAACGCCGCGTATCTCTTGATCTTCTGCCGCAGAGGGACAGGCAGGCGTCCAAGAACGCTCTCCGGGCCGGGCCCGATTTCTAAAAGCGAGATATGGGTATGCGAGTCGAACAGGGGCGCCAGCAGCAGAGACAGTTGGGGCACAATGAAGTCTTGATACGTCGCCCCTCCTTCGCCCCGCACGAACATGTCGAAGCCATCGCTGTACTGGGCATCGGACAGCGGTTGCGGAAGCGACGACCGCGTTGCCGTGGCCTTCTGCGTGACAGCCGTGAGTGCCGACTTTAGGGAGTCGAGAGTGGCCATTGGTAGTGTCGATTACTAGGTAGTCTATTATGGTACTAGTTGTATCCCCTAGTCGCACTAGTGACGGTGGGAGGGTTGGCGATAATGGTTTGCGGTTAGAGGCCGCTTGCTACAGGCCCGGATTAGCGGGTCAAGATCAGGTGCCACCAGCTGTGTCAGCCTTGCCAGCTGACAGCCCGGCTAGTGATAGCTAGCGAAAGGCATCCCTGATCTTCTCAAACATCTCTATTACCAGGTTATTAGATTCCAGCCAGAGGGACATCACAATTGACCACTGTGTATTAAGGACTAAGTCGTCCCTGCTGTTATCCCGATATGCTGCTGACGACTTTAGTATGGGCACTGTAGTACAGTACTGGCCGTCAGACTATTAACAGTCAAATACGGCGGGGATCGTCCATTGTGACACGCCGATCCATGACCCCGGTGTCCTCGGCACTGCACATGATCACATCAGAGCGTAGTGCATGCCCCTCCAGCATTGCTGTCGGGAGAAAGGCCACCGGTGGTCCGGTATATAGGCTGCGTAGAGGTGCTGCGTAGTCGACGATGGAGACGTTGTGGATCCAGCTGCTTCCAGCTGTCAGGTGTCTTGCCGGTTGGGCCGGATTGTTGCCCAAGGGACAAGGTACCGTTTGCACTGTATCTAGACTAAAGAGACCTTTCGGATGGGACAAGCTCCCATCCTTCTAGACAGCAAGCAGAACATCCAGAATACTAGTCATCGTAACATGGTATTCTGGGCCCCTGCCAGAAGGCACGACGTCACCACTTCAACGTGCTGCCAATCGTCCCACCTCCGAGTGTGTCCAATGCAACAACAGTGAGCTTGGTCATATGATTCACCAGACATACAATTAAAGCAAAGAGCCACGCTTTTCCCAGCCCCACAGTTAAGCGATTAATGTCTTGGCTCCTATGGTTGGTTCCGCGTGGCGGAAAGAGATGCCAGCTCGTACAAAGGTCACCGGCGACTCACCGCCATTCCAGGTGGCGCTTTGTGCTTCCATTGACTGTGACAATCAGGCCTGCAGCTGCGCTGGTCAGGGCTGATGGGTTGAAATATCTAGATTCAACGATATCTAAGGAAGAAGAGGCAAGGTCGGAAGAGAACGGGGAAGCTAGGGGTATATATGTACATAAATATGTGGAGGTATTATGTAATACCGTAACATTGACAGCTTCGAATAACATCCGCCGTAGGCTGCAAGCAACCAGGTAGCGACATTGGACCTCGGAGCGAGGACAGCGCCAACGCGACACCTCCCATTTATCAACCTCAAAAGACAGGTGCTTGATTTTCCCTTCAACGAAGCCCATCATTGCGATCTTCAATCTCGAGCATTCCATAGCTCCCGACATCTCTTTCCACTGAGCATAACACTTGCTTCAACCGCCATGTCCAAGGCATTAAGTGATTGTGTGAAACATATATCCCAGGATTCATGGCTCATCGGCAATGATCTGGTCCTTCAACAAATGACGTCGGCCAGAAATCATTTGTGGAGGGACGAGACCGATGGCTCATACTATGTCCTCTTGGAACCCTCAAGGACACCTCAGGCCCATTCACTACCGTCTGATAGTTATGTGCAACACGTACGCCTTGCTAAAGATGCGGCAGTCTGGAGCTTTGGTGATGCGTTCCTCAAGATCAAGTTTCGTGCACCTGATACGAAGACGTCAGAAGAATACACAACACTTCACTGGCTAGCTCAACAGGACCTAAGCTTTAATATTCCCAAGGTTTTGCACCATACGCAGGGAAAAGATCGAACCTTTCTCTTCGTATCCTGAGTGCCTGGGAAGACGCTCGATCAAGCTTGGAGGACCATGTGCGAAGACGACAAGGAGTATTACGTCAACAGGGTTGCTGGTGTTTGTAAAGAGTTGTCTTTAAAGACATCTTCTGCTATCCAAGGCGTGGATGGACACACACTCTTACCAAAAACAACTATTTTTCTTGGCGCCCCGCTGTTAGGGCGCAACCTCTATATCTGCACTAAAACAGGCATTTATTTCAGTACCTGATTATCCTTGCCAAGGCGCAGAAAATTTTTCTCACAAGCTGGATGGCACCCCTTCACGATAGGCCCCCAAATACGCCAGTGGCCGTCCCAAAGACGACTACTGGCGGCGTGCTCAAATCCCCGGCCCCTAAAAGAACATATGGCCCGGCAACCCCAAGCAAGCTCCGCCAGGCACTGCTCGACGACATCAACAGCAGCCCGTCACAGGTCTCTGAGGCTGACTTCACCATTGTTTCCCCTCTGAAAGGAAAATCCTGAAATATTAATACTAGCAGCATCATTGATATAGAAGTACCTCAATCAAACGAAATCTCTACAGACCAAGCCATTAGAGGCGATACAGGGAACAAGGTCTCTTCCTCAAAGTGCCAGGACCAAGTAGCCAAAATACTGGCTAAAGACAAGCATCTCTATGAAGCCAGGATGACAATGTTTCAAGAGTGTGCTGCAGCAGTCGATAAGACACTGGAAAAAGCTGGAACCGAACTATACTCTCATGCCAAGGAGTTCAGCGCTTTCTTCTCCAAATGCCTGAACAAGTGGCTGGAAACCCGAGATCTGCCCAAAAAAAAGACCACTCCTGGCGGGATAGGGATAGGGAAGCCCACCATGACCTTCGCCCAAGCTGTCTCCTCTGGCCAACGACAGCATCCATGGACAGTCAACACTACCATGAAGAAAACACAGCCTGACGCCCTCATCACTGCCAACCAACTGAAGAAGAAGCAGGATAATCTCTGGGTCTTTGTCCGCATGGATAATAGCCACCTAGAGCCTTATGGAATCAAGTCTACACTGAACAGAAGACTTAAGCTCCACCCTCAGGAGCTTAGAGAAGTGACACGGTGTCCTTCTGGTTTTACCTTACACCCAAGGGACAAGCCAACTCAGGCTAAGCTTCTGGCTTTCCAAGAAGAAATTGCCGACATTCTTAAGGCACAAAAGATTGAGACCCACACAGTCTGGCATCATTACAAGGTCAATGGATGCCCAAGAAAGGTCATCAGTGCAGAAGGGTTCACAATCGATATTACTGACACTGTTGTTGCTGATAAAGTTGAAGCCCAAACAGGCGACAGACCTTTGAGGTGCATACTCTCAAAGAACACGATTGATTCTGATCCAGAAACTACATGGATAATCTCTCTGCCCAGTGCAGCAAGGAAACCATTCACGCTTTTTGCCCACTCAATGACCTCAAGGCATATTCAACACACCCCCAAGGTTCACCAGTGTGCAAGCTGCTTCAGATACCATGGTAGGAATTACCGATGCGAAAAGCAAGTATGTGCACACTGCGCCAACACAGTACACCAGGGAAAGTGCGAAAAACCAATCCCAAAGTGTGTCAACTGCAAAAGACCTCATGCTGCCAACTTCGACAAATGCCCTGCCCGCCCCAAGGTTGTGAAAGGTACCATCCATAAGCACACATGGGAGCAAATCCAGGAAATAAGGCTAGCCAGAGAAAGAGCCAGATCCAAGGCCTTCAACAAAGCAGGCAGAAACCAAGCTGGGTCAACACCTAGCAATAATAACAAAGACACCACAATGCAAATCGACACAACAGATACAACTCATCCCAGAGATGCCGATACCATTGTTGTCAGTCAATGTTAGGTACATCAAACGAAACACATCGACACGGGCATCTAGTCATCCATTCTGTGAATACAGCAGGGGGACAAAAGAGTGCAGGCCCTACAGAGTTAGCCATCAACCTGGCTGACTATAAAGGAGAACAAGCAGACATCATTCTGATGCAAGAGCCCTGGGTTGGCATACCACCAGGCAGGAGAATGGGAGTAAAGACACACCCCAATTACGATATATACTCCCCAGTGGATTCCTGGGACAGCGACAATACACGGCCGAGATCTCTTATCTATGTGAGAAAATACCTTCAAGCGGATCAACTTCGGCCCTATGCTACACGAGACATCACCTGGGTCAAGGTACAAGGCATTACATTTGCCAGTGTCTACCGGCCATGTGACAACCCACAGGAAGTGGATGACATTCTGGAAGTATGGACTCCACCTTTTGGCTGCGTTATAGCTGGAGATTTTAATGCTGGCGACACATCCTGGGACTCAAGCAATCCAGGATATCATGGTGGTGCTATACTTGCACAAACTATGGCAGACCATGGACTGGATCTGATTTCTGAACCAGATGTCCCGACACATGATGACGGAAATGTACTAGATCTGGTGTTCTCTGATGTCCCCATGGCTGAAGCCTCAGTCAATGATGCACTTCAGTGCACCTCAGATCATGAGACATTACAAATAGTCATTCCAATCCAGGGAGATCTGGACCGAGTACCCAAGGCCAATCATTGGATAGTACCGGACGATAAACTACAGGAGCTGGCAGATAATGTCCAAACCAGGATTCATGAACTCCCCCGGCTGGGTGTATCCCCTGGCCAGGTGGACACCTTTACACAAAGCCTGATCAACATGATCCAAGGCTGTATTAGGACAGTGGGCAAGAGGCCCCGTCAATCTAGGCCCACTGCTTGGTGGAATGATGACTGCAAAGCAGCTATTCAGACATACAGGGCCCTTTCCAAACAGATTACAAGCCAAGAAGGACGGAATTCAGCCCGACGGGAATTTCGCGGCATGGTTCGGAAAGCTAAGAGAGAGTACTGGCAGACTCTAATCAATTCAGCAACTGAGCCAAAGGACCTATACAGAATCGTCTCTTGGCACAAGTTATCAGCAGGATTGCGTTCCCCTCTAATCATCATAGGAAACCAAATATTCGAGTCACAAGAGAGCAAGGCAAATGCATTACGCTCAGCCACGCTTGAACGAAGTACCTCAGACAACGATATCATCGACCCCTGGTCCGCTCAGATCATACAACCCAAGCCACACATCCCCCTTGAATACCGCGTCGGACTGGAAGAGGCTAAAGGGTGCACTTTAGGAACCAAGAGCAACTCCCCGGGAGTAGATACCCTCACAGTACGGATTCTGAAAGCTTGCTGGCCAGTCATTGGGGAGCATATCAGAGCCCTTTTACAGACCTGCCTACAAATTGGACACCACCTTAAACCATTCAAAGTAGCTGAGGTGGTGATGATCCCAAAACCAGGAAAGAAAGACTACTCCAATCCCAGGGCCTACAGACCAATATCGCTACTGTCATGTTTTGGCAAGGGCCTAGAACGACTCATTGCGAAAAGACTTACCTGGTTTGTTATCAAACTTGGAATTCTAGCTCCACAACATTTTGGAGCTCTACCAAAGCGCTCTGCCACTGACCTGGTAGCTGCACTCATACACGATATTGAGCAGGCCCTTGACCAAGGCCTCGTTGCAACGGTAGTCACATCAGATGTGAAAGGGGCCTTTGATGCTGCCCTAATGGGACGGCTGGTGGTTCGCATGAGAGAACAGGGCTGGCCAGGCTTTCTCATAAGATGGGTCCAGTCGTTCATGTCCGAGCGGTCCGCAAGAGTTCGGTTTGAAGGTACTGTGACTGATATAAAAGCTCTCACTTGTGGGCTCCCACAAGGCTCACCAGTCTCTCCAATCCTCTACATGCTGTATACAGAGCCAATCTGTGCCCGACTTGGCATGAAAAGAAGACGCTTTGGATATACAGATGACCTAGCAACACTCTGCATTGGAAAGAACCTTAAAGAAACAGCTACAGAGGCTTCTGAAAACCTTTATTTGCTTAACCAATAGGGATATAACAATGCTATTGAATTTGATCCCGATAAAACCGAGATCATGCACTTCTCACGGAAAAAGAACTCAGACAATCCCCCAGTTTGCCACGGAACAATGAACAAAATAGCTAAGCATTCCATGCGATGGCTAGGTGTCCTTCTAAATAGGAAACTAAACTTCAAAGACCATGTTTCTCACTGGGCCAAGAAAGCTAGTAGGGTAGCAAATCACCTTCGAGGACTATGCAACACAGTCAAAGGACTTCCAGTAAAGTCAACCAAGAGGGCTGTGAAAGCTTGTGTTATTCCTATTCTCACACATGGCCTGGAGGCCTGGTACCCAGGAATCGAGAAAGCTGGGAGCTTAGGTGAGACATCAGCATGTCGCATTAAGGGGCTTCTTGGAACAATAGATGCCGTACTACGAACGGCAATCAGGGCTATCTTGCCAGTCTGGAAAACACACCCTGGACATATCTTACACTTTGAATCGCAGATTCCCCCAGCAGGAGTTCTTACAGAGTCAATAAGACGACGTCACGGCCTCCGACTAGGACGAATAGACCAGAGACACCCTCTGGTTGACAGGCTCCAAATACAAGCTCGCAAGGATCCAACAAGGCTACAAAAGAGCTTCCAGCTAGTCCCTGACTTCCAGAGACTAATACTTACCAGGCCATTATGGAAGAAGCGCCCAATCCGCAAAGACAAAGACAAAGAAACAGAGCTCTTTAAGCAATGGCTACAAGAGAGAAACATGAACACTGACCTTGTCATCTACTCAGATGGATCACAATTGGATGACCAAGGCGCAACCCGCACTGGATGGGGTTATACCATCAGGAAAGGCGACACTACACAAGAAGTATACCGGGGAAAGGGCAGACTTCTCCAAGTAGAAGTAATAGATGCTGAAGTCCATGGTGCTCTCCAAGGTCTTGCAGCAGCCAGGGCAATTGGACACGGAAAACAGCTATATGTCTGCCTGGACAACACGTCAGTGGTAGATGGGCTCAATGGGACTCCACCCGAGACATCACAAAACATTTTTCTACGATTTCAAGAACTTGCCACAGCACACACTCCTGGAGTGACCGTCAAGTGGATTCCTGGACACAGAGATATTGATAGCAACGAAGCTGCTGACACACTAACAAAAGAGGGTGCTATACTAAAAACGGACACAATAAACCTTCCTATAATCTCTTAGGTAAAGAGAGATCTCAAAAAGAAGAGCAAGAAAGAATTTAATCAATAATAAAAAGACCAATCAGAACCTAGGTATCAAGAAGTATACTCACATACAGTAATTAAAAGAGACCTTATATCTTTTGAAAGGAGCATTCTACACAGACTTCTAGTGGCCAGATTTGGACATAGCGACTTTACTAGATATCACGAACATTTTGGACATACAGACTTAAATAATCACTGCAGTTACGGTAAGAAGAAAACACCACAACACATTTCTTTTATAAGAGGTTTAGGAAAACCGACTGCTGCCAAGGTACTCGCCTAGGACAGCCTGTTTACAATACTTAGGGGAGAGGAGCACGGAATAGGCAAGATTTGTTAAGAAGAGCGAGTTCTTTTCATCAATCTGCCCCTAATAGATAGCTGTTCTTGAAAGACCAGATAGATGAACCCAAAGTCATATAGCCGCAACAACGGGGATGGGCTCATGAGCGGGACTGACTGTACTTATTATCCTGATACCTTCACAACCCTGCGATGCAGAGGCTCTGGGAGGCGTGGTTTGCACTACTGAGGAGCGATCCCCCACGTTAAATACAATCATCATCATCATCATCATCATCATGCACCGATACACTGGCGGCCTTCAAAGAGGTTGAACGCTTGACAGTCAACGTCTTCATAATGGACGGCGAAATCGACAAATATGCCGGTCACATTGATTGTACCCTTCTGCGTCGGTTAAACCCAGCCACCAACATCCAGGAACTGATGACCAGAGCCTGCGAAGAAGACAACTCTTGCGATTTCCTGGGCGCTCTCGTCTGGGATATCTTCGATGAAGCCGGCCAGCTGAAGAGAGAGATCACGGAAGACCCCAACAGGAGCGGAACAGGCATCTGGGGGTCAGAGCTGAACTCTGGGGACCTGCTTGTGGTGGAACGGTTATGTATCAAGCCCGAACACCTTCGCAAGGGACTAGCGAGGGCTGCTTTCTCCGTGGCGATGGAACAGGCGATGACCAAAAGCAGCCAGATGATTGCTTTTGCCCATCCCAAATTCATGGCAGCTGCCGTAGCTGGCGACAAGTGGGAGAAGATGAAGCAACACGAGCAGCTCGCCTACTACAAGGCGCATGAAGACGTACCTTTGGCTTTCTGGCATGCAATGGGCTTCAGACGCGTTGGCGTTACGAATACATCTTGCTCTGGCTAGTGATGAAAGTCACCCTTGCCATTCCCTACCAGTGGAAGAAGACGTACCCGTCGAGGACGAACCCGCCGAGGACGAACCCGACGTGGATTAGGGTCGGGGTATGGTAGGATGGAGATGGGCCCCGAGGATATCAATGAAAACGATGCTTCATGATCGGATCATCTCCGACAAGTATGAGGACCTCGACCAGGACAAGGGCGACGTTGTCTTCTACTTTGGCTCGAACAGCCATGCCATCGATGATCCGGACAATCCCAGTCCATCGACTTCTGGCACAAAGGCTCTCCAGGCCTCTTGGGCTACCAATCTTCCCGTTCGGGTCCTGCGTTCAGGCGGCTCAACCAAAGGCCCCAAAGGAAAGAACAAGTATCTTCCACCCTGCAAGATCCGGTACGATGAATAGGGTAGGGGTATGGTAGGATACTTACATATGATCTCCCAGAATGTTAGTCAATACGATGCTTCATCGTCATAATATGCACGTCTCAGCATCGTTCTTTCAATGCCAGCAATACTTCGCGATGTCGGTGAGCACGCCTTTCGTGTCGAGTGATATCAGTCGGCATCCAACTCATGCAACGTCAGCATAGTCCTGCAACTGGATTGCTACTAACCTTGCCATTCGAGGACTGTACGACCGATTTCGCTCAAAGATGCCATTAATTGCATCTCACTATGGCGTGCGAGATAACCTTACCGTCTCTTGGCATGGGATTGGCTGCCCTATGGAGCCCATGCAGATCGCGGCCAGGACTGCCGTTATACCCGGTCCCCCGGCCCAGGGAAACGTCAGAAAATCAGCCACTGTCACACGAAATCGTATGTTGTGTACTGCTTTCATGATGTGCCGCCTTTTCTAAGCAACCTCGCTATCATTACGGACCAGCAGTTCGCCAAGCCATACTTTTCACGGCAGAATCCTTATCGTCTGACAAGGAAAGTTGCATGAAGACAGGCTTCCCCGTATTCTGGAACGAATAAGAGTAGAAAGAGTGAGCAGTGGTTCGTGGGGAACCTAGCAAGGTTGCCTGAAAAAGGCGGTGCTAAGCCGCATATGAACCGCAGTCGGTCACGGCGCGGCATGCCGGTTTATGGGCATGTGCTATATAAGTTGACTGGAAACCTCGCTTTCGGTCAGGTCACGATTGTATTTTGCCTCTTCTTGTTCTCTATATCGACATCTTGCCAGCCATGGGTTCTATCTACTACCTGAACAACGGAGAGAAAGGGGTAGAGGAAACCCGCCTCAACTGGCTTCACGACAAGGTCATCATGCCCATGGTGAGGAACGTGCTGTTGCCACCGCACATCAAGGCCGACCTCGCTGCCATGTCCGCGCCCCTGATAGCCGATATTGGCGCCGGGTCAGCATCATGGCCGGTAACCGTGGCGAGAGAGCTCCCGCATGCTCGGATCCGCGGTTTTGACATGGACCTCTCCAAGTTCCCGACTATGCTGCCGTCGAACGTCGAATTGGGTTATGGTAACGTGCTTGAGCCATTCCCAGAAGCCCTTCAACAGACTTTCGACCTTGTCCACTTACGACTCTTGGTGGGTGGCATTGAAAAGCACGACTGGGTATCGGCAGCACGCAACATCATGAGTCTCCTTCGGCCCGGCGGGTGGGTCATTTGGGAGGAAACGGGTCTGCCGGTCCGCAATGTCCTGCCTCCCAAGCCCGGGTGGTCAAAGTTCGCGGAACTGAGTTGGCAAGTCTCAGACGCTAGGAATATGGACCTGAGGTGAGACCACGCCTCCGGCTACCCACGAGCTCGGCCGACCTGGGGCATGAACCTGCTGACCTTCGTCCTGCTAGGATGCCCGCGACCTTGAACAGGTATCTGAGCGAAGCAGGCTTCGTCAAGCTCGACGAGAAAGTCTTCAACAGCGCCTCAGACGAGAATCTTGACGGCGCACTCAACGAGATGATGATTGGGTTGGCCGAGCAAAGTCTTGCAGGCATTGTCGCGGATGGGTCTTATGAGGACATGAAGACACAGGAAAAGTTACAGTCAGTCATGAAGGACATCCGGCGAGAGTTCGACGAAGGTTCAAAGAGCTATTGGATTCTTCATCGGGTCTGGGGAAACAAGCCCGTCTGATTCATGCTTTTGGTTTTCCATACAGCTTTAAGCTCACTGTCTTGCCTGTGATACAAGGCCAGTTCAGTCCGATAAACATAAAGTGTTGTGTGTGATGTGCTACTGAGAGGTCGTATGGATTGCTCCCCCTTACTTAGCTTAAGCTGCTCCACCCTAATAAAGGGGCATCTTCCTAATTCCTAGCCTGTCCCTGCTTTCCTCGAAGACCTGACTCGTCAGCCAGTCAGAGTCAGACGTCATTCGCGGGGCCGGACCACGCGGTAGCTTGGCGGCATCGACTTGGGCGAGGTGTACCCCGTGTTGAAGTCGCCATCAGCTTTCGCCCTAGCCTACGCCACTCTAGCTCTATACTATCTCACGTTCCATGGGCTATCAGTCGATAGTCACGGCAGCTCGGCAGCCGTAGTGAGATCTCAAGACGACGAGGCCCACTTGACTCGCGTTCAGCCACCTTAATCCGCGAACGGCTTGCGTAAGATCCCGCTTGCGCCGTACTTGTGGGTCGTCGTGAATTTCCATATCCCGGCACCCTAGCTACTCGTTGAAGAATTCTTCGAGTATATACTTGATCAGCAGGCCCTTTCTGCCGTTTGGGTCATCTCTCATCGTACCATCATACCTTTTATCAATGCGATCGTGGTCCTTGGTGCGATAATAATCACTATCCACACAATGCACCATCACTCTCGCCCCCACTCTCCCGCCCCGCCCGTGTTTTCCGGGCCGGCGCCACACCATGCCCACCATCATCACCACCATCCAGGGGGACCACCACCAAATCACGACCACCACGGACACCGTAGCCCATCCTCCTCGCGGCCTCTCTCCCCACTGCCGCCACCATATGTCCTACCCCAGGGACGACCTGCATTGATACAGCAGATACCCCCACTGGGATACTACGGCAACCACGACGGTCTGATGCCAGCCCCAAGCCTCGAGCCGCCACCCGGCGACTGTTGCCGGCACCACAAATCTCGGTCGCGGACGCGGTCTCTGTGCGGGCCGCCGCTTATTGACCGCATTCCTGACGGTCTTGGGCGTCACTCACCGCCGCCGCCGCATCATCCGCCACCGCACCATGGCTCGCACCATCCTACTTCCCCGGATCGTCGCGATGTGCCGTATTCAGGGCGACCACGTGGGCGGACGCTGGTGGACCAGATCCCGGCTTATGATCACCAGAATCATGGGCCACATGGCTCTCCTCCTGGACATGGACCGCCTGGTCATCATGGTCACCATGGGCATCATAATCATCATCACGGGCACCATGATCATCACGGGCACCACGGCGATCATCGCCGCTGAATCATGCTTCTCCAGGGAATGGATATCGGCAAGCTTGGTTTCCAATTGATATTGACGTCGAACGTATGGTTGATGAGCCGGAGAAGCCAACAAGTATTTCCGAGCTGAAAGATGGCTCAACGGCCCCAGGACTGCGAGTACAAAGCGAATAGACTGCTAAACGATACAGGCCTATGTTAGCCGACATCGTCTACGATCGGCTGGGGCTTATGTCCAAGTATGGCGCTGGCTTTAACAAGGACGGGCAGCTCGAATGTAATAGGGGTGACTAACGCAAGGTTGCCCTTTGCGTCCCCTCGGAGGGAAGGAACGGGGCAAGCGTTGGGAAGTTACTCGATTCGGTATGGGGTAGGCCTTTAGGTAGGATTAAGGGCAAGCGAAAAGGAGGCTGACTTGGGGGCGGAAGAGGGGGCACCTGCCTGCCTGTATGAGCCAGGCTGGGGGCAGCTACCTCTTGCACCCTACACGGCCGCCCTGCTGTCAAAGTTCTGCACCCTACGGGAAAGTCTTTCCCTCTCTACCAAATCATTCAATACACCCAGCCCTCCCATCACACTCGCGATCTGGTCCATTTCTTCACACCTCACATCTTCGTTTCTTCGCGGTGACCACGCACCGCCCATTCGCATACTCATCCCGCTGCCGCCATCAACCTCGCCATGGACGAGAACGAGAAAGAGTACGACTTCTCGGCATCTTGGCTAGAGGCCTAAGAGGGGCCATCCAGCACCTTCGACCCAGCGCTGCTCCAAAGGCCTTTGGTAGCCTTCGACCCATCACTGAGGAATGGAGATGGACCACCCGACACGATCGATCCAGTGTGGCTCCAAAGGCCTCTGGTAGCCTTCGACTCATCAGCACCTTGGCTAGGGGACGGAGAGTGGCCATCCGACACGGTCAATCCAGCATTGCTCCAGCAGCCTTCTGCAACCCTCGAGCCGTTTCCCTTGCAACAATCGCTTTACGGCCAAGGGAACCCGTGGAACCCCAATTTCCCACCCGCCGATGTTGCACCGTACGGTTTTTTTTTTCGTAGTTGCTGACGATTAGGGTGCAAAGCATGCATGTTACATATCTGAATCTGCACCTCGGTGGATCAATGCAGGCGACAGATGTGCCAAGTCAATACTACCTGCAGCCAATGAAATCCAATAGCAACGCCAGCTTCGAGTCACCGGTTGGAGCGTGGTCAAATCACGCTGCGAGGTGAGTACATTTGGCCCCCGACATGCAGCTGCGTTGTGACCATGCTGACCCCCTGAAGTGGGTTTGAGGCTGCCGAGTCTCCCTTCTTCCCGGGACATACCTAGCGAGATGGTCCTACTTCAACTGTCTCCAGCTTTCACCAATTACAACCCCCTCTACTCCCCGCTGGGCATCCTGACCAGTCCTCCAACCGCCCTGGCTATGGAAACTTGTCCATGTCCATGTCCATGTCGCAGCTCGTCGCCCATAGACCCGATTTGCTTGCTGCTAAGCGCAATCCCCAGCCTCTTGAGCCCCATATCCAGCCTCGCCAATTCCATTGCCCAGTGTCTGGCTGCGATCTCGAGTTCGACTCGGACCTTGCCCTCAAAGACCACCAACACTCACCCCATGCACGTGGGCACTGCATAGTCAGCAAGGACCCGTTCACCTGCAAATGCAGCCAGGAGTTCGTCAAACTCTATTCCCTGGAACGACACATCCGAGATTTCCAGGACTCCGTTCCCGCATTCTCATGCAACGAATGCAACCTGCACAAGGGCAATGATGGCTTCAAGCGAAAGGACCACCTTGTTCAACACCTTCGGGTCTTTCACAAATACGGACCCGAGGCGCTTGCGGTGCAATTCCCTCCTCGCAAAGCTCGACTGTACTCCATTGCAGTCTGTCATGTCAAAGGATGTCAGCACTATCGCGAGCCATCGTTCACCGAGTTGGGTCACATGGAGTAGGAAGAGAAACGGCCGTTCGCTAAGCAATCTGAGTACACTTTGCACATGAAGAAGGATCACGACTGGTCGCCTCATCCATGCGGACTCCTAGGTTGCAAGAAGGTGGATGCAAGGGGTTCTTCAGCACAAAAGCCTTGATCAAACACCGCAAGGAACACCATCCTGAAGCCTCACCTCTCCAACTCGAATCTCACGTCGCGCAGAAAGTCAAATGCGACATGTGTCACAAACGATTCCACTACGCCGCAATTTCCGCGCATATGAGATACATATGTAAAGCCGCCGCACAAGTCGAGTGCTCCTGGTGTCACGAGCGTCTCTCGCTAGCTAGTTTGAACGAACACCAACGCCGTTTTTGTCGGGAAATTTGGAAATCCCCACCGACGGGGAACTAATATCTCAAAACGTCAATCGCGTCTGAAGCACATCCCTTCGCTGCTTCTTTGCCAGGGCCATGTCCGCTATGAAGAGGACCATGATGTCGCGGATACGTCAGGGACGCAATATTTGGAGGAAGACAATGTGGCTTTGCAGGTCTTGGATTCGGTGGTTGATGAGTTTCATGTGTTCCATTGTGTTCTCTCTTTCGATGGTGTTTTCTCTTTCGATGGTATTTTCCTTTGAAATAACGTTCTCCTTGGCGTGCACACCGGCTTCTCAGAGGCTACATATATTCACTCGCTTTAACTTATTAGCATTCGAATTATCTACCGATATGAGCATGCAGTTGACCTCCCAATCCCGGAAAGCCATCATCCATGCTTGAAGCCTTCTCGCTGCGCCATAGCCAACCATCGCTGTGCCGGCAAACCACCTTGGCCAACCCGTTTCTACTGGTGACAAGCTGACTTCATTCCGAGACAACTATCACGCTGACTTTATCGGTTCTTCTTCCTTCTAAGGCAAGTCATGGTTCATATAGAATCGACAGCATTGAGTAAGAAATGCACCAGGGGCGCGAGATGCGACGCGAATCAGTGCATCCTCCACTCCCGTTTCAACCGAGGATGGGTCAGCACAGGGGTCAGTGGGTGCATGAACACCGCATTCGCTTGATCATTGCAGCGGCACAAATCTCTGCTCACGGTCAATAGCCTGAGCGTCATCACGAACGCAATGACTTGAACGCTGATTGTGCCGCAAGGAACTTGAAACTCAGATTACGTCGTCAGGAATGCGTGCAGGACACAATGGTCACTCAACAGACCTTGGGCTTCCCGGCCCCGACAGCGCGGACGATCGTGTCACGAGTGCAGCAACGCCGCCCGAGCGGAACGACGTCGCATTCCAGTACTCAACCTCCGAGCAACCCATGTTCACATGGAAGCACAGCGAAGCTATTGGAGTGGAAGAATATCTGTAAGTGCTGGGATTGATTCATGAAGGTTCTTTCCTACTGACAAGCCGTCCAGCCCCTGGAAGCAGTGAGTGTCCTGCGCGCCAACGTCGTGAGGGTTTCTAAGCTTACCGATGACATCGACCAGGCATGGAAGCGAGCATTTGCAGACTGGATACAAGATCGAAAGAGACTCAGTCCGGGCATGCTTCCACAGCTGGTCGTATATCGATAATGATACGGGTGAGATTAGGACTCCACTGGGCCGGTCATTCTTACTGATAGATGGCAGTCAAGATCTACTCTCATATCATCGGCGCGATCATCTTCATGGTCTTACACATAGCCATCTTCGGCGCCGAGATCAAGGTCCCGACCAACTCAATCCACGTCAACGAGACCCCCTCGTTGAATTGAGTTGACACTATCAACGACCTCGTCGTCGTTGAATTGATATACGTTGATCAACGAGGGGTCTTGTCTCCGTGGATTGACAAAAGTTGACGTTGACAACGCCATGACCACACCATAGTAAATATCCCGGGACCCGCACAATTTCGGTATACTTCGGACTATCTCCACATAGTCCCGGGGAATTTATATGGTCAAAAAAATATTTATTATATCAACGGATATTGATTGATATCAACCCACGAAGGCCTCGTCGTTGAGTTGGTTGCCAAGGCTGCTGGAGTCTCGGTGGATTGAGTTGACGTGGATATTGACGTTAACTCAATCAACTAGTTGATATCCGTTGAGTTGGTCGGGACCTTGGCCGAAATACCGCTTCGCTATCAAGTTGCCACCGCGAATGACATGATCGTCTGCAGTATATACTTCTCTGGCGTTGCTGTTTGCTTCACTTTTCGACTATGTAAGCACACGAATGGCTCCCCTGATTATCTGTGCTCAGTACTAACAAGTCAGCTTCCACACGTTCATGTCTCATAGCGGATCATGGTATCAGCTAGGCATCATGTTCGACTACCAGGGCATCATCCTGCTGATGTGGGATCGACGATTCCACTCATCTACTACGGCTTCCCAGGCGATACGAGCGTGCAGGTGGCGTACTGGACCATCACGACACTTCTTGCAGCCTTATGCTCTCTTGCGACATTCCATCCGTCTATAGGAGGGCCTCACCTCGGCCATGTGCGCGCAATCATCTTCGGCGCTTTCGGGTTCGGGTCCTTCATTGTCCCGATCGTCCATGGGGTCCTGAGGTTTGGCCTGGCTGAGCAGCGCCGGAGAATGGGACTTGGCTGGATAGCGCTAACGGCGGTGTTCAATGCGACGGGTGTCCTGTTCTACGTTCTCAAGGTCAGTATACTAGCAACTGAAACTGTTCCACATGGCATAGATCACGTGTCCGATGCTGATGTTGATGCAGTTTCCTGAACGCTGGTACACGCGACGATTCGATATCTGGGGGGCGAGTCACCAGATCATGCATGCCATGGTGGTTATCGCGGCCTTCGCCTACACCAAAGCCGTACTGTGTATGCAAACTACTCGAAATGAGCTGCAATAACATTAATAGCCCCTTTGGGATCCTATTTTCTCTCGAAGGGTCGTGGTAACACGTCAGGCTTATGTATTTACGCATATACGCTGGCAGCAGATTGTAGCTACGCACACCTACATGTACGCGACAGCGTAGCCAGATCTCGGACGCTTACGCCCTCCTCTCCCAATACAAGCATGTCTCCCAACTAGTTCTTCTGTTGCATCCGGCCCAGCCCGTAGCTGTAAACCATAAATAAACATCATCAATTAAGAAAACAGTCCCTGAACCGGGAGATGAACGTATGCGGGGAAGCTGCGCGGAAAAGCCGGAGCATTTGCCCGGACGATCCCGTCAAAAACCTAACCCTGAGGTGGTGACCCCTCCCTACGAATGACGACACCGGCTTTGCATTATTTAGAGAGAAGTTGTTCTGCATCTTTCGACTTCCTGAATGTGGACGCAAGGTGCTGTTGTTGTCCCTTTGCTAGCTTCTCCAACGAACCCTCAGTAACCATCTGTACAGTATTCCCCGCTCTACCCCAGCGCAATGGAGTCCAAGATGAAAGCCGTGCACTATGAGGGCCCCTATAAGGTCTCGGTCAAGGAGATCGAACGGCCCAAGATCCAGCATCCTGATGACTGCATTATCAGAGTAACAACTGCCGGTATTTCCCCCCCTCCTCGTCCGTGGGTTTCGAGGTAAACTGACTGATGGAGCAAGCTATCTGTGGCTCCGACTTGCATATGTACCAAGGCCGCACCGCCGCCCAGAACGGACTCGTCTTCGGTCACGAGAACATGGGAATAGTAACCGTGAGTCTGCCTCCTGGAAGTCCTCTTTGCTCACAGAAATGTCAAGCTCCTGACGTCTGCGCAGGAAGTTGGCCCTGGCGTGACTCTGCTCAAGGAAGGCGACCGCGTTGTTCTTCCCTTTAATGTTGCGGATGGCCGCTGCCGCAACTGCGAAGAAGGGCGCACTGCTTTCTGCACCGGCGTCAACCCCGGTTTCGCCGGGGGCGCCTACGGCTATGTGGCCATGGGGCCATACCAGGGCGGCCAAGCACAGTACTTGCGGGTGCCTTACGCAGATTTCAATGCGCTGACGCTGCCGCCTGGGATAGAACACGAGCAGGATTTTGCGCTGCTGGCGGACATCTTTCCGACCGGATGGCATGGACTTGTGCTCGCGGGTTTCCAGGCAGGAGAGAGTGTTGCTGTCTTTGGAGCAGGACCTGTGGGATTGATGGCGGCATACAGCGGCATCATTAGGGGAGCCAGTAGGGTGTTTGTCGTCGATCAAGTCGCAGAACGGTTGGAGGCAGCGAAAAAGATCGGCTGCACGCCAATCAACTTCCGGGATGGAGATCCGGTCGAGCAGATCATCGAGGCAAACGGCGGTATGGTGGACCGCGCCGTAGACGCTGTTGGATACCAGGCTGTTGATGCGAGCGGAAGCAAGGAGAAGCCGAACATCGTGCTCGACCAGCTCATCGAGGTCACGAGGCCGACAGGCGGTCTAGGGATTCCAGGGCTTTACGTCCCGAGTGACCCTGGCGCACCGGATGCGCAGAGCGGTAAGGGGCAAATTTTGATATCGTTCGGGAAACTGTTTGAAAAGGTATGGGGTGCTTTTCTTCGCCCCTGTGCAGCACTACTAACACCGACAGGGTCTTTCTCTCGGAACCGGGCAGTGTAACGTCAAGACATACAACCGCTACTTGCGAGATCTCATCATTTCCGGCAGGGCGAAGCCCTCCTTTGTCGTGTCTCATGAGGTCACGCTCGAAGAGGCGGAAGACGCGTACGACAAGTTTGACAAGCGGATAGATGGGTATACGAAGGTTTTGATACATCCAAATGGACCTTTGTGATCGATATGTAATTTTTGCTAGAGTATTATTTGTTCCAATTACCAACTCAGGTGCTTTCGTATATGGTGATCACGATGTGCGAAGGTTCCAGCGCAAGTCACATACAGCTGGCAGCCGCCAAACACCAAACGCAACACCAAACGCAACACTATCACCACCAATTGCAACCACCAATCTCACAACACCATTTGCGAGCGTCAATGAGGTCTCCACATTTTATACACCAGAGAGCGCCAGCGAGCCCCTTCCCCAGAAGAAGAGCGCATTCACAGGGTCAATGATGGAATCAGACAGTGGTCTTCTCTTCCTGCATTGCCGGTACCAGATACCCGTCGTCATATGGTCGACGACTATATCCGGGTGAAGCATCCTGAAATGGATCTAGAGAAGGCGCAGACGCTCCAAGAGATAGAGCAACGGCACCAGTGTGTGGTACATTATGGGACCTGGGCTCCGCAGGGCCATACTAATCCCGACAACGTAGGTTTGACTCCGGACACGCGAGTCAACAGAGGCCTGCCACGCTGGTCTCAGCACAACTTCCCTGAAGAAGCCTTTCCCATCTTCCGAGAGAATATATTGGGGATAGGTTCAGAGGTGGCACGATTCATCTTTGAAACCATCGATCCTGTTGAGTGGTAAGTATGAAACATCTCGTCTTGGTCCCAAGTCCGTCTTGGTCCCAAGTCCTCGCTGCCATCTCGATGAGGCAGTCATTCTGTCTCATACTAACTTTTCGATAGTGAGTACGCATCGGGGCAATGCCCAAGCCGACCGAGGAAAAGCCTGCTGACATGATAACACGTCAGACTCGGAATGTCTCGACACATTCAGCGCACTCAACGAGACGCGGCGCATGAACCTATCAGCTCCGAATTTGTCGACCCTTACCGTGTTGGGTCTTAACTCATTTACCGGAAGACACAGGGACCAGACCGACATCAAGCATGGCCTTGCAAGCCTTGTGGCTATGGGACAGTATGACGGTCAGCTCGACAAGCTTCCAGAGATAAAGAGGGTTACTAACGCGTCATAGCAGGCGATCTTTGTTTCCCCAGTTCGGAAATGAAACTCTCGTATCAGCCGGGTGACTGCGTGGTCTTCCGAGGTGCGGAAGAAGAGCATTTCGTCAGGGACTGGAGAGGTTATCGCTTCTTCCTGCTCTTTACCAACCACCAGCCCGTGCGTAATTACGCACATCGCGTCTTTGGAAAACTCCCCCCCAAGCCAAACGACCCCTGGCATCCTGATCGCCAAGCGCAGTTCGCCCGTAATTAGGTGCTGCCGGTGGTACCGCCCGAGGTGGACATCGAAGCGCACGATCCATGTTTCAACGAGATTTCGGACCAAGAAGAGGAAGAGCTCAGCGAGAAGGACATGCTCGGTCCTGCTCTTGATGAGTCGGAGAGCTCCCTGTCTCTGAGCAGTGAGGATTGAGACATACCCGAGTCGCGGTGTGATAGGAAGTGCCTAGGGAAGAGACCCGTGGTCGAGGGTTATACCGTCCGTGTAATAGGCATTGCTTCCGAGGAGTTCTGAAGAGAAAAGTTGTATGTGTTCATCATTGGCCTCTGTTCTACGTCCCTCCCTACCTACCTACTTGTCGGTACGCGCCGGTGGGCTGAGCATCAGCCAACAGCGCAATGACAGTGGACTGCTCATGCTCTACTATATAGATCGGCCGTATGGCGCAATGGTCAAATGCGCCTGGTTGTGTTCTCGTTTGTGCGGTGGGCGACGAGAACAAGTGGGTTCGAATCCTGCTATGGCCCCCTTCTGACCCGGCTTGTGCGAGTCGACAACCAGCACACGACAGTGGAGAGGCCCCTTATTACAAAGCCCAATAGCCAAACAGCTTGTCTCCACAACACCCACTCTTGTGAGGTTTTTTCCCTTGTGGTTTCCCTCGCCAGCGGATAACAAACACCTATTTCACCCACCAATGCGACATATATCGAACAGTTACTGGAACGATATGTACACCAGAGGATTGAGGTTCACTGGGTCGCTTTGTCACTGGATAAGAGGTTTTTCTGACAGAATCGTGCTTGAGTATTGACTAAAACCATTTGGACACTCCAGATTGGTACCGCTACAGCGAGAATAGGCTCGTGCGCGGATTTGAATGTATCTAGACTGACACCTCTACAACCTTGCGATGCAATGGCTCTGGGAGGCGTGGTTTGCCCTATGGAGGGACTGCACCCACGATAAATACAATCAATCAATCATACTATATAGATCAACGTCACCTTCTACATCGCAATCCTCATTTCCGCAAACTTGTCGTGCAGGCCGTACGCCAAGCTATGGGACAAGACTTTGCCGGGCACGTGCGACAACAACGACGTCGTAGATATTGCTACAGCCGCATTTAATCTGGTCTCCCATTCCATAATACTACCACTTCCGCAAAGGATCATCTGGGGTTTGAACCTGAAGACCAAGAGGAAGTTTGGCGTTGCGTTCATATTCGCTGTCGGATTCCGACTGTCAGCTTCCATTCACTATTTGGAATCAGACCACGTGACATATGGCCTGGGCTATATAGCGCTCGGGTCCACGGCCGAAATTGCGTGCGCGATCCTCGTCTATTGCGTACCGGTTATCCCGAAGGCCTTTAGAGCATCCTCGCCTGCTGTCCATACAATCATTTCACTCCTATCGAGGTCATGGAACTCCTCAAAGGGAGCCAGGAACAGGGACAGGGCGAAATGGTATGGATCAGACTCCAAGCCTCACATACCTGAAAGCGTGTACAAGCACACCGACCATGACGATACGCCGCTCGAGAAGATGGAGCACACAAGATTCTATGCCTCTGAGACGAGTAGGAGCCTCAATCCTGATGATATTTGCCTGCCGATCTTCACTCCTCCAGCGGCGATTATACGCACGACACATTTCACAGTGAGGGAAGAGTGCGGGTATGCCGGTGAATCATCAGACATACATCCGTACCAAGCACCATGGCACCAGCTTCGTGGCTGGTGATATTACGGCTTTAGTAGCCATGCTCTCATGTGCTCAATGAAGTAAGCTTGGATACCAGATTACGATGTGTCCAGATAGGACCGGTGGTCTGGTGATCTGCCCACCTAGGAGCCCAAACCTGGCTCTCATATCGGTAGCCCAAATTTCAGTGGGGTGGCTCAATTGATGTAGATTAGCATATGGTGCTTGGGCATGACAGATTGCCAGCAGTGACTGACGGGGTAAAACGAGATGAATGTTGGGGACAGCATTCAGGGGGCAATTCGCAAGCCTGGGGTAATCAGGCACATATGGCAGCCCATGTATTAAGTCTATTTCAAAATGCAGAAGCTGGGGATAGTCAAATCGCCTGGCTTCGAAATCAACTGCCGAACCTTTTACCATCGGCTCCACGCTTTCCGTTGGGCTTGAGGGGCCGACCTAAGGCTGCATGTCGACCCCTGAAATAAGGTACCGTGGGGCCGGTCTCGACAGGGAACTCTGCTATGTACCGGTATATAAAGACTCGCCTTCTGCCGTGCAAGAAAATACTTCAGATTTATTCGTGTCGAAACAAGAAGTCGAAGTATTTTATCTTGTAAGAGGCACGATGCTAATAGCCCGTTAGTGACCGGCCCACGATACATTATTTCAGGGGTCGATCTGTATAGCTTCCGGATCTATAAATCGGCATGTGCATCGGCAGCATGGCAGCATGGGTGCTGCGGTGTTTGTGCGAATTGGGGGCCGATGCCCGAGCGATGCACCATCTCCGACGATGCGGGCAACGGGGGTGAACAAGGGTTTTTTCCCTGTCCGATGCTCTCCAATACTCAATCTGGCATGCTGAATCTTGACTTCGCCTAGAAATCTGGCGTCGTTGCCAATGGCAGCTCGCCCACAGCCCCGTTGAGACGCCGTTGTTTATGTCCGCTCCCTCGATGCACAAGCCTGCTGGGAGCCAGGTGAAGAAACAGGGGCAGAGGGCTTCCAACAGGGATCGGCGGAGAAGCCCACCTTCCTCTCCTCGATCTGACGCCCCGGACGGGGCATCGCCATCATCCCTGACCTTGTTACCCCAGAGCGGGCGCCCACCTTTTTCTCCAATCCAAAAACCGGCGCTGTTCCCTGCATCAGTGATATCCATCGTGACTTTACGAGACGGCAGCTGCCGGTGTCTCTATCCCCCGCCGAAGGCCCAGGTGGATTTGCAAATCTCGGTGCTAGACGAGCCGCAGAGTCTTGCCGATGCAACGCTGCAACGCGCGCGATGGTGATCCAAATACGCCTTGATGCTGCCATGGATCGGTGACGCTCACATAAAATGCCGTCCGTCTGCCCCCGAACGCGTGTGCTGCTGGGCCGTCCTCGTCGCTCTTCTCGCCATTATCTGTCCGCTGCTTTGACCAACTTCGCCCATCATGCCGAGCTCCTGGTTAATCTCTCTTTTGTTGCTCGCCGGTTCAAAGGCCGTTATCGCCCAATGCACCACAGAGTCACTCACTTCGATTCTGGCCAACACCCCCGAAGCTACCGTAAACTTCGTTCAAGCCGTCCCGGCGAACGGCAGCTTCGGCCAAGCAGCGACCGATATCCCGTTCCCCTGGAATGCGACGCAGTTGCCAGCTCTCTGCGCCGTGGGCATCAACGTCAAGAGTTCAGAGAACTCTTCCTACAACTTCGGTCTCTTTCTCCCGGATACCACATGGAATGAACGGTTCCTGACCACGGGCAATGGCGGATATGGTGGCGGCATCAATTGGTAGGTCGAACGGGGCGGAGCTGAGACTTCTGCCAAGCTCTGAGGCGACCAAGCGCTGTTAGCCGTTGAAACTTTAGGCGGGAAGATGCTAACTTAAGATCTTGATAGGCCTAATATGGGAATGTTTTCGCAGGTGAGAAGACACTGCCCATTGCTATCCCACTGCTAACACTGGGTTTCAGTATGGCTTCGCCACAATGAGCACCGACACGGGCCATAGTAGCGATTCGGGTGACGGAAGTTGGGGACTCGACGCCCCGGAGGCTCTCATCGATTGGGGATATCGAGCAATGCATGGCTCTGTGACACTTTCCAAGGTACTTCCTGCTCTTCCCTGCTCTCCGCAAGGTACAGTGGTCTAACTGAATCCAAGCATATCATCAACACCTACTACTCCATCTCGGATGGTATCCAGTACTCCTATTATGCCAGCTGCTCCACCGGTGGCAGGCAAGGGTTGAAAGAGATACAGAATTACCCCGACTCGTTCGATGGTATATCCGTTGGAGCGCCTGCCTGGTGGAGTCCTCACCTTGCGGCCGCGACCCTACACCAAGGCCTCTACAATCAGCCCGAGGATGATCCCAAGCATATTGACCCATCGCTCTTCGCTGGCATCGTGACCGAGATGGTGAAGCAGTGTGACCCTCAGGACGGTCTCGTCGACAGCATCATAAGCGACCCACAGGGCTGTACCTTCGACTTCGAGGCATTGCTCTGCACGCCCAGCAATAATGCGACCTGTCTCACGCCGGCGCAACTCACAACCGCGTACAAGTTCTACAGCGACTGGGTCGACGTGAACCAGACCTTCGTCTTCCCAGGCGTGACAGTCGGCACCAACGCGGGCGCCCTGATGGGCGCCGTGTCGTCCCTAGGCTATTCTTTCTTCCAGGACTGGGTCTACAACGACACCAATTGGGACTACACGCAGCTCACTTACGCCGACGTTCAAGCGGCCGACGCTGTGAACCCCGGAAACGCGACCGCCGACGACTTCGACCTGTCGCCGTTCATGGAGCGAGGAGGAAAGATCATCAAGTACCATGGCCAGGCCGACAGCCTGATCCCGACCAGAAGCTCCATCTACTTCCGCAAGCAGGTCGAGCAGGCCATGGCCCCGCAGGGCACCAACCTCGACGACTTCTACCGCTTCTTCCTCATTCCCGGCATGGACCACTGCATGAGCAGCGCGTTAGCGCCGTGGTACATTGCGGGCGGCAGCCAGCAACTTACTGGTGCGACTCATTCTGTGCCTGGCTACGAGGACGCCGACCACGATGTTGTTCTGGCTTTGATGAAGTGGGTGGAACAGGATTCCGCGCCCGAGCAGCTCATTGCGACTAAGTATGTGAATGACACTGCTACGCTCGGTGTTCAGAGCCAGCGGCCGCTGTGCCTCTACCCTAAGCAGGCTAAGTACGTCTCGGGAGATGTTGATGATGCAGCTAGCTTCGAGTGCCAGTCGCCTTACTAGGTAATGGTAGAGCCTCTGCGATTCTCTCGAATACATGTTATTATTATGTGGCGTATATACTTCTAGAAAACACAATTTAGTTACCAAATCATTGTTGCGAACAGGGGTTAAAGGGGCGATTACCCAATGGATAATTGTGACCATAATGTCTTCGAGTTATTGGGCTCGAGTAGGATTCCTTAAGCCAAGCTACTCGTGGGGGGACGTTTCAGTCATTTCGTTGTTGCCGTAGAATGGTTGGCGATAAGTATGGGAAGACCTTTGCTTGGGGGCGCTCATCCCAGAAGCTTGGTAGATCACCCCCCTATCTCGTGACGGTTTTGCCACGTCTGTTTATCTTTCTCCTTATCGACAATCAAAGTCGACCTCGAATGCGAGTGCCAGCCTAAGATTGATTCATGGACCAGAAAGACTTGGCCTTGGAGATTCCATGGGAGTACCAAGACTTCTCAACATGGGTTTGAAGTCCGCTTTTCGACTGAGCTCATCAGTATTGAAAGATTGCCGCATGGCGGCTCTATCTGCACGATTCGCAGCTGCATCACACAGACCACGTTCCTGGCAGACCGCATACACAGTTAGTGCCGATGGAGAGGGCGGCCAGGTTTTTCGCTCGCTAGGATTCGAGTTCGATAGCAAGGTCGTTAACAGCGGAGCTGCGTGCAACATCATGTTGAAAGCATGGCGGAAAGATACTCGGACAGTGGTGGCGCGACTGCCTTCCTGCTCGGCGATAGGCCTCATAGCCATCCGGTGGCATACGGGCTCGGAAGCAACACCTGCATCCAAGGCGTTTACAACCTCGCTTCAAAGTGGTGCATGTTTCTAAGGGGCTTGGCGGGCCAAGACTCCTGGAATCATATGATGATGCGTTCCAATCCGTCGGTGTGATGCTGGTATAGGAGTTTCATATCGACTGCACGTCTATACTGATAGCTGGAATGTCCGTGGCATGTACACCTCATCGGCGCAGTGAGGGATGAAGCAGAGATTCCGGACTCTCCGAGAACACCAAGGAGGGAGAAGATCGAAGATCAAGTTTTCACGGAGCCTCTGAGCAGAATATACAAGAGCTCCGAGAATCTCCCGCATTCGCGGGGAATCAGTGGTACAGGTCACGAGCTGTGTATCTTAACAACGAGGAACACCCTAGACCCTCGCTCGAGGGAGGACCCTTGGGGGAGTTCCAGATCAGCACCCACCCCGAAAGGCAGTTTCCCTATGCTTGGCTAGACGTGCAGAAGTGGGGGAGAAGCATCTCCCCACAAGAATTGGCTGGGAAAGCTTCATTCTGCCTGCTCATAGGCCATGGCGGGGGTGGAGGCAGGCCCCTGCCCAGGGTTAGAGTTAGGGTTAGGTAACCCCAAGGCATACCTATCAACACCTACGGCGTTTGCTTTGGGCATGACTGCATTGATATCTACCAAGATTCGTTTAGGAACCGGGGAGTGAGAGAGGACTGATACGTTCTGGTCGGGCCGGACTGGTCTGTGGCATGGCGGGCGCCGGCGATGACTCCTGACTACGAAGGCAAGCTACTGCAGATTCCTGACCAAGTCTTGTGCCGCGATGGCCTAAATGCCAACGTGCGAACTGAATTCTGGTGCTCGACCAGTCAGAGTATGATTCAGCTTGTACATAAATCTCTTCTCACCCCTCTTAGGGGTAAGCACAAACCGATCAGGATTCTTAGTATGACATTGCTGTGTATGAAGTCATAGATGGCAATATGCTTGATGGTGGTCGCTGTCTGCATATATGTATAGTGTCAACTGGATGGCAGGTGCAGCCCATTAGTCATTGTATCAGCAAAATAGGGGTTGACGGCATGTCGGTCTTTCTGCAGTGACATGTTAATCTTTGGACAAGCAACACTTCGACTCCATACATTTACAAAACAAAGACCGCATGACCCGCTAGCATTCTAGGAGGTGCCCAAGAGCTGCCGAAACCTCGCTGTGTAACACTTACGACCCTGCATAGCAACCTTCATGTTACAGTATCAGAAACGACGTAAGGGGGATTAGAGGAAGGAAGAGGGGTCGAAGGAGGACACCTGCACATGACGGCGGAAGCTCTGCCCGGTTGGAGGGTGTGATATCCAACGCATACCGGTCAACACGAAGGGTCTTAGGGACGAATGGGCCACACCAGCGCCCACGTTCGAGGCCCCGATGGCTGCATGGTGTACGTTGATCACCTCGAATTGGTCGCTGGTTCACGTCGCTTTATGCGCCTGCAATGGACAGGCGTCGGTTTCTCCAACTTCCCCTCGTTGGTCGCACCAATGTATGTACTTAACAAATCAGGTGTTCGTAGTGCATGTCCAGTCGGACCTGGAAGATTGGGCAGTGCCCGGGGGGCACTGCCCGCTTCATCGGCAGTTTTATTACTTGCTATACGATCCCACCTCGCTTGCTGTAGGGGATCTACTTGTCAACATTCCCATATCAAATCCAGCAGAACGCTACTTAGACCGCGGAGCGGCCCAAACTCCGCACCCTAGCGTCGCCGTCGCCAGGTTTCTTCCATCAACACGACGGCTTATTAATATAAGAAGACGCAACGCCCAGTCGACATCAAGATGATGACAATGCAACTGGAAGGATGAACCACCTCGGACGATTAGTAGCCAATCATGAACGCAGAAGCAGCGCGATTCCCAGCGTAAGCGTTCCGAGCCACACGCTGGCCTCTTGCATAGGACGAACTCCATCCACACACACCACATACGTCCGTCGCCTTGATATTGCGGGGAAGCATGCAACCCGCAGCAATGGAAGGCCAACGGCTATTCTATTTGACTTCGCATAGTCTCCACCCCCGCATTTGGCTAAGGCCTGGCTGCATTAGTCTCAAGTGTCAAGACGAATCGAGTCTATGACAAGGGTCAGGTAATGACTCGAGGCTCTGGACGTCCAAGCTTTCGAGTTCTCATATCTCGCCTACACGCAGCAAGTGGCTGTCGACCCTACGACTTCTGGTGTCTGGACCGCCGCGTGGCCTGGTGCAACTCTGTGGTATGCAACCTCCGGCTAAACCCGCCACTTACTTCGTGTTTGTTCTTGCAGCATATCGTTCGGCTCTGGGTACCTAGGTTCAAACCCTGACTCCTCTCTGGACCAGCCGTTACGAAGGGAGGTCCATATATCGGATCTAACTCGTCAAGAGAGATGGGAGTCAACGAGGAGGCCTTGTCCTCTCTTACTTTCCCAATTCCGGGTTAACCGCCCTACAGTTCTGGGACAAGCGGATATGTTGCATTCACAAAGTCATATGACAAACTCCCACGAATCCATTCTCCCTCACGAGAGGGGTTCTCAATGATCATGCGGCCCCAATTGGTCCTCAATGCATGCCATGGCGTGTGTGAGGTCGTCATTGGCGGCTTCAAACCGGATGTTGAGGCGGCGGTGCTTTGGAACTGCAGTTCGACAACTTCCCCTCTCGCCTGGATATATGCCGATGCAGCCAACTCAACCGTTCGATGAAACATAAGTAAGACAGCACTCATCTCAGTGTCCCCCAGTACGTTCTCCAAGCTCTTTGGTCGAGATCAGCAGAAGCAATCAGACGAAAACATGAGTCCCTTACCAGAGGAATTCGACATCATTGTATGCGGCGGAGGTAGTTGTGGGTGTGTTGTGGCTGGCCGGTACTCCCCCCGTTTCTCGGAGTGTGCTGTGTTGCCTTTGCTAACTGCCCTAGTTTGGCCAACTTGGACCACAACTTGAAGGTCTTGCTCATTGAGGCGGGCGAAAGCAACCTCAATAATCCATGGGTCTTTCGTCCGGGGGTTTACCCCCGTAACATGAAGCTGGACTCAAAGACGGCGTCGTTCTATGAGTCTCGTGCATCACCGTGGCTTGGTGGCAGGAAGGCTGTCGTACCCTGCGCACATATCCTCGGCGGCGGCTCTTCTATCAACTTCTTGGTAAGCAGACAAAAATGTGATGCTCGGGCCCGCAGGCTTACACTTGTTCAAAGATGTACACGCGCGCGTCAGCCTCAGACTACGATGACTTCCAGGCCAAGGGATGGGAAACCAAGGAGCTCCTCCCCCTCATGCGAAAGCATGAGACCTACCAGCGAGCTTGCCATAATAAGTACGTTTTCTCCTTGTGATACCCTGATGACCACACTTGCTGACGACCCCAGGGATCTGCATGGCTTCGAGGGGCCTATCAAAGTGTCCTTCGGCAATTATACATATGGGGTCAAAGACGACTTCTTGCGAGCTGCCGAGTCCCAGGATATTCCCGTCGTCGACGACTTGGAGGACCTGGGTACTGGCCACGGTGCTGAGCATTGGTTGAAATGGATCAACCGAGATGTACGTGGCACGCAACCTCCGTCATTATATTATGTAGTTGCTAATATGCGTTCATAGACTGGTCGTCGCAGTGACAGTGCTCATGCCTACGTCCACTCAACTCGGGCTGTCCATGACAACCTGTACTTGGCATGCAACACCAAGGTGGACAAGATCATCATCGAAGACGGACGTGCTGTGGGCGTTCAGACAGTGTAAGGTTGGTCATGACCCTGCTACTCCGCTGATACTGATCTGCATCCAGCCCAACCAAGCCTCTTCATCCAGCCCAGCTAAAGACTCGCATCTTCAAAGCGCGAAAGCAGATTATTGTTTCGGGAGGCACACTATCATCGCCGCTCATTCTGCAAAGATCGGGAATTGGTACGTGGATAGCCGTATCGTATCGCAATGTCCGTGCTGATGGTACCATAGGTGATCCCGAGAAGCTGAAGAATGCTGGCGTTGAGCCGATCGTAGACCTTCCCGGCGTGGGCCTCAACTTCCAGGATCACTACCTGACCTTCGCAACATACCGCGCCAAGCCAGAGACCGATAGCTTCGATGACTTCGTTCGCGGAGTTCCCGAAGTCCAGAAGCGTAAGCTCATATCTCCATGTCCCTTAGTTCAGGGTCCCTTAGTTCAGGCCTATTCAACCTCAAAAGCAGGAGCCAACCCAACCGTCCCATAATGTCCGAATTTTATCACAGTGCGGGTCAGTCAATCAATGAGAGGATTCGCTAACGACTCAATTAGAGGTGTTTGACCAGTGGCAGTTGGATGGCACCGGTCCGCTCGCTACCAATGGCATCGATGCTGGTGTCAAGATCCGGCCAACTGAGGATGAACTCAAAGAGTTTGAGTCGTGGCCCACTCCACAATTCACTGACGGCTGGAAGTCTTACTTCAAAGAGAAGCCTGACAAGCCAGTCATGCACTACTCTGTTATAGCGGGTTGGTTCGGCGACCACATGCTCATGTAAGGCTACCCCTATTCATCCCGTCCTCTAGTTGAACGGAGACCCCGGGAATAGAATCAAAATCACCTTCTAACGTGAGATATAGGCCACCCGGAAAGTTCTTCACCATGTTCCATTTCCTGGAGTACCCTTTCTCCCGAGGCTTCACTCACATCAAGTCGGCCGATCCTTACGCTACCCCTGACTTCGACGCTGGCTTCAGTAAGTACCATTTCGTCCCCATCTAGATACCCTAGAGCGGCTACTAACCACGAATAGTGAACGACGAACGAGACATGGCCCCCATGGTATGGGGCTACATCAAGTCCAGAGAAACAGCCCGCCGCATGGACGCCTACGCCGGCGAAGTCCAAGCAATGCACCCCTTCTTCAACTACGAGTCTGCCGCCCGCGCCAACGACATGGACCTCGAGACCACCAAGCGCTACGCCCTCCCCGGCAATCTGAGCGCCGGCCTCCAGCACGGCAGCTGGAGCGTGTTCAACCCGCAACCGACCCGGAAGCCGCAGGACAACATCCTGAACAGCAACAAGGCCGACATCAGGGAGGACCTCAAGTATAGCTCGGATGACATCAGCGCCGTTGAGGATTGGGTTAAGCGACATGTTGAGAGTACTTGGCACTGCTTGGGGGTAATATTCCTGGCCTGGCAGTTGAGATGACTTGTGGCTGATACTTATTCCTTGCTTAGACTTGCTCGATGGCCCCGAAAGAAGGCAACAGCATCGTCAAGCATGGCGTGCTGGATGAGCGTCTGAACGTCCATGGTGTCAAGGGGTTGAAGGTTGCCGACCTTAGTATCGTAAGTCCCGCCCACTATCCTCTCTCTAGATCCTGGAGCTACATACCTCTTGGAAGTCCAGTGCTAACCGGTCTAGTGTCCCGACAACGTGGGGTGCAACACCTATTCGACTGCACTGCTCATCGGCGAGAAATGTGCGGTGCTCGTAGCTGAAGATCTCGGGTACTCTGGAGAGGCTCTTGATATGAAGGTTCCGACCTACCATGCTCCGGGAGAAAGGGTAGGCCTCTCCTTCCGCGTCTAGTTGGGCTTGAACTATACTGTGTTGTGATTCTCAACAGGATTCGGACGATTAGGGTGGATAGTCTATGGTCAAACCAGAATGTCAATCATGATTCCTCAGTGTAAATACCTTGGGGATCGTGTTATAGTAATTTGATTCCTGCAACACCCATGTGCCGATTCTCGAACCACATTCCCTAATGTCGCACACTCTCCTACCCTGGATACGGACCTTGGACCATCATCACCGGTAGTTTTGATTTAACATAGTAGGAAAGTCTAGAACTGTTCCTGAGGAATCACTCTTCAGATCATTCAAAGACTGGCAATACTCCCAGGCACGCACGTGGTCGCTTGCTTAAAAAGGAATGTCTTTTCGGTATACATAGATACAATAGGCCATTCAGGCACTGAACGTCCACCACTCATCGTAAAGGGTGTCTTTATCCCTTCCGGTCTCGCCTCCGAAATCCAGCCTGGGAATATCCATCAAAGAAATGTCAGGTCCCAAAGCCTAAATGAAAGAGAATTATATATATACACGCCATGTCCAGCTCCAGGGTGGCTCCACTGCAACCCGTACACGGGGTCGGACGCCATCCTTCAAGCTTCGAACCTCTTGGTAGCCTTCGCACCCCCGGTAGGTTGTGGGCCTCCCGTGGCAGGCATTTCGGGTCCTCCAGAATGAGGGCCGCCGTGAGGTCCTCCAGAGTGAGGGCCACCGTGAGGTCCTCCAGAGTGAGGGCCGCCAGCAAATTCTTTCTCGTCGGCTCCTTTAGAATGATGGTGGTGAGGACCGCCGGAGTGAGGACCCCAGGAATGAGGACCACTGAAGGGAAAGCCCTCGGGAGGGCCACCTTCACCTTCGTGGTCCGGCCCGCCTGGCCCACCACCACCACCACCACCACCCCATCGGCGCAGGAGCTTAGGCGGCTGTGTCGTAGCCGGCGGCTGTGCGCCACCGGTCACGTCTGGCTGCTGGCCATTCAGCGGAGTAGGCCTGGGTCCGTCGGGACGGTGAGACCATCCCGAAGGCATTCCGGATGGAGGCCCAGCTGGTGGAGTGGGGTGGTTGTGCTCGACGTCACTGTTGTATTCGCAGTTGCCGTCGGCCATGGCGCATGCCAGCATGTTTCCCGTCGCAGTCGCGCTGAGCAGACCGACTGCGGCCAGGCTCAAGATTGATTGGGGCAACATGGTGAGTGTATTGATGAGGAGTGCGAAAAGACTACTGGTTGTTGGATATGTCCGGACTGGCTTGCTTCGATGGGGGATGATGGGTCTGTATGGTTCAATTTTCGGGTGGAAGACGTCGACGAAGAAGAAACAAAAATGCCAGAACGTGTTGGTCATCCTGAAGCTGTTATACCCGCCGTTCATAGGGGTTTGCTTCCATCATCATCCTGCTCGGGCCCAGGATGTACTATGACCTCACTCGTGGCACATTCCTTTGGAGACATAGGCTCCTGATCCTAGATAGTCATTTTTCATCGAGATGGAGAAATGTTAGGCAATTGTGAAAGGGATCTTCGTATCGGTAATCAGGAGTGGAAGGCTGGACTGAACATGACTGACTACGCCGCAGCCCAGCATACTATTTTCCTGTGTGCAAGGATGTTACTGATATCTCTGCCCGGGTTAGCTTTGAAGCGTGGCACAGGATCAATCCTGAAGTAGCTGATCTGCGGTACTTTTTATCCGTTGACTTTATATCCAGGGTTGTAATGAAGAGGCTACCGAGGCCACCACGTGCGGTTGCCTGCAAATAGCTCAGCGTAGATTAGCTATATCGTTCATGACTTGTGACGCAGGTGGCATTCCATGCGTGATTGGCTCGTATGTCATTGGGGTCTACGTTCGTGGTGGACGCGTCAGGAGCTTAAATCCGCCACATCCATGAGGATTCCTGGCGGCGCAACAGGTTATTTCCTGAGCAGATTCCTATTTCTGAGCATTGCGGGTGTCTGATCTTCAGTGACCTACTACATCTATAGACCGGGCCTTTCCACAGTTCGCAGACGAGATGCGCCTGTTATCTGTGTGACCTGGACATTCGGCGACTGGCGACTCTGCGGCTCAGCATGTCGCGTCCTTTGGCCACCCATCCCGCCGTCCCAAGGCCCTCGTAGCTCACCCGGCTTCCTTCAATCCAGCCGTCGATCCGCAGATCCTGCTCCCACGCAGGATCCAATGTTGAAACACTGGCTTCGTTACACGTTTATCTGCTGGGCCTCTCATAGATAAGAGACGTAATACACTGCGAAGGTTGAGGAAGATGGTCATGTCAGGAGAAAGAAATTCTCGATGATCAGGGCCACTGGCGCTCCAAGGCGTGGGAGGATCGCGCCTTCGACGTCAATCGGCTCAACTCGCCGCTAGTTACCAGAATTGATATTGAGCGCTCGAACAGCACACGGCCTTGAGATGCCTTCAGTGCGCTGAGAACTAATCGCAGTCGTTGCAATGTAAATATTGATCTGAAGCAGCGCGCATCAACCCGTCGTCGACGCCCGGGGGCAGTCGGAGATAACGCACTGTTGGTTATACCCGGCAGGTCCGAGCTCGTCCAACCTCGGACTCAAGTCCCCGAGGTTGACACCAGGCTTTCCAAATCGTGGAGCGTGACAGAATGCCGCATCTGTACTTCACGAGTATCGAAGAACCTGCATTTGGGCTCGGTGGATTTATATGATCTTATATGATCTTGTAAGGGGCGTTTCCATCATTTGAGATGTCCTTACCCCTCAGGCCATGCCTCGGTCGCGCGCTGGGACAGACCGGGCGCCCGGCTATCGGCAGACGACGCCTCACCAGTGCGTCCGGTGCCGCGAGCCAGATGATGCGTGACTTCGCGGGCCAGTCCATATCTCGGCGACAGGTCCTCGACGGAAACCAATTGCAGAGGCTCAGTCTCACACTGAACCGCCGCAGTCTGCATCCCGAACTTGATGTAGCCATAGAAGCACCACCTCCGGGTACGCCCATCCCACCGGGTTATCATCTCGTGTACTTCACGCCGACAGGCGTCGAGAGCGAGCTGGGCCCCGACGGCACGGACAGTACATTCAATGCGCCGTCCCCGTTCACTCGCCGCATGTGGGCTGGCGGGCGCATGAAGTGGACGAAGGATTGCCCGCTGCTCGTGGGCCAAGAAGCCGAGGAGCGCACGCGGTTGCTGAATGCCGTGGCCAAGAGGAGTCGCGATGGCAGTGAGATGGTGTTGGTGGAGGTAGAGAAACAGTTCTGGAACGAGAAGGGGCTTGCTCTGGTTGATCAGAGGTACGAGACTCGCTTGTGGTGTTTCGTTGCTGAGTGGTAACTCGTACGTTAGGTCCTGGATCTTTCGCCCGGAGTCTGTTGTGGCAGCCGCTGCATCCGAAGCCCCGCTGCGCGACGCCGTGGTCGCAGGCCCGTCAACGATAGAGGACGTCAAGACTAGTGACGAAAGTGAGTGCCAGTGTCTCTTGGCTGCCATGATGTTCCTTCGGTAGGAGTGGATGAAGGGTGCATGGTTAACCAGTCAAACAGGCTACCCTGTCAGACTGCTACGATGGTCGCCTGTAGGGCTTTTTCGGTTCTCGGCGTTGACTTTCAACGGCCACAAGATCCACTATGATCCAACGGTAAGTGGAATTATCCTTTTCTGTTCAGTGCCATGCGTTCTTGTCAGATGTTAGCCATGGTATGGTTGCTCCCACTCTCCTGAAGGAGCTTCGGCGGTCCAGCCGACAAGGCGGGATCCCAGATGTAACGCGCAAGACTGATATGAGATACTGCAGTGGAGCACGAGCATTGAAGGCCAAAGGGGATGTGTTGTCCATGGACCGTTGAACCTCATAGCGATGCTGGACTATTGGAGAGACGTTTGCAGCGATGGACCGATAGACGAGATCAGCTACAGGGCAACATCACCACTTTACGCTGGCGACACTTATCAGATGAGAGCAGCAAGTGCGCCTGCTGATAATGATGAGGGCAGATGGAAAATCATGGTTGGGAGAGAGGGTAAGCTGTGTATGAGCGGAAAGATTCAGGGCCAGTAGGTGTAGGCTGTGATGGTGCTATACCTAAGCAGCACTGAACAGCGATCTTGTCGCCTGGGACCAAGAAAAGAAGATTAGGTCGCGAACAACATATGATCCCTCGTGTTCGACGATTATCTAGGATGCGTTCCGTCATGTCGAAGGCTACCCCTGAGCGGCACAGATTCCGAACGTCAGGCTCGGTACCGATATCTTGGCGGTTGGACGCCCTGTAATTGGTGGATTATCCCGAAACCTCCTTTGGGCCTCTGGGGAGTCTTCTTTCGTGACTCATCGCAGCGGCTTTGGTTCTCACAGCTCACTTCCATTCGCGATACAGGCCTGATTCCAGGCTGTCCGGCCAATGAGCACGAAGATTATGTCCGAGTCAACCTCTCCCCAACCTCAGCGCAATCGCCGTCGTGGCAAGCCGTTGCTTGCTTGCATCACTTGCCGCCGGAGAAAGTGTGTATGGGTCTTCTCTTTTGACTGCCAGGAGCTAATCGGGTTCAAGGGTCAAATGCGACCGCTCAAGTCCTTGTTCAGCTTGTGTGGTGTGTCTCGGGTCCCCACGGCTGAGCTGACTTGCCCTAACGCACGCAACAGAGAAGCGGCTCTGAACTTTCTTGTTCATTTGTTGAACAGGCGCAAGACCTGACACTGGAATCGAGAGATCAATCTGCTCTGGATAGAGCTAGACCCATCGCGCTAGCTCGGCAACACACGACCGCAGAGGGCGGCACGTCTTCGCTGATAGGCCTTGTCAGGGGCAAGCGCAGCATATCGAGAACGGTTCCATTGGACATCCGTACTGAGCGGTATTAGTGAGTTGAGAGACCAGCTTCGGGCATAAGGTGAGGTCGAATTGCCCGAAGAGTCGAACACAACCCCTTCAGCTATTGACCGAGGCATTCCTCTCCTGGATGGGTGCAAGCACGTCACGAAACTCGAGTTACTGGCAGCCGTCCCTCCACGGAGGGTGACCGACCGGCTTCTTGCTCAATACATTGCGGTTCTTGGGAACCGACTTGGTATGTGAACGTCCAAAATCCCTGTTTTCAAGTGCTAACCTAGGATGATCCAGCAAGGAATATTGCATAAGACAGAAATCGTGAAGCAGGTAGGCCTAGGATAGACCAAGTAGGTTCAATAATCGACTGATGGTATCGCAGTACACCCGATTTTGGGAAGAGCCCAGTGCCGTGTCAGTCTCATGGCTCGGCCTCTTGTTCAGCATACTCTGTCTCGCAACCCAGTTTCACCCTTCGGGGCTCGTGATACCGAACAACAGCACGTGTCCGACGGAATATTCGATTCAATATTACAGAGAGAAGGTCGTGCAGTCTCTGGTGCTCGCACAGTACAGCAAAGGGGGTCTGTTCGTGGTCGAAACTCTGATCCACTACCTCGCCATTGAGCAATATCTGCGGCGTGATACTGAGATCGAGGTCTGGCTTGTGCTGGGGGTAGCCGTCCAGTCTGGTACGTTTGACATGCTTGATCCTTTCCCGTCCATATCCCCTTCTCTACGATGCTCAGAAGTAATCATCATCCGGTTTCATATGCTGAACGATATTCTTACACAGCAATACGCATGGGGTATCACCGAGATCCAAGTCACTTCCGGAACATCTCAGTGTACGATGGGGAAATGCGACGACGAGTATGGGCGGCACTCTACCATCTCGATGCGACCGTCTCTACTCAAATGGGCATGCCGAGGGTCATCAAGGATTCCATCGTCGATACGCATGAGCCTCACAACCTATTGGATACCGACTTTGACGCGAACACAACCTCCATGCCCCAACCGCGTCCTGCCGGGGAGATGACGCCGATGCTGCCTTACATCGCGTCGTCTAGGTTGATGCGGGTGTTTGGTGTCGTGTCAGACTTGGTCACGAATCCCCGGCTGCCTTCCTATGCGGAAGTGACACGAATTGACGCGAAGCTGAACGAGGTCAATGCGAATATGGCAAAGTCTCGTCAATTCCGGCCGTTATCCGAATCCATTGCCGATCCGCCGCAGTTGATCTTCCTGGTCCGTATGGTGATGATGGCTTTTCATGCCCCGAAAGACACCTCGATAGGAGGCTCTCGAACCCCCTTTCCCGCCCCTCACTGTTGGACTGATGACACATTACTGGGATACATGGAGTACTCACTGACGGGTTCCTCGTACGTATAGCGAATAGTACTCCAGCTGGTCTACCTCAAATCCCAGATCCTCCTGCACCAAAAATTCCTCGCGCCCTCCAAAGCCTCGAGTCGATACGGATACTCCCGGAAGATCACGGTGCGGGCAGCTTTGCAGATCCTGCGGTTCCAACACCTCATCGACGAGGAACGTAAGCCGACAGGGCGACTTGAGGCCATCAAGTGGATGCCCTCGTCACTGATAAACCACGAGTTCCTTGGCGAGCAGCGTGCTCTGCTTCTGTGTGCAGCATGATCTCGTGGGGTCCGAACCAGCGGAGCTTGAAGAGGTCGCGGAACTCCTGAGGAAGTCCCGGATACTCTGGATCTCGAGCCATGCTATGTCGACCGAGGCAAAGAAGGCCGCAGAGGCAATAGGTCTTGCGCTACGAAGGTTGGACGGGCCACAGGGCTCTGCAGAGGAACACGACGAGGGGCCTTCCGAACCTGATACGTCTCCAGCATGACATGGCAAGCTGTGCTGTCGCGCAGCAGGAGACCGTGAAATATGCGCTGACTCCAGCCAGACTTTTCCTTTGGCTTGCAAACCCCCTTCTCGTTCTTGGGCTACATATTTGACGACGCGGGTTCGATGTCGCTAGGGTTGGACGATGCAGATACGCTCTTTGACGACCCATGCACGATGTCGCTAGGCCCCTAGCATTTCCCGAGAACCTGAAGCAGTGCGAGTAGTATCCCCGGACAGATGGGAGAATATTAAAAGGATAGTGGCCGGATTGTGGTGGAGGAAGGGGTGGCCAGTGACCCCGAGGACATCTGGATCAAGAACACAGAGCCGCCCCTGGCGCGATGGCGGTCGATCTCTTGAATAGTTGATGTGAACTTAACATGACTCCAAGGCAGGGCTATGCGGGACAATTTGCCGGCTTGCGCGGTGAACATGCTGCTTCGGGGTTTCATCGTTCATAGGGCAGACTCATCTTGAATAAACCATCGCAACTCACAGTCATCCTCGTTCAGCGAATGTCGAATTGAATGACGCCCTACACTGGACAGTCTGTTCGCCTTCCGAGCAGATGGCCATTCAGACTCATCAGGGAGAGAGTAGCGGTATGGTGCGATTGCAAGGAAGACGCTCGTGCCAACGAGGGCGTCCAATCTCCCCTTCCGGACCAACAATACATGCATCAGCCACTTTGGCGGCGGATGGTGTGCTCGTGCGCCTCGATGATGCGAGAATCCCATCGATCCTTCCGTAGGGTCCGTCCCGTCGCTGTCAGGTACAGATTTACCCGTTTTCGTCTCTTTGGAATGTTGTCCTTCCGTTCTGCTTAGGTAAGGTATGTTGGCTACTTACCACCTGCAGCGTCCAAGTGAGGTGTCGCTGCTATGGTACGTCGCTATTGGACGTTCGACCACATCGGCGGCGAATTTCGATGTACACTTCCGGCGTGTTTGGGCTGTTGCAGGCTCTCGCCGTGTCACTTCTGCCGTGTCACCAACACTGTCATTGAGTCGCAGGTTGCAGGTGAGTGTTGGTGTTCACCGTTTACCGTATGGTATTTGGTGTCCTTGCCGCATGCCAATCATCTATGCAGCGAAGTGCATGAGCCCCTGTAACCGGTACCTAGATCTGTACATTGCTACATGCCACACGTCACTCGAAGCTGTTTCCCCAGCCCCTCAGACCAGGACGGGAGGTCTTGACAGTGTAGGTATTTGAAGGTAGATACTGATGAGATCGATACCTTGAGGTAAGCTCGAGATGGATGCAAACCTCCCTCCAGAGCGGCCGGTGGGCTCAGCTTCTTGCACGTGACGACACGGTAATCGGGCATCGAGACGGCCGGGATAGGGATGTCGGTGGCGGCTGCCGGTGGTATAATACATGAGAGATCCTGGTCTGTTATCCACTTATGCATATGCAGGGCTAGGTTAGATAGGCTGGGCAGGGACTAGGGTCGTCTTTATTTTTCGTGGCGTGTGATGGAGCACCTTTCGAGACTGTTCCTACCTTATCGCTATAATAATCTACCGACGCCGATTAAATCCATCATGTCAGGAGCACTTCATGGGCAAGACTCCTTGTCCGCTTCCGAACGAATGGATTCTTACCTTATACATGCTGGACTGGAAGAGCATTGACCGGATGCACGTCCGTTCCGCCGAGATGTTGGCAAACTGTGGCTTCATAGAATCCAGACACCGTCAAGAGAAAAGTAATATGTTTTGTGAAGGTGCAATTCGCATTGACACTGACGACATGAAGCCCTCTTAACTTTTCGATATGTCACATCTCTGTCTCACCTAGACGTACTCGCTACACCTATATAAGTAAGGACGTATGAATCTTTCTAGTTGATGTCAATACCTGACTATATGCAGGCTCTTTGCTAGCCTGGAGTCTGGTCGAGGGTGATTCCACGACGAATTATTATTATTGTACGAGGTAGCCTCAAGTTGGGCAAGAAGTTGAGTAGCGTTATCTATGAGTGCCTCTGGACTCTGACTCGTTTATAGTCCTAATTCAGTTTGTTTCGTGGTCAACTCCCAATCTGAAAGGTATGTACCTCCTAAGCTCTGGTCAACGTTGAAAGTTAAGGAAGAGAGGCCTAGGAAGCTCCGCTCTTCCTGCAAACACTAGGACCGTCTGCCCAGAACGGCTTAAGGCGCTTGTAAAGTGGCGACAATTTATCGCGACAGACCCTGTCCAGTCTGCTAGCCGAGCAATGGTCCACCGTAACTGGCCCCTGGGACCGGTGTAAATCGCTGTAACAGTGCCACTGCTCCAGCTGTCCAGTGGCATTTTGGACTGCTGACAGCCTGACACAAAAAGAGACGGCGCCCAGGGTCCGCGTTGCTCCCCACCATTTGCACATTTCCCTGCCATCGGTCGTTGGACGTTGGACGTTCCATTTTCCCACCTCCATTACAACACACCTTCGTGATTTCTGCCACCAAAAATGCGCGCAGCTGGACTCGCTCCTAACGTCGCTATCTCCTGTACTAAGACTAAGACTGGTCTGACAGCCTCAGGACAGAAAGGCATACAGACAGACCACACGTGCGCCGGTCGGGCGCAGGCAAAAGCAAAAGTGGACGGAGGCTATGGACATGGAACACATGAGCGTTGAGGTGGCGGCAGCAGATACGGCAGCTGAGGTCGCGGCCGAGGCGGCTGCGGCTGACCCTTCAAATCGGGCTCCGAAGAAATCAAGTCAAACATGTTCAACCTGCCGTCTGCGCAAGGTGCGCTGTGATGGACGCCGCGATATCTGCCAGAACTGCGAGCGACTAGGCTTTTCATGCTCCTTCCAGGACACAGGCTCCCCGAACCCCGATGGTGAAAACGTGACGTCCTTCTCATTGCCCCGCCGGCGCGTGAGACTGGCCTGTATCAACTGCCACTCGCGGAAAGCCAGATGCACCGGCGAGACTCCCAGGTGCGCGAGATGCCAGTCCCAGGGCATTGACTGTGTTTACAGACCGACGAAGCGGTCCGGCGGCGTCAATGGCACAGGCCACCACGCCCACCATGGCACCGACTCTGAGCATGAAGGATCCGTCACATCCGAGCCGCCAGAGAAGAGAGCCATGACGCAGAAGGACCACCATGGTTCTCATTACGGCCGGGCTGGAGGATCGGAGCAGCACAGCTTAGACCTCTCCGGGGCGCCGCCCTCGAGGAGATTCAGCCATGAGCCGTACGCATTCCATGACCGCCCGCTCCATGACGCATCAAGACTGATAGTAGCCTCAGAATCGCTTTTCCAGATGAGAGCCTTATCCATCGCACGTTCAACAACTTCTTCCGTCACGTGCACCACGTTCCAATGTTCTCTTTCCTCCATCGGGCTTCACTGATGCAACGATATCATGCTGGCATGATGGATAGGGCGCTTCTGCTTGCCCTTGTGGGCATCACCTCACTGCTTACGGATCTAGGTCCTGGCGTGCGCGAGTACGGCCATAGGTGCATCGATGAATGCCAGAGCATGGTCTTGCAAGACCTGGAGAACCCATCTACCATCAAGATACAGGCTCTCGTACTAGTCATGAAGCACCGAATGCTCTCACGGAGGTTTACCAGCGCGTTCATGCTGGCGGCGACCGCTGCACGCTTTGCATACGCTCTTCGACTCAACTACGAGAACCCGAACCTCTGCTTCCTCGCTAGGGAATCTCGGAGAAGACTCATGTGGGCATTTCTGACGATAGACTCGGGCATCAACGGCGGGTATCCCGATTTCACTCTCCTGCCCTCCGAGTCGATGCACATACAACTCCCGTGTAACGAACGCAACTTCGAATTTGACCTTCCGCAAGTTACCGAACATCTACGACCCATCCCCACGCAACCCTTTCCCGACGACGTGGGATCGCTGGCGCTTCACGTGCGGCTTCTGTGGATGAGAAGTAGGGTCTTGTATTGCACCAAGAATGTTCTCGCCATGCCCGAGTCGGAGGCTTTGGAGCTGCCTCAATTGATCAAGGTCCTATCGGCAGAGCTCAGCGGTTTCAACGACCATTTACCTGCCTCTTTCAAATTTTCCGAAAGCAACCTCCAATTGCGAGCTTACTCCCCACGGCTTTGCGTCTTTATCATGATCCACGTCTGGTGGAGACAGTGTCATTGCGACCTCTATCGGATTGTGCTTACTGGACTTAAAGAGGCACTGCCACGAACAAGCGTCAACCGTCTGGAACCCCAATTCGTCTCCTTCTGCGCGCGGCAGTGTTTCGAGCATGCTTTGGCTATAGCAGAGATATTCAGGCTCATTCTCGCACTCGATGGCGGGCTGCCCGTCACCGATCTCGACCTACCAGTCTGTGCTTATCAGTGCGCGCGAATGCTTTATTTCGCCTACCAGATGAACAACGGCGAGATACATCTGACAGCGGGCCAAGTACTGGAGCATGCAAACAGGTGCTTGCAGATCGCCAAATCGATGAACCATCTTCCGGCGGGTGCCGCAATTGTAAGCCAACCAAGCCAGTCGTTACTTGGTCTATTCACACCACTAACTAGGTATAACCGTACAGGTGGCCGATCTTGAGAAGCTGATCTCTCGCGGTTTATCTGCAAGTACTACTCCCAGTCATCCAGCTAGTCCCGACCTCGTGGGCCAAGGTGGCATATCTCACCAGATGCTCTCACGACACAACCCTATTCAACAGATGCACCTCTTGGATGACAGTGAGGTCTCGACAATGCCGGTCCCGTCTCCTTCAACCCATACGCATTCTCCACGCTGCAACGCGAGCGGTGGCTCAGTGCTTACTCCCGCCTCGCAACCTACTCCTGGACCATCGCAGCAGCGCCCTCGTGATCTGCCATTGTCTGAAATGCCATTTGGTGATCCAAATATGCCGAAGCCAAACCTGCCACCCGTGGTACCACCAGATGGCCTAGACAATAACAACGCGTTCGAGGGTGCTATGGACGGATTCGACTTCGCATTTGAATCATTTGGGAACACCGGTGTAGATTCTGTCTCCTGGTTCTCCAATGAGTGGCTGAACAACGAATTCCCTCCCACAACTGTATGAATGAACCGGGGTCTTCGATTATCATCCTGGGAAAGAGCACATGCCGGATCGACTTCTTCTCAGGGTTGCGCGTTACTGGTCAGTATTACTGCTGAGAATGCGGTCGGGCTTTGGCCAATGCTGCGCAAAACCCACGTCACGAATCTTCGGATGGTGCAATGAAAAGACAGCAGATCCTGGAATCCGTCTCATCGTTGGACTACTTTACTCGTCACAATACAGATTGCGACTATGGCTGTAAGCCATATCATATTCCTTCCGTGGTTTCGGGTTTGATCTCCAAAAAATGAAGTCGGACTTTGGTACGATCAACGATCACGTTGCATTCTCGGACCAACCACTGCAAAATGGGTGTGTTGGTTGGATGAAGCGCTGATTAAGAGCTTCGTGCCAAAGTCAGTCCCCCAGTTTCAACCAACAGCTTGGATCGGACACGCACGCCGTGCAAGGGCGCTCGGCGGTGGCTTGTTCGTTGCAGGTGAGAGATACGTCACCACATATGTCCAAGGGCAAGGGCGCAAGTCATGGACACACATGCCTCCTGTCCATTAGCACGGGTGAGCGCCCGGCTTCAGAACTGAACGTCTTGGAGTGGCCGAGGGAAGAAGGCGGATTCAAAAAATGGCGGCAGGCATATGCGAGGCAATGTAGGATACACGTAAGTTCGCACTGGATGATATTGTGCTCGCACAACGACCTGCACTATGCGCCTGAACGGGCTGACGAGTTCTCGCGAAGTATCCGCGCGGATATTAAGTAAGGTGACTGGCGGACTGGTGGAAGATTGCGATGCAAAGGGACCGTTAGCAATAACAGTGCAAATGCATCGGATCCCGGCTTGAACCGGCTCACCGCATCGTCGGTCCAAGTTGATTGTTATAAGGGGAAAGTGGCATGCGGGCACTGGGCAGCAGGTTTTGCCAGTCTCGTATATACGTCAGATAACGCAACTCGCTCGACATATTGCGTGCTAGCCATAGCAAATACTTCGCTGCCCGGGTTTTCGGGGCTGACACCTTCTTGATTCTCTGCGTGAACTTGTCTTGTCTGCCTTGACGCCGCGAACCCCACAGTGGCCCCCTGTCACAGAGTGAGGGTGGCTTCGCCTTTGTGACCCTGTGGGAAACGGTTCGTAACACCCGTGGCTCTGCTCACCTCTAGCCTCGTCTTACGGGATTGTTCACTTCAAGAGTCAAACACGATGAAGATATCGCGGCTTTGGGACCTACTCACCTGGAACTATTGGCTTTCCAACGATCTGAGGTCGTGTCCCTGGGCTCGGACTCGGGGGTTCTCCATCCATGAACGCACTCTCTCGAAACTCCCTTAGCAACCAACGCCTTGCCAATGGCCACCAACCTTCCAGCCAAAGCAGGCTCAGATCTCGAGTAGAAGTCAAGTCGCTCTTCTGTGTTCTGATTCCGGATCCAGCCCACGTGATCTTAGCTACCTTATGACACTTGGGCGTTTTGCCTTCGAATGCGTGGTATGGCACTGGTTCTCCGGAAGCCAGTGCTATCTGAAATTCGTACACGAGCCGCCAAGATGCTTGGTTTATGGGTGAAATATAGTCGAGAGCAACGCTGAATCTGATCTGTGCCCATTCACGAGCTGGTGCTTCGGTGGAAGGCATGTCGAGCTCCCGTGTTGATGTTCTTGGAGGAAGTAGCTGTGGTGACGATTACGCGTGTTATCCTGGACGTAAATCGCGGGATGGAGGAGGTTATGACGGACCAGTCGCTTTCAATCCGGCGGAGGAACAGCTGGGTTCATCATGACATCTGCTCATCACTCCGGCGGAACGAAAACATATCTCGGGTAATACCCAATGGACCGCGACATAGTGACACTTGGTCACTGGGTAGCTGCGTTCCCGATGATAGTACCGGTATGTCACTTGATATGAGCGCTCGACCGAGGCAGCATGATGCGCTTACTCCCCTATTCAGTAGAAGCATCAAGGTGCGCAAGACCTCAGCTGAATCGATGACGCTAGGTTTGGATCTCACTGCGATGTTGAATGCTTGTGTATTCGACATCAAGGTGCGATCGCTGACGCCCTGGGAACCGTGGGGCTCCTGAATGGCAGGCAGGCTTGGTCGCTTGTCGAGCGCTTTGCGCCAAATATATTGCCGATGGTTCATAAAGACACCGCCGGGTGATATAGCCCAGTCTGAGAACCCGTTGGCGTTCGGCTTCGATTTCCAACCGATTTTAATTTCTTCGGCTGCTATTCGACCTTGGCGGTTATCCATCGCGGGCGACAATGTGACGGACGAAGAACGGGGAACAAAGGCGGAAGAAGCGGAAATCCAATGGCGCCAGAACGGCCAGAGTCCCATAGGGCGTGGAACCTATTCGACCTGCGGATATCTCCAGCTGAAACGGCTCTTGGCCACCACCCAGGTCGATGCCGCGTATACAGGGCTTGGGTTGTGGCTACGAATGCTTGTTCCCCGGGGCAGCGCAGACGGCGTCTGGACACTGGTGTACCGAGAAACCTTCGAGTCCTCTGGCGCCCCCTATCTGCGTCGGAGGCTAACTTAATCGCTTGTTTTAAGGTAGCGCGCCTATTATGCCCGTTGAAACTCTCAGTACCTTTCGATGTTCCCGTCAGCCCGGTACACATGCTGACGTGGAATATGTCGGCTCGCCATAAACATGGTGCTACGCCAGGTGGTCGACGTCGATCGAGAGATCGCCCTGTGAGTAATGAAGATGCCCCTTGACAACAGACCTCGAGAGATTAGAATGGTAGGTTACGTACATGTAGCCCTCTCCGCTGGGTGCTGAAGACGCCGCTCGATCTTACACCCTTCGCCCCTTTTGGTTAGGTGAAAGGCCGGCTGGCATCATCCATCTTCGGCTTCTGCCCAACCGAATAGGGTGCGCGGTGCCAGATCTACGGCACAGCAAACCTGGTGAGATCCTACACCCTTATGCAGGTCCTTCACATGCACGGTCTCTCCCTTATTCATCGCCGCAGCGATCCTATATGGCTCTACCCGACCACCTTTGATCTGCCCCGTCACCGTATCTTGGTTTCGGCTCGTCGAAGTAATGACTATGTGGATCCGAGATGGTGGTCTGACAAGCACAGGGGTCATGTGCTGTATATGCTCTCTGAGCCCGTTCTTGCCTGTTCTCGGCGTCGAACTCGGATTAGATCCTTCAGTGCCGTCGTCAGAGTACTCACGAATCCGGAAATATCAACAGGTTAGGAGCACATCAACCGGAATAGTACAGAATCGCCAATCATGATGGTAAAGGGACTCACTCCACTCTTCATGCTGATCACCACACCGTTGGCTCAATACAACTTCCTCCAGAGTGGATGCAATACGAGCAGCGCGCCTACACAGGAGTTCACCCAGAAGACGATTCATACCATCAATAGTACGAGTGATGCCACCTTTGCACAGCGATATCAGATCCTGGCGGATTACTTTGAACCCGGCGGCCCCATACTCTTCGTACAAAGCGGCGCGACTGGCATGCCGGATATCGACGACGTCGACTTCTTCGACTATGCGCCTCGTTTGGGTGCAATGGTTGCGATTCTTGAGCATCGCTTCTTTGGAACCCATGACGGGGGCAGCTATCCAGTCCCGTAGATACCACGAACGCTTTGGGCATACAGACTCGAACAACCACTGCAGCTGTGGTGAAAAGAAAACACCACAACATATTTTCTTTTGTAAGAGGCTAGGAAAAAATCGGTTATTGCCTAGGTACTCGCCTAGGATAGCCTGTTTACAATACTTAGGGGAGAGGAGCACAGAATGGGCAAAATTCGTGGAGAAGAGCAAGTTCTTTTCAACAATCTGTCTCCGATAGATAGCTGTTCTTGAAGGACCAGATGGATGACCCCAAGGTCATACCGCCGCAACAACGGGGATGGGCCTGTGAGCGGGACTGACTGTACTTATTTTCTTGAGACCTCCACAACCCTGCGATGCAGAGGCTCTGGGAGGCGTGGTCTGCACTACTGAGGAGCTACCCCCCACGTTAAATACAAAACAAACAAACATATCCAGTCCCGTTCGATGCGACGGACACCGCGAACACCTCTTCTATTAGCAAAGAGACGTTCAATTTTCTGACGCTGGAGAATGTCTTGCTGGATGGGGTCGAATTTGTGAACTGGATCAAGAGCACGATACCAGGCGCGAACGACAGCAAAGTGATATATGGCGGGGGTGTGTCCTATACTATTATGGGATACTTGCTGCGCTCTTGAAGACTAATTCTGTACACAGCTTCGTATGGTGGGTTTCTTGCCGTATCAGCGCGCGTTCGGTACCCGGACTTATTCTGGGGAGCCATTGCCTCTTCGCCCGTTCTGAGATCATTTGGACCAAACAGCTCCAACAAAGCCAAGTTCCTTGCCGCGAAACGGACGGACAGCGTTTACCACACCATGTCAGGTGCGGCGGCCGACAAGATCGCACCCGCGATCTCGAAGTTTCAGGACTGCCTTGCAGGTAAGAAGATTACACCAGAGTCAACTCGACAGTGCTGACATGGCGAAGAGAACAAATGCGATAAAGTCATCCCCGATCTCAACATATGTGAGGACTCGAAGAACGAAGCGACATACACAGAGCTCTATCATGCCGCACTCCAGGTCTATTCCAAGACTCCCCAGTTCAACTACCCCTGGGTATACAAATATCACACAGAGTAAGGGAGTAAGGGAGTAAGGAATTAAAGGAGTAAGGAGTAAGGGGGTATTGAGATATAATATTTATCACGGGACCGCCAAGCTGGTTTGATATCATAGTAAACCGAATCTGCTCACACCGTTGCGACCGAGATGCGCAACGCGACATGCCCGAGGGCCGAACTTACATATCTTGCGTCTCACGATCGTATCATAGAGCTTCGAGGATACGACCGACCATAGTCATCCCATAAAACATCTACTCATCTGAAGACCAGGCCAAGTACAATGTGACGATCAGGGTTGTAAAAAATACGAATCGTATTCGTACTTAGTATCGTATCGTATGGGATTTCAATACTATATGGTGCGACGGAACGCTCACCATGACCACCATGCCACGGCTGTTCCTCCCAAAAGGATGTCGAATATCAAGCGTGGCAGCTTGACATTCAACGGTGGTACATGTACTCATGTCCTGGCTCCAGGACTCACCACATGGGCTACCTGTACCAGACCATGACATATGGTATACTATAGAGTATTATATATTTTAATAAAATTTATTCATTTTATTTAAAACACGTTTTAAACCTAGTTTTAGATATTTATATTTAATTAATTTAACTTTATAAAGATATTTAAATATTTAAAAAGTTAAGCTATAATGATATTATTGATTGTTGTGAGATTCTAGAAGGGTCACAAGCCTTGGGGTGCCAGTGGTTGCTGCAAATGTTGTTGTCATTCTCAAGTATGTTCGGCAGGGCTAATCTACAGCTAAATACCATACTGCACCATGCCAGGGTGGATCCACTGGTCCCCTGGCAGCCCCCTAGCGGGTACTGCACCTAAGGGCTCTATATCTGGGATCCAACATCTGATCAATAATAATGATATCGAAAAACGCTTAAATACGTCTTAAAAAATTTCTTTCTCTTTTTAAATACATATAAGTTATATTAAAAAGTCCCACTTCTAAACCACTGTTCAATACTATCGTATACAATTTGTATACGATAGTATGGGTTCGTATCGTATCGTATGACCCAAATACGATACTAAGTATCGTATTTTGCAACCCTGGTGACGATAACATAGACCCAGCCGAAGAGGCATGATGGCTTGTCCCATCCCACTGGAAGATGCAGCGATCATCGGAGGCAGCAGGTCTTAGCGCCATGTGGCATTCCAACGGCCTCGATGCGCTGCAACCCCACGCAGATAGGGCCAGCCTGCACAGATGCCGAGGCCTACATATATGTAGACACCTGCAAGCCCGACAAGCGAAGGTGTGGATGGGATTTGCGTTCATTCGTCATCCCGTCTGCAGTGTGCCGCCGTTGCAGGCGAACCAAGCGGTTTAATGTACCTAGGGCCTAGACAGTCGGTGACATGTGAGTTTGCCTCCTTTTGAACCTCTCATCAGATCCATCCCTTCGATTTTGGGGTCCCCAATACATAAAGCCAGTATTCGACAGGCAAGCTGGTGAGTCCAATCGCACGGTCAAGATATGCGCGTCTCCAACATCGAGGTGCTTGCCCACTTTTGGTCCGCGTTTTGATGATTCAGCAGAAGCTCATCTCCCGTCTTACTCCACCTTTTGTGACTTCTACAGCTTTACCCAAATTCCAACTAAACTCCCACGGAGCAGGCCCAAAGTGACAGCAACCCTCCAATTCAGACTTACAACGGTCACCGGACTTAATTCGAATCGAAAGCGCCCTTGCCTGTTGTTACACCTCATTATCTGTTATGAAGTTATAAACGGATACCCCCTAACCAGCGACCCCGCGCCCCCACGCGGCCCGCGATCTGGTTGGGGTCGGGACCCTTTCTTCTCCTTCATCTCCAACCGGGGGCGGTGAAGGGAATCAACAACAAACAACGAACGGGTGAACACAATACTCAGCTGACAGAGACGATCTCCTCTTTAACTCTGTAGGAGATCAGTCTCATCTACGCCGGTACCTGAGCTACCCAACCAACCTCGCGACAGAGGGTTGAACAGAAGAGCCATGGCCGAACCAACGAACACGCCGATGCCGACAGCGCCCCCGACCCCTCGCTCCACCTCCCCCGCACCACCTCTCCCACTCATCGGCGCGGGCAGCACCAGCAACCCGCCCTCGCTCTCCTCGTCGCCCACAACCTCGTTCGCGAAGCCGTCCCTCCCTACCGGCGGCGCCCTCGGCACCAAGCCCGTCGTGCTGCACATCGGCGACGCCATCCGCTACAACCCGGACGCCTACAGCGCCTTCACCACCGCCTTTGAGGTCATACGGCCCAGCGCGGCCGAGCGGTCGCGGGATGCTTTCATGGCCGCCCTGCGCGAGCGCCGCTGGGGCGACTTCTCGGCCATCTTCCGCCCGTTCTGGGGCACCGGCGGCGAGATGGGCCAGTGGGATGCGGAGCTCATTGCGCTGCTGCCGCCAAGCGTGCGGGTGTTTGCGAGCGCGGGCGCCGGGTTCGATTGGGCGGATGTGAAGCTGCTGGGGGAGACAGGTGTGTTGACGCTACCTACCTACGCTCTCTTACAGGGAAATAATGCTGTTCCGATAAACTAACATAAACCAACACCAACAGGCATAATCTACTGCAACGCCGGCCTAGCCGCCTCCGAAGCCGTCGCCGACTTCGCCGTCGCCCTCATCATCAGCACCTTCCGCATGCTGCCCTACCTCATAACCTCCGCGACGTCCGCCGCGACCTTCAGCGCCGCCCACGACAGCGCGACGGCGCAGTCGCACAACCTGCGCAGCCACGTGCTCGGCCTCGTCGGCCTCGGCAACATCGGCCAGCAGATCGCCCACAGGTGCCGCGCCGGCTTCGGCATGGAGGTCGCGTACTACGACGTCGAGCGCAAACCAGCCGACGTAGAGGCGCGCCTGCAGACGCGGTACTGCGAGTCGCTCGAGGCGCTCGTGCGGGGCGCCGACTGCGTCGTCTTGTGCACGCCTTCGGGCGCCGGGCGGTTGATCAATAAGGAGAGTCTGGCGTGGTTCCGGCCCGGGGCGCGATTCGTGAATATTGCGCGCGGCACGCTAGTTGACGAGGAGGCGCTGGCGGATGCGCTGGAGGAAGGGCGGGTCAGTAACATAGCGCTGGACGTGCACGCGAATGAGCCCGAGGTGAACGCGCGGCTGAAGGCGTTTGCTGGCACGCGGGCGCTGCTGACGTGCCATAGTGCTGGCGGGACTGTCGAGACGCATATTGGGTTTGAGGAGCTGAGTATGCGGAATATCACGGCCGTGCTGAGCGGAGGGGAGGCGGTTACGTCGGTTAATCTAGAGTGGTTGCGGAAGTCGTGAGAACCGACATTCAAGGCGCTGGCCTGACAGCGAGATTTTGACGATGGGAACGTTTAGCGAGCGTCTGGTATTGATGGGATATACTGTTGGGAGGCACTTACGTTACTACTTAGAAATACCCATAGATGGGACACATGGCGTTTGTACATGAGACGAGACATGAAATTAAGACAGCAGGACTTGGGTTCAACGTTACTCGTGGCATGTCCAGATGACCCTTTCACTAGCGACAAAGCAGATAGCGTTGTATTCATTCGCATGGGAATTACCGATAGTCAAGTTTGATTTCTGTCGAACTGGAAATGGGAGAACAGAGGACTCCGACAGGCATCTTAGTATCATTTCGATTGATTTTATCAACAGATTCCACTCGTTGGAAGTGCGATGCCACGGTCTCTCCTCAGCCATCCAACCAAGTCGGAAGCAATGAACCATCCCAACCACCGCCGTTTGACAGTCCGGAAAATGCAAGAAAGGGGTTGGTCAAACACACCGACCTCAGATACGGTATATACAACCCAGCAGTAAGCCAACGCCGTGACAGTCCGCACCTTCAACACAGATCCTTGCTCAATACAGAAGGGCTCCCGAACAAGGGACACACTGCCTCCGGGCGTCTTTCTCCGCTTTCTTCCATCTCGGACTTCCCTCTCGGCCACCGGGCTTCACATACTCTGCCTATACGACGGACCGCCACTCCACTCCGGACTCGACGGCTCCTCGATGGGCGTCGAGTCCAGCTCCACGGCCCTGGCCTTCTTGGCTTCTGCGCTGTTGTAAGCTCCTCCGCTCTGGACAGCGCCTCCCATTGCATGGGAGGCCTCCTGTCCTGCTCTGGTAGGAGCTAAGGCCGGGTGGCCGTAGTTGTGATCTAGCCCAAGCTCTTTGGCCCGGCTATCCTGCCTGCCTACGCCGACAGTCGCGACAGTCGATGATCCATAATCACGGCTGTCACGATCCGACATAGACGACACCGTCTCATCGCCGCCGTACCCCTGCTGATTGGGGGTCTGGGTCTGAGTCTGTCGCTTGCGGGACCCCCCCCTGGTCGGCAACTGTCGCTGATCCTGGATGACCAAGGCGGGCGGTGATGCCGTCCGCGAGTAGCGGCTCGAACGGCGGGAGTGGCTGTGGTTATTCGTCGTTTTGGTCTTGGTTGCGCCTTCGCGGACTGTGTACGATACACTCACCATGGGCGGCGGCGCTGCCACTCCCGCACTCGGTGTCGACCATTGATCCATCTCCCTTCCTCCCCTGTCGCCCTCGCCCCCTCTCAAAGAGTCCATTCGCTGCCCCTGCCGATCTGCCTCCACTTCCTTCGTCATCTTTTCCTTCTTCTTCCAGAGCGTCAACCCTAGACACGTTGACCTCTCCCGACTCCGCGGCCGCCCATAATCATCACCATAGCCATAACTCCCCGCATCTCTCGACTTGCGTCCGCCCATAACCTTGACATCGTAGTGATTCGTCGAGTTATCCTCCTTGTGGCTCTTCTTGTTCCGACTAAAGCCCAGGTTGGCCTTGGCCTTGGCCTTGTTCAGCTTGCGGCGCACGAGCAGGTACGCCAACAGCAGGGCGAGCAGTGCGAGAAACCCGCCGACTGCGCCGCCGGCTATGGCGCCTGTGTTCGTCGTGCTGTTGGTGGAAGAGCCGGGGGATGGAGTGGACGAGGATGTGCTGCTGTCGGTGGGGTTGCCGGAACCTGGGACTGCTGTGGTGGGTGATGAGGCCACGCCCGGGTCGCTGGGACTGGGTGTTGCAGTGAGTGTTGGCGAGGGCGTGGTGTGCGTCTTGGAGAAGATCGAGGCGTCGACGACGAACTGCGGGACGTCGAGGATGGAGACTGCGGACGAGCTCTCGAAGCACTTGTACATGGAGCGCTGGGGCGAGCCGGTCCAGATGTAGGTCCCGCACGCTGGCTCGGTTGCTTGTTGGCTGCGGTGGTATTAGTTGAAAATGTCATGCATATCGGCTTTCTTGAGAGGTAGGTATTTTAGGGAATGGAGGTGCATACCAACATCCGGTGTTGGGCCCGGGATTATCGCAGTCGCCGTTCTGCACGGCCGAGTAGTCGAGACACACGGAGTAGAACGGCTCTATGGTCCCGGACGCGCATGCGACGATGTGGTCGTCATTTGTTGCGCATGAGAAGCCGTTGCCGCATACAACGGCCGAAGCTGTGAGTTGTGTAAGTGACGATTCCGGTCTCACCCAACTCTTCGTTAGTGGGAGGATCACTTACAGGATATGCCGCTGAACCATCCACACGTTTCTGAGTTGGTCCAGTTTGTCGTCTCCTGCCGTCGCATGAGAAGATCAACCACGACCTCGATATCGGATTTCACACCGGGCGCTGGTGTCGGCTTTGGCGTCCATCCCACTTGGCTACTGTCTGCGACGTTGCTCGTCTCTTGCGGCGACCACTCGAGCTCTCTGTTGTTGGACCATCGTAGCCAGGCTGCATGCGTGCAGCTGGAGGCAGCGAGTAATAACACCGAAGACCTCATGGTCTGGTCGCAAAAGAATCCTCCTCTCAAAAATCTAATGCGTTCCAACTCCCAGATAACTGGCAGCCGGCTCGAAGCAGCAGAAAGGCCGGCAGGCAATCCGGGATGATGCGCCGTCTCGGAAGGACCCGCTGCCGGTATTCGAGATGGATGTGCCAGATGGGATCGTCGAAGCTCACTCAGTGCAGTGGGGCTTGGCAGCTCTCGAGTCCAAGAAAAACCGATAGGGAGGGTATCAAAACAAAAGTCAAGTTACCCAGCAATGAAGAAATGTCAGGTTTGTGAAGGCAGAAAGGTGCGCGAGTACGGGGATCGCCTTAAAACAGGTCGGGCGCCTAATGAGGTACAATGTGAGGTACCGATTCACGCTGCGTGCACGCGTCTCAATGGCAGTTGGGAGCTGGCCCGTAGAATGGACCGTGAAATGGACCGGGGAGCTGGATCTGGAGCTTGGTCAAGACTGCATGGACTGGACATACGGTCAGGTTGGCATGCTTGGTATCAATATGATAGAAAATCAGTAGGACCACGATGGTCTGCCTGTGAAGCATCCCATGTCGTTTTGAGGATGATAGCGCGTGCCTATTTGGAGCTGCCTGGGCCAGCCGACAACGATGAGTCACTCTAGCAACCATGAAATACCAGTCCCACCACGACACTATTGCCAGCTAGTCCATTGGCTGTAAGTGTTATCCATAAGGCATCTAGTCAAAAGGACAGTGCCAGATGGTGTAATGATAGGGTGACTGATCACCACTCACCCGGCTAGGATTACCTTTAGGCTATCCGTCTCACGAGATGACGAGACGATACTGTGCTACAGTCAGAGGTTGCCAATACGACTCTCCCTGAGGCTTAGATAGATGGATGGATGGGTGGCTATCACTTCCATGCTGTCAATATGATTCCCGTCTTCTCAGTCTCATCATGGACCCCTGCAGCCGCCGCATCTTGGAGTTCCTGAGCTGGGGATGATACCCTGCCTTAAAGACTCCGCGGATGTACATCACTCCCAGTCTGAGAGCTGATAGAACTCTCTATCCATATACTCAAGCTGAAGCCCAGCGACTACCTAATAAGCCAGGCTTCCTTCCCAAGAACTGATGTGACTCTAGAAATGGGACTCTTCTTAGCCGCGGGACTGGCGCCTGGATCGCAAAGCCAAGACAGGTTCTCAACCAATCAACTCTGCCGCAAAGCGCCGCTTTGGGCTTAGCACTCCCGCTGAGGTGCATCGTGTTTCAGGCCCGATGAATCATGGCCAATCCTCAACCACCGGCTCTGGCTATTCTGGACTCTCTAAACAGACGGTAAATCTGCCTTCCGAGAATCTTGGCGTGATACGTCTGATGTCAGATGTCGTGAGTCGAATTAATGAGCAGTCGGATGTCATTTCATTCTTATAATTAGGTATGCGTCTCTGTTCATTGCGCAGTTGCTTTTCGCCATTTCGCCGAATGAACGATGGGTGCCGGAGGGTATTCTGACTTAGAACGCCAGAGTGGTAGGCTTGGGTGGGCATCGACTAACGGCGGGGGCCCCCAAGTGGGACAGCCCCCCAAGTGGGACACTTTTCACACCCAACATCACAATGTTCACTTATACACATCTTTATCGGCAATGAAGCCCTAGATACCGTAAGTACGGCATTATAATTTTCTTTTCTTTGTGACGGTCTGACCTCCTGTACGTCTGTCAGCCTATCGATGTGGTCAGTGCGCTGCATCAGGTGACCTGGCGCACAGGACGTGTTGCCACAGCTGTACTAGATTGGGTAATTGTGGGGCGGGTTGAAGGATCTTTAATCCCACCAGAATTAGCTGGCGGGTCAAATCCTTCTTTCCCTCCCCACCGAGAGATTCTTACACGTACGTAGTGAAAGCAGGACTGTTACGTCCACTCCATATTTACGCTTCGTGACATTCTTGATGTTTCTTCCTAGGTAGATTTTATTAGGTCTGCTGCTGCGGGATGGCCCGTGGAGGGGGCGGAAGTTAGCACTTCCGGGCCTAATCTGAGGGGTAATAGGACCCGTGCCCCTTATTACGTCCCATCCAACAGAAGTCTTGCTGTTCTTTTTTTTATTCTTTTCTGTAAGCAATATCAGCTTCAGTACAACAAAATGCCCCCTTCATACATTGAAGAAGACCTTTTAGAAGCAATAGCCGCTATAAACGATGGCCTATCTCTCCACAAGGTCTATTATCGCTGGTGAGTACCCAAATCGACTCTCTCTCGCAAGGTAGACGGCACCACAATGCGCCCAACTGCCACAGTGTAAGAAGGGCATTCTCATACTCAGAAATTAAGCCCTCCTCAAGAAAAGAAGGTGGTTTCATGGATTCTGTCACGGCGAGCGTACTGAGGAGCTGGGACATGGCCGGCAGCAAGCAGCTATTACTCTATTGACGAGAATATCAAGACTAGAGAGGAAAGGAAGAGAGAGAGAGAGATAGGTACAGCGGGAGGTTGCCCCTTTTAAGGGGATCCTCTGGTCAGATCCTTCCCTCATTGGGAAGTATCGGCTTGTCATATGGGAAGGTCTGTATAGGCCGTAACAATAAGCAGAATATTTATAAAACTATTATATCGTATTATAATTATAAAAACTTATAAATGTAACTTTTACGTTAAAAGAACAAAAGCTACTTAAGAATTTAACGTTTAAAGCATTATAAGTATTAAAAAATATATGCCTTTACAGATAGCTTTATAAAAAGAAATATAAAAGCGGTTAAACATTAAATTGAAACTAATAAATCTAGCAAAAGGTTGCAATAATTACGAGTTATATTTAAAGTTATAAAAATATAAATACTCGGGTTATTATTGTTATTTTAAGTATTTTGAATCTTTAAATTAACATTAATAAAAAGATGATAAATAATAATATCTATACGAAGTTTTATTAATAAATTATATATAGTTAAAAGAAATTGTAATAAAAAAATAACATAAGTTAAATTTTTATATATAATATTAATATTAAAACTATAAATAAATAAAACGGTTAAAGTTACGGTTATAAAGAAATAGTAAAAATATCGTAAATATACAATATTATCGATTATTATTTTATGATAAAGTTTATATATTTACGATTAAAAAGTAATAACGGCTTGAGGGTTATAAAAGGCGTGCTAAACAAGAAAACAGAGTATGAACTAGGTACTAAACTCATGTAAACTACCTATAAATTACGAAAATAGTTTTTAAATACTTTGACCGTTTATAAAATGATAATATATATTAAACATAAAAATTAGGTATACTTATATACTAATTAAGATATTTATAACCGCGTAATTATAATTATAGCTATATCTTTACGTAAAACGTTATTTAATTGAAAAAGTAATTTTTAAAATATTTAAAAGTAGATAAATAGGTAAAGTAAAAAGGATATAATATTTTAACCGTTTTCAATATAAGCTATTGTCAAAATTTGAATAATCAAAACAAATTATGAAAAAGTTTTTTACTTTACATTTATTTATAGCATCGGTTTTATATAATACAGGCTTTATAACGTTAATATAATTTTTATAATCCGCCTTGATTACGTTTATTATAATATTAGTACGATACCTATATAATTAAAGCAGGTATTATCGTTAAAGTATTAAGTCGTTTTATTAAAAAGTATATTTAATAAATTTTGAACGGTTATTATATATATATAAAGAAAATGACAAGGTCTTTTTATATAGCATTTTTATTATTAAATTCTAGTACTTTAAAAGCATAGTATCCAAAAAACACTATATATAAAATAAACCAAACATATTTATAAGATTTACTTATTTAAATTATAAAGAGAATTAATATTAGCAAGATAATTTGACGTTAAATATTTATTCAAACTAACGTTATATATTTTTAACCCGGTTTTAATCTAAGTTTATACGTTATAAATAAAGCGGTTAAATACTAGGCTTTGTTAACGAAATGTTAAAATTTCTTTTTTAATTATAACTTTACTATTTAAAAAGTACGAATAATATTTATCCATTTGTAAGTTTTAAACAAAATAAATAAATAATATTTTCAACAGATATATAAAATATTTATAAAAAAATATAGTGATATTAAACCGGCTTCTATTAAACTTTAGTAAATAATAACAGCTAAATAAACCTTTATAAATATCGTTGTTGTTTTAAGAATACCTAGCCGCTTATAAAGTTTAACGTTTATCATATTTAAAAACTTAATATAATTATAAATAATTTTAATTCTAAGTATATATAATAAAAGAATTTCTTCATTTATATTTTTTCAATTTCTATATTACGCGTTATTATTATTATGAAATTATTTATTTTAAGTTATACATCTTCATATAGTTATAACTTTTTATCTCTTATTAACTAAGTTATAATTTTTTATCTATAAATAAGATGGATTTTAATTAATCAGCTATTTACGACTTTTATTAAGTTGATTAATATATTTACCTTGGAAAATATAAAAAGCTGAGCAAGTTTATTTCATTAATTTCATTGCGCAACGTGGGTTACAAGCGAGCGGGACGCACAAGCGAGTAGGACACTTTCACAAACCTCTTCAACTTTCAACTTCTAACTAATATTCCTCTACACACGACAACGGCACCGCGTTATAACGAATCAGACATGCAGCTAACTGTTCAAGCTAAAAAACGAGACCCTTATATTTCTATGTAAAAACTTGTTAAAACTTTCTACCTATCAATCTCTACACTGGCTAAAAGAATCGCCGGCCGACCATCATGACTCAATAGCATGCCCAATTTTTTGAAACTTACAGTTTCCAAAGAGAATGCCATTTGCTCCTTCATACTCGACCTGGATGCGTGAGCATTTCTACCCCGGTACACTTATGTTGAAAATATGGCGAATCAATTATTGGCAGCATATGAGACTGGACACGTCAGAAAGAACTGAATGGCGAACTTCATCAAACGTATACCAGGCCTCCGGACGCGTTTTCATTGTAGAATGGACTACTCGAGGGTCTTG